GGTTTGGCGCTGGCCTGATGGATGATTGGAAAGAACAAATCGAGCATTGCGCAGCTCATCCCGGTGACCAGATGTGCCTCCCCGAGTTCATGGATCCCCTCCAACCGGGACGGGTCCTTGGGGGCTACGGTAGCATTGACGACGTAGCCGATGCAAAAGCATTGATCACAACATGGGTTGTCAACAATGATCAGCCCGGCACTGAGGCAGAGGCGAGGGCCGAAGAGTGGGAGCGCGCCCTTAAGCACGAGCTTCTTATCTATCAGGAATCCGCCGAAGCGCGCGGGCTGCGGCTCTCTTTCAATACCGAGATCAGTCTCGAAGAAGAGCTCAACAAGTCGACCAACACAGATGCGAAAATTGTGGCCATCAGCTACGTTGTCATGTTCATTTATGCCTCGCTCTCATTGGGCTCGACAACTCTGTCATTGAGATCACTTCTCAGCAACCCTGCAAATGCTTTCGTCCAGTCCAAGTTCACATTGGGTGTCGTGGGTATTCTGATCGTGCTGATGTCTGTCTCTGGCTCGGTTGGCCTCTTTTCTGCGGCCGGAGTGAAAGTTACACTCATCATCGCCGAAGTTATTCCATTCTTGGTCCTTGCCGTTGGTGTGGACAACATCTTCCTGATTGTCCACGAGTTTGAACGTGTCAATGTCAGCCACCCAGATGAAGAAATTGACGTGCGTGTTGCGAAGGCCCTCGGAAGAATGGGGCCCAGTATTCTCCTGTCCGCATCTACCGAGACGATTGCCTTCGCCATGGGCGCGTTTGTGGGGATGCCTGCGGTGAAGAACTTCGCGGCGTATGCCGCAGGTGCTGTATTCATCAATGCTGTGTTGCAAGTCACGATGTTTGTGTCCGTCTTGGCCCTCAATCAAAGACGAGTCGAGAGCCTCCGGGCAGACTGTTTCCCGTGTGTGACGGTCAGGGGAGCTAATTCCACGGGGATGCCGGGTGGCCATTTCTTTGGCAGTGACGAGGAAGGCTGGTTGCAACGGTTCGTCCGCAAAGTATATGCACCAAGTTTGTTAGACAAGAAGGTCAAAACCCTCGTTATTGCCTTCTTCGTGACCCTTTTCGCTGCCGGGATTGCACTCATTCCGAAGGTGCAACTTGGACTCGACCAGCGCATTGCAATACCCGAGGATTCGTACATGATCCAGTATTTCAACGACCTGTACGACTACTTTGGATCTGGACCACCAGTATATTTTGTCACCCGACATCTCAACGTGACGGCGAGAGAACATCAACGAGAACTATGCGGCAGGTTCACCACATGCGACGAGTACTCGCTAGCGTACATCCTTGAGCAAGAGTCGAAACGCCCTAACGTCAGTTATATCAATGCTGCCACGGCAAGCTGGATTGATGACTTTTTCTATTGGCTTAATCCAATTTCGGACTGTTGCAAGAATGAAAATGGGGATACTTGCTTCGGCGAAGACGACTGGAACATCACTCTCTCTGGCATGCCTGAAGGGGAGGAATTCGTTTATTATGCGAGGAAGTGGATTCACGCTCCTACCGATGAAGAATGTCCAAACGGGGGACAAGCCGCCTACTCGAATGCCGTGGTCATCGACAAGAATAATACTGATATCCCGGCAAGTCATTTCCGAACATTCCATACACCCCTACAAGGCCAGGACGACTTCATCAACTCGTACGCGGCAGCCAAGCGGATAGCAAATGATATTTCTGCACGTCACAACGTCGACGTATTCCCCTACAGCAAACACTACATTTTCTTCGACCAGTATAGCAGCATCATTCGTTTGACTGCGACGCTTCTATGTGTGGCTATTGCAATTATATTTGTCATTTCTTCCTTGTTACTGGGCTCTCTACTTACGGGGATTGTTGTCGCTGTGACAGTCGTCATGATTGTGGTGGATATTATTGGTGTCATGGCGGTTGCTGGCGTGTCGCTCAATGCGGTATCATTGGTAAACTTGGTTATCTGTGTCGGCATCGGGGTGGAGTTTTGTGCACACATTGCTCGAGCGTTCATGTTCCCCAGCAAGTCGATCATGGAGCGGGCAAGGCACAAGTTCCGAGCAAGGGACATCCGAGCTTGGGCGGCGTTAGTTAATGTGGGTGGGAGTGTCTTCAGCGGTATCACAGTCACCAAGTTCGTCGGCGTGGCTGTGTTGGCATTCACCAGGAGCAAGATCTTTGAGGTCTATTACTTCCGCATCTGGCTGGCGCTCGTGATCCTTGCGAGCACCCATGCATTGGTGTTTCTGCCAGTGGCTTTGAGTTTCGTTGGAGGTGACGGTAGGTGTCTCCCGTTGCATGATAACAGAGAATTGAGCTAACTTCTGTTGACAGGATACATTGATCCCGAGAGTGAGGGAGGCCTCGAAGAGGACCTCGCTAGTCGACGATATCGAAGTCTGTTACCGGATGACGATTACTACGACTCAGACGACGAATAACAAGGACTAACATAAATAGATGGCTAGCGATCTGAAAGAAAATGCATTCGTTGACCTAGGCTATCAATCTGGCGGTGTCCGCCTTTGAGCAGCCTTGTAGACAGGCATTTCTCTGCACTGCGTTGTAGTCTCGATCGATCGCTAGTTGTCAATGTCTACGTGGAACTTTTCGTTGTTACTTGTTACGTCTTTCGTTCCCTCGATAATTTGACCTTCCCAGGAGGGATACGTGGTCCTATCCCAAGTTTGAGGTCAGTTTCAACTTGAAATTGAACTTCCAAGTTCAGTTGATTGTATCTCAGCCATCGTCAGCATCATCCACATCCATGATGCTCCTCCTTCTCCTTGTCCGCTCTCTGCCTTGAGGAGCTGGCCGCGGCTGCTGCTGCTCCGAGGCGATCCTCGGAGTGCGGCGTTCCTCTTCGTCCGCCAGTTGCGTCTGGGGAATCATTCCCACTTCCGCCGCGCGGAACACCCTCTCTGCTTTGATCGGATTCGGGGTGTGCCTGCGAGCAGAGGAAGGGCTCGAGCCGAGGCCTACAGGCCGTTTCTGCGTGCCGCGATTTATACCCTCGCGGTCGTCACTGTCATCATCATCGTTATCGACGTCGCTCGTGGCGATATCGTCCTTCTGTGCCTGCGCAAGTAGTCTTGCGACGCGTCTCTTCAGGGCTGGGTTCTCGACCAGATCGTCCTGCACGAGGGGGACGTTGCATTCGGGGCATTTGACCTGTTTGACGCGGATCTGGCGTTCGCGTTGGGGTCGTTTTTTGTCGCTCAGCTGGCTCAGCTCTGCGAGTTGGGTGGGCGTGAAGGGCACGAAGCTCGTCGAGGTCGTCAGCATCGAAAGGATGGCACCGCGTTCGTAGCTGTGGTTGCAGTTCTTCGAGGTCACTGGGTCGACGTAGGGGAGCAAGGTGATGGGGCACTTGAGCCGGGTTTTCTCGGCGGCGATTTCGAGGTCGTTGTCATCCGAAGATCCTGCTTCGTTCGCGCCTCTCGAGCGCCGATCAAGGGCATGACGCCTTCGCAGACGTTGACTAGATGACAAGCTCCCGCGTCCTTCTTCTGCGGCGAACCACAGACTCTCGTCGGGCATGGGAGGCGCGGATTCTCCTGGGTTGTTGGCGTCGTAGAGCACTCGGTACCACCCCCTGTAGTCGTTGTTACGTGCATATCTCTCTGTCAGGGTCTTGGACGTCCACGCCCGCGATTGTTGAGTCAGGGCTGTAGAGAGCTGGATGTGTGGCGTGTCAACCGGCTGAACCCTCGGGAACAGCGATGTCTGGCGTGCCCGCCGGAGAGACGACCTGGCTTCTGCGCCCTCCTGCTCCTCATCGCCGCTGTAACCATCGTCCACGATGGCCCTTTGCCTAGTTCTTCTCGATGGCGTGGGACTTGCCGTCTGAGAATTGCTCCGCTGCTCGTCCGTTGTGTCGTGCGCTTTCTCCACGACCGTCTTCAGGGTCTCAGGATATTTGGCAAGCCAGGCCATATCGTCGATGACTCCGCGGATACTCAAGTCCATCCTCTTCGTGAGAGCCGCGACCCTTTGTTGAAATTCCTCATATCTCGCATCCGCCTCTGTGTTGTTTTCTTCTGCTTCATTCTCGGTGCCCCTAGCGTCTACGCGGCGAGCTATGATTTTGGAGTGCCTGACCTTGTGGAGGTAGGCCCGGTCGTTGAGTTCTCCTGTAATGTCTGTGAGACGCTCTGCGGCCTTTTTCAGATATTCACGGGCTTTCATTTCGCGGTCTCTCTCGTGTTGAAGCTGGCCGAGGAGAAAAAGCGCTTCGTCGTTGAGAGGGGCCAGCAGCGGCTGAGGTTCAAATCGTTTGGGCTCTTCAGATCTTCTGGGCGCCATGGCGTTAGGACTTGGTCGGGGGAGGGGGAAGATGTGGGATGATTGAATTGTTGCTGAGGCAGTCTGGGCCTTTCAGCGCGTCAAGTTCGGCGCGTCGTGTTTAATTGAAGCTAAACCCTTTTTGGCATCCTCCTTTCGCTCGAGAGTGCAAAACTTGACTTCATTCTCTTCCTATTTCTGTTCTATTTCTCACTGATGTTGCCAGCCTATCTCAAGGCTGCCTCTCATTAGCCAACTCCGTTCTCGCCCTTCTTTGGCCTGGCTGATTGCCCTCATCGAATGTCCTGCAGATCGCTATCCTGTCGTATTCGTATCCTGGGATCTTGGTGCCATGGCCAAGTCTGCGTCATACAGTGGGCCGGCGAGGCTGACTCCAGGCAACTTGGATCTTTGACGCCGATCCCCCCATTGGCACTCTCTCGAATACGAAAAATACTGCTTTTGAAAAATGCTGCTTGGGAATATGCAAACCCACTGGATGCTTTGTCTTGTTCCTCTCCTTGATGTCTAGTATTTCCACAATCCAACGGCCCGTATTCGCGTCCTCATGTAATTAGGTGGTAACGATTCACAAATCGAACTACTATCAAAACAAGGTATACAAGTATATAAGTTTGCCCTGTTGCCTCTTCAATATCCATTTTGGAATATATGTTTGAACCTCATCGGCGCTATCTGCAATGCTTGTCACGATGCTCAAATACATCTTGCTTCTCCTTATTCCACATGTCTGCTGGGCTTCTACGCCCCCGCGCCGTCCACGTTGCAGATACGGAGACCCTTGCTGGCCTGATTGGCAGACATGGCAAAAATTTAACAACAGTATCTCAGGCCGTCTTGTGCGGACCTTTCCCTCAGCAGCTGTTTGCCACCAAGAGCACTTTGACGCCGAAGGTTGCAAACAGGCAAGACAGGAATGGGACAATAGTTTTTGGAGAACTAATCAGTCTGGGGCATATACGGCCATCGTATGGGAGCTGGGCAACCAGCAGTGCTTCATCGACTCATCAAGCACTACACCGTGCCAACCGGGGTTTGGTAATGCGAGCCAAAATTGAATTTAAAGTCTCAGAAGTCTATGCTGATGCTGACAATAGTTCCACATTACTCTGTGGCGGCGACAACTGTGGCAGACATCGAAGCTGCAATCAAATTCGCCAACGAGAAGCATCTATACCTTGTGGTGAAGAATACTGGTCATGACCAGTAAGTCTACTTCGGGAGATTGACGTGCCTAATGTCTGAACCCCTGCATAGTCTCGGGCGGTCGAGTGGTCGAGGCTCTTTCTCTATATGGACTCATAACTTGAAAGGAAGACAATGGACAGACAGCTACATCGTCGAGGGAGCTCCTGCAGGGAGCCATGGTGTTCCTGCCGTTACACTGCAAGCAGGGGAGCAGTGGCTAGGTATATATGTGTTTTCCAGGTACCGACTGGTGTCTTCGCTAACAGCTCTAGATGTGTATCGGGCTGCGTCTGAACAGCGGGTTATCGTGGTTGGCGGTCATGCAAGGACAGTTGGTGCTGCCGGAGGATGGTTGACTGGGGGCGGTCACTCTGCCTGGTCCAATCTCTATGGTCTGGGCGTTGATAGTAATTTACTTCAGTATCATCGCCCATTGGACATCGCTGACGACATGGTGGCAGATGTATTGGATGTCAAATTGGTCAACGCACAGGGAAAACATGTGACTGTCAATCAGTATACTGATGCCGACTACTTCTATGCCTTGCGTGGCGGAGGAGGAAGCGCATGGGGTGTTAGTCCACATGGAGCAGAGGGATGAGGCTCGTTCAAGCTGACTGGAAGTAGGTCATAACCTCGGTGACTTATCGAACTCACCCCGAACCAACCCATATTCAGGTTGCGGCAATACAGATCAATGCTACAACCAATTCGACCCTTCGTCCGGTCCTAGAAGGCTCCCTCGGTGCATTGGTGAACATGACAGACGCCGGTTATACAGGCTACGGGTACCTCACCAATGGCTTTTCCGGCCTGTTCATTCGACCTGGAGGTACCGAAGCAGAGTTGTCTGAAGGTTCCACTGCCTTTCAGCGACTTGGACAGATTGATGGCGCGAACTTCGCCATGGTCACCTTCAGTTTTCCTCGCTGGATCGACTACTGCAATGTATTTCTTCAGGATCCAAATATCGCCATGAACGTTATGGATTCATCTCGACTTCTTACTCCGGATATGGCATTTAACAAGTCAGGTGAGATCATCGACATGATGTTGGAGTTCGGTCCAGAACATTATCCATCATTCAATTTCAGTCAGTAGTGACCACTGTTTAAAATAACATCTCCTAACACCATCTTTCAGTTGGACACGTTAACTCGGCAACGCGAGACAACACTTCAGTCCACCCATCGTGGCGGGACGGCCGAGCGATAATGAGCTTCGGTACCAACTGGGAAGATGAAGCACCTGAAACCGAAAAGCACCAGAAGAGGCTCCAACTCGTTGAGATGAGCAAGCGCTGGACCAAAATTGCCGGACCAGACGCGGGGACTTATGTGAATGAAGCAAATCCGTAAGCTTGAGCTCCCTTGACCCTGACGATACTTCTCCGGTGCCTAACCTACCCACAGTTTTGAACCTAACTGGCAGAGAGTCTTCTGGGGATCCAATTATGACCGCTTGTTAAAGGTTAAGGAGGCCAGAGATCCAACGAACCTATTTGTCTGCAACCGCTGCGTGGGTTCGGACGTGGTATATGAAGCGTGAAGAGTAGGAATCGCGTCCGAAGATAATTGTGTTGAGCAGGCAGCTGCGGACTTTGACAATACCGAGGAGGAAATAGTAAAATCGTACTATTAATAATAGCTTCTTGAACCGACAATGTCGTATCTGGCAAGGCTGGCCAGCTGATTGTGATGCGTCCCATGTTGCCCATGTCCCTGCCATGTCGTCTCCTAGACCTTCAGCCTCGCGCTAGCTCCATGTCTTGGCATTTTAACCTCAACTTCAATCCATCTTCCCACAGCTCTCAAAGCTTCCAGGGACATTCATATCCTCCCATAGCCTGTGAGGGGAGGCAATCGATCTCCTCTCCCATTGACATATTGTCGCTCGCTATATTCCATCTGCTCAGCAGTAATGCCCACAAGTCGAGAAGGTGCGCCAACGGCGTCTGCCTCATCCCACGACCCGGGGCGCCAACACAACGCGTCTTGGATTAGTCACATGCGGACCAGCTGGGTTCATGATGCCCGCTCACCGTATCTGTCTACCTGCCAGAGAATCATTCCGGAGATAAGAGAAGGGAAGATGCCTGGGTTGTCTTCCCTGAGCAAGGTCCAGGTTTTGATACAAACGCTTTCCACTTTCCGAACCCCGCCCTGACTCTCCTCAAAATTCTAGCTGACGGACTCTCGCAGCTATCCGAATCTGTTCAGTTGAATATCTCCAATCTTTCGTATGGCATCCTTGGCAGATTTCTCTTATGTTATCACCTTTAAAGACTCTCATCTACCTCTCTTGTTTCATTACATTCACTGGATCTATCTTAGACTTCTTTCCTTTGCCATTTGCCAATCTTCTGTCCATTTCTCCTCGGTAGCTTGCTTAGGTCGGCGTCGCCCTCCAGCCGATCTACATTTCTCCTGCCCACCTCAGTCGCCCTCCCCTCTTCTCAGAGTTCTTGGGACTTCAACTCCAGTGATCGACCTCATCAGACTGTCTGTATCTTCAAATACTGCAGCACTTACTTCATCTCATCTACTTAGCTTCTTTGATGTTACAGCACATCCAAGTGCGGGACAATTCGTTCACTTGGCGATGCTTAGATACTTCTGTTGCGACTTGAGTTCGAGCCCTGCCACCGATCTTCAATTCACCAAGCCTCGGCATAAGTGACAGGTCTCATGCACTCCGCGCAGCTGATCAGCGATCTCTTGTGGCTCACTTGACTTACAGCTCATTCGATCATATTCTGCTCCGTTGCTGCTTGCAGGGTGGCTCCTTTGCTCTTCAACTTTGGGCGGGACCTATATACAGCACTTTCCGTCGCTCCCTCAGTCTCAGCCAATGTTTCGCAACAATGGGGGCTAATAACTCGAGGTTCGACAGCGACTTCCCTCCTCTCTCCGATCAGTCTGACAGCAATTTCGTCCGACCTCCTCTTAGACCGCCAACCTCTACGACCTCATCGTTTCGAAATTCAATCCAGACAGCTGCTTCTTCATCAGACCACCGGCAACCAATTCGGATCGCCTTTGCCTCGCAGCACAGCATGTCATCTAAGGCCCCAATACCAGCGAGACGTCTGCCCGGAGTCGAAGGTCGTCAGACCATCAAATCACAAGCTTCACAGGTAACTGGTTGGCGGATCGTTGACGACTCTGACGAGATCTACGAGTCGTGTGACACTGAAAATTCGGTTCTACCAAAACGTCCTCCTCGCTCTTTGCCCAATCCTCAGACGGATGCAAGTTCTCCTGCTCTCGATATAGAGCCTTCATTGGCAGAAACCCACGGCGCCTTCACCGACCAACGGTCACTTTCCCTATCAAATCAAAAGGCTCGTTCAACCCTTCTAGACCCTTCAACAATCGAATCCGAGAACCTTCTCAGCAAACGTCCCGTACCTTCCTCGCTGGAGCCAAAGAAGAAGCGTCGTCTTGTTCCCACAAAACAGGCAAGCGAAATCGCTAATCAAAAATTCGAGACCTTCACAAAGGCTCAGTTTGGATTCGTCAATCCGTTCCCCGGTGGCTTCCCCCTCACTGATGACGAAAATTGTTTACTTCCTGATCCCCATCCCGGTTCATCTTTCTATCAAGACGCTGACCATGAAGACGAAGGCTACTGGTCAAAGATTGTGAGTCCGGAGAATTCCGGTGTAGGTGAGACTGCAGATGAACAGGGAGAGCGTCTGAAAAGGTTGTTATCGAGATTTCACCAGGGAAAGCCGACGTCAGAACCAGCAGCGCCGCCCAAAAAAGGATCAACCCCAAACTTGACTGAAGAAGAATGGCTCTTGAAGCAAGCTCGCGAATGTATGCTCAAAGAGCAAGAAGCTGGAGCAAAACGGAGCAAAGAACTCCGAGAGAAAGCTCTGCGGCGACGCGGGCTTTTAGCGTTACCGAGTAGTAGCTCAAGCTCGGAACAATGCAAGACACCATCTGATGCAGATGTCAACAACAGCTCCAACAATGACCTATTCTCGGAGCAAAGTAACGTATTGTCTGACACGGAGGCCGGCAACGGCTCTAATAACGACCTATTCTCGGATCGGGGTGGGGCATTGTCTGACGCGGATGTTGATACTCATTCCAACAACGACCTGTTTTCTGACGATGACCCCCAAGCACAGAGCAGGGATGATCGCTTGGATATAGCACAAGAGCATGCCCGAAAGGACTCGGGACCCATGGCACATGAGCATATCAAAAAGAACTCAAGGCCCGCCCGGACAGAGATATGCGACGAATTGAAGCGGGTCAGAAGCGAGCAGCCCGATCCAGTCCCTAGGGTGCTGACTAATCAAACCTACAACAGGACAAACCAACACACGAGGGATGCCAGCATGCGAAGCCGGCAGTCGAATAGTAACAATGAACGTCAGCCGTTCAGAACTGAATCTCCATCCTTGCACGTGGAAGGCTGCCACGGTCTAGCCTCAAATTGTGAAGGGCTAAGTCTACATGCAAAAGAGAAGCGCTTGTGTGAGGCAGAACAGGGTGAATGTTCCGGGCTTACGGTTGGAGGAAGCGTGAGCAACCTAATCTTAAGTGGTCAGTTCATCGCAAATGACGGAATTGATCCTAGAGCCCAGCGTGGTGATGTTGTTAAAACAACTGATGATCGCGCGAACCCCTTGAAACCCGAAAGAGAACGACAAGGATTGGGTGTTAGGGCTAGTGCTGGAGATAAAGACAAAAGCAGTCTATCCATTCGGCCTCTGTCTGGTCTTGAGATGCTGGCGGCGAAGGGAGGAGCTATGGATGACCATAAGAGCGAGTCCAGGGTGTCTGGTGGAGTGTCTGGTGGACCTATTCCTAGCCATAAGACGCTTACAGTAAAGCGAGGCGCATCGCCTATCGATCCTGGAGACGCAAAATCCCAAATGAGGCAAAAGCCGGTCGCAGATTCAGCATCGTCCTTTGCTCCAGGTCCCAGTGGAGGCCTAACACTCCCTAAGAATTTTGACCAATACTCGGAAGAGGAGAAAGAAGTGATTGTTAAACACGAAGTTGCAAAGGAGAGGAAGAGAGACCTAGACGCTCTTGGGAGCGTGTTCTGGACATTCGCACAATTACGATGCTTCTCGGACCGCGAAATGACTGAAAGAACTATACAGACGGAAACAAATGAGCTTTACGAGATTGGGAAATTTATTGCTCTCGTCATTGAGCAGGGGAGACCCGGCAAGATCCGAAGGACACGTATACAAGACATTCGCGACAATATCAGAAGACGGGTACAAAAGGCAGCAGAGAGCTCGGAAGAGCCGAGCGACGTTGCAGTCTTAACAGAAATGAGGCGCACCTTCAGTCAAAAGCATATTGATATCATCGACGATGAAACACCCAAAATCCAAGAGGAAATTGATCACTGGGGAGCGCTACGTAGTACGCGCAGCACTAAGCGGCACAACGCGAGGACCAGAGGCCACAGGAAGGAGCGAACCAAAGAGCGAAAAGAAGAGAAAGCCAATAAAAAACAAGTCCGCTTTGCAGACGAAGGGACACAGATTATCCGAAGTAAGCCACCGAAGAGCAACCCGATTAAAAACGGACAAACGCAAGCCGATCGTCAAGAGGAACTCATCGAGAAACTTAGAGCTCAGTTAAAACTCTTTGAGACAGCCGACCAAGAAGAAGTGGAGGAAATTCAGAACCGAGTTGCTGAGATTGAAACAGAGCTCGAGCGCGCTAGTCAGCACGCAGACGGAGATGATAGTGAAGAAGACGATGGTGCGGAGTTTGTCTTTGGGGCTGGACACGATGTCTTGATGGTGACAACAGCTCGCGGCCGCATGGCCGAGGAATCAAATATGGAAGAAGAACAGGATATTGAAGAAATCAACCGTCTCGAAGATGGGCGCCAAAAAGAAGCAGGCACTTATGCGTTACAACGTCAGCGTGTCGAGAAGCCAGCATCCAGTCAACAAAAGTTTGACCCAGGACTGCTGAAGCAGATGCAGCTCAAGAAGAGCCAACCCTTGCAGAGTCAAGGTTTCGACCCGGAGCTTTTACGGCAGATGCAACTCAAGAGAGATCAGCAACTGGAAGCAGCGACAGACCCTACAATTATTGATCGAGACGCTGTAGGCGAGTCGGATAGCGAAGGCGATGCGGCGTCGGGAACCACATCGGATGAAGACGAAGATCGACAAGTCTTCAGATACACCGTCTGGGGCGCATTCGTAGGTGTGGAGATTTACAAGAATGCCGATCATTATTACTTCATGAAGACTTACAACGTCTCAAGGGCGCAGGACAAAGTCAGAGAGATAATATCTGCCATTCACCAGTATGCATCGTCAAAGAATGGGACCGAACTTGACAGGGTGAACGTGCAAACTGAGTTACACTACGAATTGATGGAGCAACACATTGTCCTTGGTGAAGACTCTACAGTTGAAGCCAGAGTATGGATCGAGCGAGACTTGGTGGATCTGAAAGAGAAAGCTTTCCGGGCTGCGAAAAGACAAAGAGCGGTGAAACGAGTCGCGACGTTTGCGGTCTATTGGGAAAAGACTGTCACTCCCCTCATTCGCACGGAAGAGACCAACGACACCGACCCAGACGGGTTTGCCGATCTGTTTGAAGAGTCTCCAGAGGACAAAGCCAAAGCTGAAGAACCAGTCACCACGAGCATCTCACAAGACCAGATCGAGTTCTTCACCACGCCGATTCTGGCAAACCGTCACGCCAAGGACCTGTACCTCACATGGCACTTTACATTCCTCCCTGGCTGGCAAAACGAGGGATACAGACGTCTTGAGGACGAGTCGATGGAGCAGTATTTGGAGGAACTGGGGAGTTGGGGCCTGTTTATTCGGGAAGAGGGCTTTGATCGGGTCGACGTCGACGAGAGCGGGGGGGAGAGACGGGTAGAGGAAAAGTTCAAAGTCTGGGTGAAGAAGATCGCAGTGAAGGGGCCGGGGAATTGAAACTCTGCGACGCATGCGCGCACGCTCGTTCTTGTCTTCGCAGTTTCCCCGTGTTTTGGGTTGGGTCGCTATTGGAAACCTGGAAGCGGCGGGTGCAAAACAATTGCTCTGCTGGGCTGGAAAAATTTGGGCACAGTGTGGTTGGATGTTGAACTTATGGATTTTGTTTTTCTTCGCTAGTTCTTCTCAGTCGAGCTGCTCTTTCAAGTTCCGTTCGGTTTGGCATCGTGGGACACGTTCCAGGAAGGATGACGCCAGATGCATAAGATGAATGGCTGGCTGGCTGGCTGGCTGGAAGCTGGACCTTGTTTGCTCCATAGTAACAAGCAATCGAAGTTGGATGGCGACCGTCCTTCCATCCAATTCCCTTCTGTCCAAAGCTGCCCACCAAGGAATCAGGAAGATCAAATTCGATGAAAATCGCTGTATGAAATAAAACGCCTTTATTAGGACCCCCTGGTGGTGATACATGTCTCTCTCCCCCCCTTTGGCCAGATATCCTCCCGTGTGTCGTCTGACACGTATTGTAGCATCCTGTCTAGTCTAGGTACTTTCAGCAGACCCCCGGTGTGGTGGAGCCGCGTGCTTGAACAAGTCCTCCCTTCGCTGCCTCCGTGTCCAGTTCCTTTTTTTTTTTTCTCTCTTCACCGAGAGCAGTAGTCCTCCTGCTCGGCCAAGGACTCATCAAAGTCCCACAACAACTTATCCGTGTCCTCCTGCGTCTGTACCAGCCACGCGATGCACGGCATGGCAGCGTACGCCAACAGGACCATCCCGAACACCGGGCCGGCGACGACGTCGCGTCCCGTGAAGTACTGGACGATGCCGTCCCACCAGGAGCCCGTGCCCCAGGAGACCTGGGCGACGACGCTGGTGCCCAGCTCGACGGCCAGCAGCCACACGAGCGCCAGCACGCCGACCAGCACAGGCGTCGACGCCATGAACCGCAACCCGTTCTTCCACCAGCTGCCCTTCGGCTGCTTTTGGCCGGACTCCAGGTTCCACACTGTCACCTGCGCCGCCTGCCAGATGATGATCAGCATGATGGGCATCTCGAACAGCTCGGCGTACCGCGCCCCGATCAGTGGTTGTAGATAGGGGACGCGGATGGAGCCGAGGATCACGCCTGAGAGGAAGACGAGGGAGAAGTAGATGAGGGAGAGGGGGAAGGTCTGTTGTAGGACTCCCATTGTTGTTTGTGTGTTTTTGTTGTTGATGTTGCGGATGGATGGATGGCTGGATTGATTGTTGTTGTTGTTCAGATATGCTTGATAGATACCTCGAATGGGTTCGATGGGTGAGGATTTAATTGAGGATTGTCAATTGTTGTGTATTGCTGTGATGTCGGTTTTCCGATGATTTCCGTGTCTTAGAAAAGTCTTTGATCCAATGCACCCCGAGACGCCCTGTGAGATTATGTCCGGGTGTACAAATACCTTTTCTTTTTGGGTTTTCCTCCAGCCCCCGCCGGGAATGGGCGGGAATTCGCGCACTGAACTCAAAACACATGCAACAGCTCGACAAGAAACGCAAGATGAGAGTCCCGAGGTATTTTTCGCTGATTGTGGTACCCTGGACCAAGCAACACGGCGTGATCGTGCTTTGCTGGCTGACGTATGAAGGGACTTACCTAACACTTTACCCGCTAACCTCTACTTGTAAGGCTGGAAAACAGGCTACTTGGTATTGCATGGGCAAGCCTTGACAAATCGCCGACGAGGATGCGGTGACTTGAGCACATAATATGCTTCTCACGCCACCCAAGTAAAGTTAGTGCGCGAGAGAGTTCGTGAACATGCCACTCTCCGTAGATCATTTCCGGAAAAGCGGTCGATCCGGCCATCGCATTACCAGTACCTTGAATGAATGAGCATCTGGATGGCTTTTCGACTTGTCCGGAAACATACAAGTACAAGTCCAGTATGTTCAATGAATATTCTTCTCTTTTGGTTTTGTTGGCGGCTAACAGGATCCGGCACCCGCAATCCTTGCAGCCTTGCCAAGCCCCTTTTCCCTTCGGCCCCTGCTACAGCCTTGCGCTGGTGCCGAGGCTTGAACTCAACATCACGCCACCAATTTTTTGCACGAGCTGCATCAATTGCCTCATTCAACACCTCGGCCCTGGGATCAGGTGCCAATGCTGCTTGGCTGGATTCGTTGGCCGATTGGTGGGAGGATCAGCAAGTCACTTGCACGGGCGTTGCATCTTAAATGTTCTGATATTCCGTCATTGTCATGTTCGTGTGGAGCGGCTAACTGTCAGAGATTGAGGATTGAACTTGTGGATTGTCTATTGACGGCCGGCAGCAGCAGGTCTGATGGTTCAATCACTAGCTAGTGAAGGTTTGTATCCACTGGAGATGCCGCCTTGGGCCTCCATTCCTCGAGAAAGGCTTTCGTGGTCGCCGCCGCCGTGGCCGCGGCATACATCTGCCACTTTTTGTTTTTGTGGCTGTCGGCATAGTCACACACTCCCTTGATCACCAGAGTAGGAAAGAAGTCACAGATGCCAGAGCCCTCCATCTCAAATCCGATGATATCGTACTTTCGTGCAACTTCGTCTCGATGTGCAGCAGACTTCATCACAGTGTCACCCGATCCCATGTTGCCGATATGGATCGACGGGGAATATGACCATCCTTCGACTGTGCCTGCAGGTCGGGCGTGAGTCTTGCCCCGTGTACGTCGCACCAGGCCATCCGTCTCACAACCCAGGTCCTCACAACTGTTGTGAATGGCGTCGGAACATATGTGAAATGAGCCCTCACTTTCGCAAGTCTGGCAACTTTTGCGGTGCTTGTGGAGTGAAGAAGAGTCGAACAACTTGTCTGCATAGGGACCAGGGTAGGCCGATGTTTCGGCCTCTGCCTGGAGGCCTCTCAAAAGGAGATCTGTATTGAGTTCCAGCAAACGTCGATGGTGCCGTGTCTCCAGTTTCGCGAGAATCGATCGAATCTCTGCAGGTGGCTTCCCGCATCCACCTTCTAGACTATCTTTGGCTTCGAACACTGTTGGATATTGCCTGCCAAACTCGTATTGAATGAGTCCCCGACTAATAATGACGTCCCCTAGGAAGATTTCTCGCCCGGAGCGCCGATCCTGGGGCACTGCTCCACAGATCCCGATGACCAAAGCAAGTTGGATATTTTGATAACTAGAACGCAAACCCTGGGCAGCACCGGCGGCGTTGATTTTGCCCATACTCGGCATATGTACCACGACCACATTGTGGTGACCAATACGGCCTGCAGTGTAGGCATTAGGATCCTTCGCAGCCTTGCCATATCTCTGGGTGCCTTTTTCCCAGTGCTCGTCTAACAACGAAATGACAGCATCCGCTTCAATAGGCAGAGCGCAGATAATGGCAACCTCGAAGCCTAGACGATTGCTGGGGGGTATGTGAGTGGTAGGCCGGGTGATCTCAAGCTTCCGCGATGTCGAACTAGGCATATTACATCGTTCAGCAGTGCCGATCGCTTGTGAAGCAGGTTGGACTGCAGAGTTCCTAGCAGCGTCAGGCATCGTAACCCGAGTGGAAATGGAGCCCAGAATTACCTTATCCATGGTGGCTTCATCGAGCCGACCGTGCAGATATCATGGATCCATCCCGTGCCAGAAAGAAGATCTCCCAGTGGTGTTACGACGTCTTCGAAGATTATCCGACGCCTAGCTTCGATGTCGACTAATGTATGCCCACCGATGCGAGCTATTGGCCCCTTGAGAAACAATTTGTTGTTCACACAATTTCGCGTGGCATCCCAAAACGCTCTGTAGTCAAAACCGTCCCAAGGGACCGTTTTAGACAGAAACTGCCGAGCAGAATGCCAATCGGAGTTGAGGTTTTCGTGGTAATTGCTGAAAAGACTCCTCGCTCGCCTGCCAGTGCCGATTTCAATCAGCATCATTCCAAGGGCCAGTATTCGAGGATATCTGTGAATTTGCCCGATAACACTGCTAGTTTCGCTCTCAATAATGCTAGCATCTTCCCGTCGGACGGCTAAGTATGGTCGATTGATAAAAATTAAAGGCTCGACGTCGTCGTTGTCACACGCCAGCTCTTGCATAAAATGGATATCTTCAGCAGTCCATGATCTGGACATCCAGTCAGAGTCATAAAACTCCCAGGCGGATCTCGCAATAATATAGGCCAAAATGACCTTCATTTTATCAGACAGACGACCGGTCTGGAATGCATCGGACATACTGCGTGATGGACAAGCGAGGATGCGTTCTTTTAACGGCAGGCAGTCCTCAAGCAGCCATAACTGGTCCTCATGTACCTGCAGACATATCTGGGAACCGGATGCAGAACTCATATGACTGCACAGCTGTGTCTCTTTGACGGAAACTGAGGGTTGCTCCCCAATGTCTCGACAATCTTCTTGCTCTGTGAAAAAAATCATCTTTCTTCCCTAGGCATTCACTTTGCTGAATTCAGCCGACTGTGGCGTGTGGTTGGTCGGAAGGGATTGACTCACCTAGGAACCCGGAACTGCATATATTGCCACTCGATCCCGGTGAGAGACGAGGGAAATGCCGGGCGAGAGGAAAAAGCCATGTCAAAGCAAATATCTCTCTCTCTTACCGTCCAGAAAGGCTTCAGGCGCAGCCGAGATAGATGTCTCTTCTTGTCCATGACACCTTCAGCCTCGTCATCAACCCGGGCCACACAATGGCATCTGGAATACTTCTGCAGCGTCTGATATAATTTCTGGGCGATGCCTCTGGGGTAGCTATCCTCAGGAACGGCGTTCGCGATCCGGCGATGCCTCCCCGCTTGTCCAGTCGGCTGACCCCCGAATGCTTTTATAAGAGCAATGAGCTTCGGCAATCGTCCCTCAGAAGCATAGGCCCACAAGCCAGCTTCCAAGTCATGGTTCGTTTCGATGTGGGATTGCGATGTATCTGCAAGATAGAGCAGAAAGCCGAAGTCTTCACAAGGCTGTTCACGGTGCCACTGCCGATTTAGATCAGCTTCCAGATTTCGCTCGCAGGGAATGCTGACGAACGGTGCAGGCTCGTGCAAGCTCCCTGAGCAGTTTCCTGATTCTTCTCTCAATCCGGTCTGCCTGCAACGAACTGTCAACCCTTTGCAATATCCTCGAAAGGGCAGCTAGCTCCCCTCCCAAACTCCCAAGTTCTCGATCCAACTCCTTAATGCCTAGCAACGTGGCGACGTGCGCTATGGCGATCAAGGCATCGGGAGCGATGTCGACTATGTCTGAGCCATCGACTTTCTCACCTGCCATGATGCCGGTCTCGTGTTGAACGGTCTTCTCCAGGGGATTTCCATGACCTTGTGCATGAAGGAAGGAGAAAACGCTGTTCAGCCCACCGTGCCACCTTCTCTGTGTCCCGCCATCCCTGAAACGGAAAGAAATCCCCCGCATTGGACTGGCCTTCACCCTGGCCTCTTCACTCCTAAAAGCCTTTCCGTCGGCAACGTCTTGCCATCTTCTATCATCAGCATCGAGATTTCAATGACTGTCTGGCATAGCCGGAACCAGTGCATCGCCAAATAGCGGACAATATGCTAGGTCGCCCCTCGGCTGGTTCGGATGTCCTCATTGAAATCCGGAGATGCCAGGAGTTGTTCGAGGAATGCCTCAATATCCGCCTGCTGATGGAGCATGAGTGGGCCGAAAACAAGCTCGCACTTTTCAAGCTGTGGGCTTCTGGAATGGACGCTGTCGCACCGGACACAGACTCATTTTCTGTAGATGCCAGGGTTGGCCGAAAAACAGCGCTGGTGGATATCTTTGTTGGCCTTCTGCAAATGTTGGCTGAATTTCTTAAAGAGTGCCAGGCGTTGGGCAAAGAAGCTCTTCACGTAGAGGGGGTTGAGCAACACCTCGCTGGGGCAGCACGTAGGTCTCAGCAAGGAGAGCCAGATGCTATGTACAGGGGGAGAGCAGTGACTTACCGTCGGGGTCAAAGCCACCGAATCTCGAGGTCAATATCTCCCTGGTCTGATCAGTCCAGCCTAGGATGCGGATCAGATGGTACTGGTCAACCTGACGACGATCGGCTTGCCGAATCAATGAAGGGCGTTGAGTCAATGCTTTACCAATTGGACAATCTCAGCCTCGCGCTGCGGCCATCGGAAACTCCGTTTCCACTACAGGAAGCCGACTGGTATTTCAAACAATCGGAACACTCACATCTCAAGGCCTTCCTCACATCTTGGATCTTATCACATACAGGTACAGGACCTTCTGATGCCTTCAGCCCCGTGACCAATCAGCAGAGATTAACTTCTGTTCAACGGCGCTTGGTCTACGCAAATCTCAGGAGGCGCAACCGCTTCCTATATGCTCAAAAGCATTCTCAAAAGCCGTCTGTGAATGTTGAAGCTAGTCGAGCCGAGCCGACGTCGGTCTCAGAACCAGACACCAACTTGTCGCTATACGCTGATGCTCCTACCATCGCCGAGGCTTCAGTTCAGCAAGGGCCCTCTAACGTGGCGCAAGATGTAGCTGCCGACAGTCCAAGTGTAATGCGTCTAGGAGCCCCGACGGAGATAATCAACGACCAAATCGAAGAACAAGGCTCTTTGTTCATTCCCACTTCCTCAAATATGCATCATCTTGTGCCGCCCCCGATGCGTCCGAGAGCAAGGTCATTTGAATGCCCTTGCTGTTATCAGTTGCTTGATCCTACATTTTGCTCTGACAGTCTCTGGAGGTGAGAATGAAAGGGATTTGGGGCGCATGCCATGGACTAATCATGTCATAGGGGGCACCTTACTAGGGACATCCGCCCATATACGTGCATCTACGAAAAGTGCTCTAATCCGGAAGCCACTTTTGCCACACGGCAAGCCTGGATGGATCATATGACAGGAGACGAGCCTCTCAATGAGATGTCTTGGAGCTGCTTGATATGCGCTGATGGCATCAGATACCAAGAGAGCTCATATCTATCAGATCACATCATGGAAAACCACTCGGCATTCGTCACAATCGACCAGATGCCGACGTTACTTGACGCATCCCTGAGAACACTGTCGCCTGCATCTCTATCGTGTCCATTGTGTGGTCCCAACAGCAAGGTTGACCCAGAAACGGCTGGCTTCCCCTTGGACCACATTGCCGAGCACATCCATTCCTTCGCATTTCTGTCTCTTCCATGTGCGCCTGACACTTTCGCCGTGGACTCCAAGTCAATACAGGGCGCGAGCGAATATGCAGATGCGTGGCTAGAAGCCACTGAGATATACATGCTTGAACAGCGTAGGACAGTGAATGCGCCGGGCCGTTCTCTCCATGATGAGCAAGCTTTCGCTGAGATCGGAAGCATGCACGCCAACTCTGAGATGGATTCGGATCTGGGAGATTTGGGTAGTAAAATACCGGAAGTAATCCATCTTAAAGAAACCGATCAAAGAGAGATTCCCGATCAGAGGTCCCCCTTGGATCAGGCGACAAAGGATGACTGATTTCAAATCCAATGCCCCCGGCCAAGGCGTGTCTAGCAGAACATCTTTGGACGCACCCGACAAAGACGACGATAACCTCAAAAAAGAAGAAACCGTCATTGATCCACCGCGGTTGTTCCCAAAGTGAAGAGCGGAAGTCTCAACTTGTTTGCAGTAACGTCCATACGATAAGAACCCAACCACTGCTCTTCAAGATGAGTGCAGTATTCGGTTACCTGCCCGATAGCAGTTACCCAAGCGCGCGCCGTGAACCAAAGGCTACATGTGACTATCGGACGGGATTCGGACATACGTCTCAGGACGAGAAATAAGAGTCATTTTTATCAGCTTGCAACCTGAGGAGTACAGGTCTTAGACACATGGCCTGTCGTTTGACATATTGGAATCTGTATCTTCATGGTCCGGCTGGACCTGACATGGACCGCACGGTTTTTGTATGGAGAGCAACAACTCGGGCCCTAGTCTCGCTAGTCTCGTTGGGACGACTCCATCATATTCGCCATTTTCCCTCCCAACTTACAGAACTCTTGCCAAACGGTATGCTCGGGTAAAGGAAGTGGCACTATGACGTGGAAAAGCATGTCGTACTCGATTGCGACATAAGAGCCCTCAATGTGGATGGGTTGGCTGCTCTTCCACATGGAGCCGACCGCACCGAGTGAGACTGGAGTCTGTTTTCCCGAAGGAAATACAATTCCATCATTATCTACAGTGTCCAGCCGAATGGAGCTCTCTGATAGGGTGTCAGACTGAACATGTCCAAAGTCTGTTTGATTTCTCGTCAAGGATTGCTGCAATCACATCCGACATGTCCCAAGCATCGAGAGGTTGATCATTGATGCATATCTTGCGCATTGAGAAATGGCTGTTTGTAACATTGGATCGATGTCCGGCTTCCTGGAGCCCAACAAAACCACATGTCCCAACTACAATACAATCCCACAAGCTCGTTGTTGACCTCCGCAACGACATGAAGTGTGATCACCGTGTCCCATTCTAACGGCCTGGGCAACATGATATTGGCGTCCCTCAGATCACGTTTTCCTCTCTTTCACTCCCCTCCCTGGTTCGCATCAGATGCTAGAATGCTCCTTCCACCATCCGCCGTGATCCTCCCTCGGATCTTGACCTTCGCATATCCGTCTTCCAGCGGTCTGAAGTTGAGACAGCCCCTGCTACCGTCGACATCGAAGTATGCCTTTGGGCAGAACACCAGAGCTTCTCCCCGACCCAATCTCACAATCGTCTTGAAGACTTTGTCATGGCTGTCGCTTCCACTCTTTGGCTGCGCCAAGGCCGCGAGGTGTCGCTCCAGCACCTTGTACCAGTCCGGAGACTGAAACTGGTGCACAATGGCCACGTTACAGAGGTCGAGCAGCTTAGGCGATATGGTCGGCTCCTGAGTCGCAATCACCACGCGCGTGGCGAGGTGTCGTTGCTGGCGGATGACCTGGACCAGATCCTCCGAGAACGCTTGCGCGGCTGGGGTTTCCGTCATGAACTTCAAGCATGTCAGTTATAATTTGCAGGAGAGATGGGGGACAGAAAACTGGGGAGCCACGCCTCACCTTGTGGGCTTCGTCTAGAGCGATAATCAAAGGGCTTCTGTCGCGACGGCCGAGGAAGATCTGCAGGAAGATAGAGAACAGCACACACGCGTCGGACTCGGTGATAAAGGAACAGCTGAGGTCGACGATCAAGATTGTTCGAGGCTTGAACTCGACCATTCCGGCTCGTTCCTTGATGGACTGCGGTGCGGTCTCTCTGAGAAACCATTCGGTCAAGCTATAGCGCATGTCGAGGAAGGTCATTTGCGCAGGCGTCAGACTTTCATTGAGGATCGCTTTCTTCATCGCTCTGTAGTTGACGCCCGTCGTGGTTCCCGTGAGCGAGAGCTGCTTGAGAACTTTGTTGACGATGGCCATGTATAACGGTGGGTTCTTGTCATCGGGGTCCACAGCCATGAGGGCCTTGAGGTTCGCGACGTTGAGCTGCTGCTCGCTGAACAGGAATGGGATGACCTCCGGCCTCGGGGCGCCTTTCGGCCAGTTCGGCAAATTGCGGTAGAGCTTCTGCATGGCCGGCAGGTTCGATGGCGACACAAGGACTTGCACTTTGATGGCCCGAGAGCTGAGATAGGCGGCTTCGCAGACCTGGGTGGCGCTGTGAGATGTGAACTTGTCATAGTGGAAGACCAAACCGGACATGGGTGTCGGGTTGCGGCCGATGGTGCTGTCACTGATGAGGGCGTTTTCGAGCAGACAGGACATGGTGTGGCTCTTGCCGGCGCCTTGCTGGCCGCAGATGAAGGTCGACCAGGGGTGTTGCATGTTGGCGTAGATCAGGTTATCCTGCAGCGACAGGTCCCGCGGCAACAACCTGGCATCATGCAATTTGTCGAACGCACCCGTCCGGAGTCCCAAGAGGCCGTATGCTGGGAGTTCCGGGACCTGGTCGCTCGTCGAAAACGACGCATTGAGGCGCTGCTTGACTTGGCTTGAGAACAGTGGCGCCGCCTCCAGATCGCGGGGGAAGATTGAAGATGGTCCATCATCGGTATCATTTACGCCATCGTCCGAAGCAAACAAGCTCAGGTGTCTGGCTGTCTCTTCGTCGAGACCGGACGGGCTGCTCGTCGGGCTGAGGATTATTGGCCCAGAGCCTGGAGAACTGCTTCCACTGTCCATGTCTGGCGGATGGATGAAATGTGAAGTTGCAGTTGTTGTTGCAAAGAGAAGGGAGGGTTGAAGACATAGATCATTTCCAACAATTTAAGCAGTGGGGGAGGAATATATCTCACTCCCTGATATTTCGATCTCTCACTCCCTGATATTTCGATCTCTCACTCCCCTCTATTGCTGAGGCGAAAGAAAGGAGCGGGAACGACGCAGGTTGAGCAAACAGAAACAACAAAAAACAACAAAAACAATATCACTCAAATCAAACATTGCTTTCAACAGCAAACCTTCTTTGTTCCGGTTCATTTTGAGTGGCTGCTGACAAGAGCAACAACGACGACAACACAGGAAACCTTGCGTAAAACCCTGTACACGGCATGCTGAATCTAGGGCAAGGGGGAAAACAAAAAAGGGAGAGTGGTAGGGAATTAGAAATAGCTGCTGTTTTTCCTCATAACGCGTATATACATACGCCCCCCCGGAGGCAATGCAATGGTGGAGGGGCGGTAGCTTGTTGAAAGGAACAGAAAAAGGAGAAGGGGGACAAGGGCTAGGTTGGATATGTACACACAGAAACACAAACATAAACAACACGTACACACATAAATCATGCCGCCCCAGGACGCAGCGTCAGCCTTCAATGGACTGCATAACGGCCCAGGTGAGCAGGGCGTAAGCTCAAACCCCAAGCTCAGCCCCAGTGCCTCACATTGCGCAGCTCAGCGTCAGTCACGCTCTGCTCAGATCCTTTCTTGCGCTGGTGGAGTTTGGAACGGGAGGCGGTGTTGTCTGCCTGCCTGCTTACCCGCCTCTCTGACACAAAGGAAACAGCATGCATCCAGCCGCTCCTTTCGCAGTAAAACGGTTGAGAAAACCCAGTTGATGGGACTCGTAATCTCTTTCATCATAACATCTTTATGTTCGATCTTTCCGACTTTCAACTTTCAACTTCATTCCAACTTCTAGCTCGGCAATCATGCCTCCCTGCCTTCCTGGTTGACCGACAAGCCCATAGACTACCGCTTTTTTGTCAATGTGCCAGCGACATACGGCAGGGCAGTCCACTCGAAATGGGTCTTCAGGTCGACGGCTTCCCAGGGGGCGGCGCTCTTCAACACGGCGGGCGTGTCGCGATCCATGTTGCAGCCGGCGAGGAAGAACGGCCAGCCGAGCAGGTGGTAGAGGAGCTGCATCGCGCGGCCCAGGATGCTGCCATTCTTAGTCCATGGATTCCGGATGTGCTCGACGATCATCAGCTCGCCGCCGGGCCGCAGCAGCGAGTACAGTTCGCTGGCGGTTTGTGCAAGGTTGGGGACCGAGCAGAGCACGCGGACGCAGACGATGGTGTCGAAGATGCCCTTAGCGGACGGCTTGACTCCTTCCTTTGCCAGCGCGGCGAGCACCTCGGCCTTGTCGGCCGTGCAGCTGAGGATGTGATATTTGTCGGTCAGCTTGGCTTCGTTGATCCGCTGCTGCAGCGGGACGTGGAGGCCTGGCGTCGGCTCCGCGCCATACACGGCGCTAATATTGGGGTTGTCGGAGAACAACGATACGTAGGACCCGGATCCGGGCCCGATGTCCAGAACCACCCCGTGAGCGCGGGACAGCAGCGGTGGGACTAGAGTCGCTGAGCCCTTTGGAGGGGGAGGCGGGTCGACCGGTTCTGGAGAATGGAATAATAAACACCTTGCACCGTCTTTTCCGTCTTCTTCTTTCTCCATTCCCCGAGCAAAATGTGATTGATCGGGGAGTGGGTACTAAACTTACCCGTGACTTTGGTCCAGAATTTGGAGAAAGCATCGTCCCGAACATTCTTGAAGTTGGACGCCGAGGGGAGATGAAGCTGGAGGACATAGAACTGAAACGCCGTAGTGACGAATGCTAGCAAATTTTTAATTTTATTTCGTCAGAGACCAGAACCCTCCGGTGATGAGTATTCTTGGCTTTGCAGAGGAATCAAGGGGCGGAAAGTGGTTATGTAGAACCTACCACAAGCGCTGGACCAGAGCAGGTAGCCCGGATCAAGCAGATTCAGCAGACGTTCTTGGAGAGGGGGCCACGGCATCTTGACGACAGCAGCTGTGTATGTGATAGCTTCAAACTGGAAGGGTTTACTTCAACCTGGCGAAATCGAAAGTTGATATTACAACCCACAAACTGGAGAGAGGGGGGGGAGGGAAAGGAGAAATGGAATTTATATTACATATTCTTCGGTCAGCTTGCCGAGGGCCAAGGGTCGACAAGGGTCTCAGCCTCACTAGCATCAGCCTCGCTGACTAACCAGCCTGAGCTCAGCCTTTCGGTGCTTGCCACCATTGCGGGGCGCGAGGCTGAACACTCCTTGACACTATAAAGGGGCTAGCAGTAATGCCTGTCCTTCCTAAGAGGATTGCACGCGATGCAGATATATCTCAGTCATGCCCGCCACTATAGGAATAGGTATGACTGCCTGAATGAGAATGTCTCGCCTCCTTGATCTGGCGAGGCCGGCTTCTTTCGGGGGCCCTTTCAGGGGCCAAAGGAGATAGAGGGGTAATGAATGACATTTTGTCTTGACCTTATCAAGCCACCCCGCACCAATGGCTCTCCCCAATTCCTCGTATCCCTCACGGATTACCAGACAGTACAGCAGCATTACTAACAAGTAGGGTGTACGAGCTTGACGACTGTTGCTGCCAATTGATCATTGACCTCGCCGACCCTGAGCGGCTTGTCTGTCTGCTAAAATACAATCGTTGTCTGCTCGCTGTATCCTCGCGCAAGATTTGTCTTCCGGAGCATCCCTTCTTCCCTCCCGCCACCAACCTCACACAGACGTCTGTCTTCCCTCAGAACGACTTGTCTATCCTACAGCCGTTGCTGCTGCTGTGGTAGGTGTAGAAGGGGAAACAAGGGGAGAAAGTGAAAGCCGGAAGGAGACAAGCAAAAACCGGTAGTGGGTTTCTTTTTCTTGGATAAGAAGCTATGGCACATTCTGGTTCAGTCGACGACCAGGACTCTCCTTCAGCAGCAGCGGCAGGAAGCTCGGTGAAGTCATGGCTTCAGAGACGGCGACGACACGTACATAGCCGTCTCTCTGCTTTTCACGCCAGCATACCATACGTGCGAAAGCTACCCCTGGCTGTCATCGTGATCGTCAGTTCGCTCATCCTGGTCAACCTCGTGGTGTGGGCGATATGTGGCCTGATTCTGTCTTCGCACACCCACCTCTTGTCCACCGCTGCCTTGGCCTACACGCTGGGCCTTCGACATGCCCTTGACGCCGACCACATTTCTGCCATTGACCTGATGACCCGCCGACTCATAGCCACGGGCCAGAGACCGGTGACAGTGGGCACCTTCTTCAGCCTGGGCCACAGCACCATCGTCGTCATCACGTCCATCGTGGTGGCAGCCACCGCGGCAGGCATCGCCGGGCGCTTCGACAGCTTCGGCACCGTTGGCGGCATCATCGGGACGTCTGTGTCGGCAGCATTCCTGATCCTCCTGGGCATCATGAACGCATACATTCTGTACAAGCTGGTCGTACAGATCAAGAAGGTCATCCGCATGCGGCCGGAGCAGGAGGCCGAGGAGGCCTGGAAGATCGAAGGGGGCGGCTGTCTCTTCCGGGTGCTGAAGAAGATGTTCAAGCTCATCGACCGTCCGTGGAAAATGTATCCCCTCGGAGTCCTTTTCGGCATGGGCTTTGACACGAGTTCCGAGATTGCACTCCTGGGGATAAGCAGCATTCAGGGGGCCAAAGGGACCAGCATCTGGCTTATCATGATCTTCCCCGTTTTGTTCACGGCTGGGATGTGTCTTGTTGACACGATCGACGGGGCGCTGATGATGAGTCTGTACGTTGCCCCGATGGGCATGGGCGGTGACGAGACGAGCAAGAAGGGCCACGCAGGCGAAGAGGCCCAGAACCACAGACCTGCCGAGCAAATCTTTACAACAACGGACGAGCCATTGATCCTGGTCGACGTTGAGCAATCGGCCATGCAACCCGCTCCGCCAGAGCAGCAGCAACAACAACAACAGCAGGAGCTGGCATCAGCAGGTCAACAGCCAACAGCAGCACGAGTAAAAGATCCCCTGACGTTTCTGTACTACTCGATCGTCTTGACGTCTCTGACCGTGCTCTGCGCCGTCATCATCGGCATGCTCCAGCTCCTCTCGCTGATCCTCAACGTCGCCTCCCCCAGGGGCCCGTTCTGGGACGGCGTCGCTAAGGCCGGCGATCTCTACGAGGTCATCGGCGGCGCCATCTGCGGCAGCTTCGTCGTCGTCGGCGGCATCAGCGTCCTGTGCTACAAGCCTTGGAGGAGGTGGGTGGATCGGGAGAGAGAGCGGTTGAGAGGTGCTGTCCCTGCTGTGCCCGCAAGAGGCGACTTCGACGCTGGCGATGAGGAAGGCATTGTCACGCGTGTCGAGGACTCGGCTCGTGGTCCTGCAGGAGGACGAGGAGGCGACGACCTAGAGCGAGGTGCAGTTTTCGTCCGCGAGGAGGAGCTGGTTTCTGTGGACGGCAAGGGCAAGACGATGCACACGCACAGGGAGAGGGTTGGGGGGCAAGCCCTTTGACAGTGCTCCTCCCGCCGCGCCTACGCGACCAAGCGGTAGTGGAGCAGGGCGTTGTGGTTGAGGGTGCCAACAAAGCACAACTACGAGGCTGAACTGTCCTCGTAGCAGCGTCTCACAAGGGAAAATTTTGGACGATGTTCTCATAAAACGCTGTGCAGAACTAGCACCCGACAGGTGGGAAAGAGGAAGGGCCCTCAATGCCAGAGCCAGGAGCAATCCAAGATTCGTGATTCATGTGAGGAATTAGGGGCAAGAGTTCTAAGGACACGGTTAGATGATACCACCTTCTTGTTCGGCTCTCGTTGTCATATGAAACAGGGCCCCGTATTCTATAAATTTCGCATATCCCAGACCTCCATACGTTCTTTCGATGCAGCCCGAAGCATGCGACAGTATCTCGTAACAAACAATTTGTGATGAAGAATAACGGGTCGGTGCATGCACGAAAGGAAGGGAACTTTTGCCTGGGTTCGTGAGACAGACTCAGCATGCTCAACCTCGAATGCATCGCCTTGCCTTCTAAGCCCTCGAGTACCACATCTCGACGGTATTTCTGCAAATAACTCGTGGATATTGGATGCCTTGTGAGGCTTCGCATCTCCTGATACTCAAAAGCCTGAAGATGCCGAAAGAGATACCTGGCTCATGCCGTTGGTCAAGGCACCATTGACTCTGTTTCCATTTGGCGCGTGAGCGCCATCACCATTGAGGGACTCGTTTCTTGTAGCCACGGCAGAGAAGACTTGCTCTAACATCCCGGCGCTCGCGGCCAGAAAACCCAAATAAGGTGGACTGGGCCGGAGCACCCGACTGAGGTACTCAGGATGGAATTGTACGCCCACAAAGAATGGATGTTCTTTCAACTCCATCACTTCCATGCGCTCTCCCTTGTCGTCTTTGCCAATGAATGTTAGGCCAGCGTCGGATAGGCGAGCGATGTATTCTGGGTTGACTTCGTAGCGGTGACGGTGCCGCTCATTAATGCTTGGTGTATTGTTGTACAGCTTCCGCAGCCGCGACCACTCGGTGTTTTCCTGGAAGATTGTGGGGCGGAGTCCTAATCGCATGTTGCCGCCCATGGTCGTCTTGTCGATTTCGGGCATGAAAATGACCACGGGATCAGGCGTCTGTGCGTCTAGTTCGACCGAATGAGCCATTTTCAGGCCGCACATGTTGCGGGCAAACTCAATGACAGCGACTTGCATGCCCAGACAGATTCCGAGATATGGCTTAGGTTTCGTTCGAGCCCAGTTTGCAGCTGCGATCATGCCTTCGGTACCGCGGTGTCCAAATCCGCCGGGGACGAGGACGCCGTCGGCTGTGCACAGATCGTGCCAGGCCTTGTGGTATTTCTCTGGATTTGAATCCAATGTCGATTTCTCGAGGTTGCTTGCGTCAATCCAAACAAGATTGAGTTTGCGCCGACAGGCCATAGCGCTATGCTCCAGAGCCTTGATGACGGAAAGATAAGAGTCGTGAAGATTCGTGTACTTACCGACCAAGGCAATGTTGACTTTCTCCGATTCCAGGAAGCGGTCTTGTGACGAGGTCAGCCGTTTCCACTCCTGCCAAATTTGCTGGCCTTTGATGACCAACGAAGGGGCAATGTTGTATGCGTCTAGACGAAAGAGCTCGCGGAGCTGGTTAGGGAGACCTTGTTCTTCTAGGAGAAGGGGTACATGGTATGTCGACTCGACATCGTGAACAGCTAGGACTTGCGAAGGCTCAACTTGGCAAAACATGGCGATCTTGTTCGTTGTGGCCTCAACCAGCTGTTCCTGGCAGCGGCATGCAATCTGGGGTATCGTTAGTCCCTGCTCACAAGAGGCCTAAAAAAGTATCTGGATTACCAAGTCAGGCGCCAGACCAGCTGAGCGTGCATCCCGTATGGCCTGCTGTGTAGGCTTCGTCTTCTGCTCACTGCCAATGACCGGCACCAACGAAACATGGATATGGATAAAGTTGTCGCGACCTGCTCTTCTCCGAAGCTGCCGCATGGCCTCAATGAAAGGTGCACTTTCAATGTCACCTACCGTCCCGCCAAGCTCGATTATGCAGACATCCGGCTCTTCCTTTGTGTCATCAACAGGAATTCTCGCAACTCTTTCGATCCAGTCTTGAATCGCATTGGTGATGTGAGGAACCACCTGGACGGTCTTGCCAAGATAGTCTCCTCTCCTCTCGCGTTCGATGACATGCTGGTACACTTTCCCCGTCGTGATGCTGTTCTCGAAAGTCAAAGTAACGTTCAGATACCGCTCGTAGTTTCCGAGATCAAGGTCGACTTCGCCGCCATCGTCCAGAACAAAACACTCGCCATGCCTGAAACATGATTAGACAGACATCTTTAGACGTAGCCAGAGTGTGCATACTCAGTCGGGGCCATGGTTCCTGCATCTACATTCAGGTACGGGTCAATCTTAATCGCCGTGACCTTCAAGCCCACAGTCTTGAGCAGAAGCCCTGTCGACGACGCAATTATACCCTTGCCAATCCCGCTGATCACTCCACCGCTCACTAGAACGTACTTCATCTTGAAAGAGGGAGCGGAGGAGGTGTGACGGGGGGCTACGAGGGAGAGGCCACGAGAGACGATAGTCGGCCGGTCGAGGATATAATTCCCGTTCGGGTCGAAAAGTACGTGCAGATCCCACAGAGTTGTTGGGACTGGTTTCGTGCTCGATGCCGAAGACAGTGATTTCAAGGGCAAATGTAGGTGTCCGTCGCTGGCTGCCGCCAGGCGGGAAGAAAGATAAAAGGAAAGTGAAAATGCAGGTTTGGTGGCTGCACAACCAAAAACTTGCCCCGGACCAGGATCCACAGGCACGTCAATGGCTTGGCGTTGTTGACAGCGACGCGTCCCACTTTACGCGCTCGTCCAGCGCCCAACAAACACATCACCACAAGGAGATGGAGGCAGAGACAGAGACACAGAGAAAGCACTGGTGGCACCGCCTTCAAGACCCTTGGGGTTCACCATCCCTCAACAGGTTGCAGCTGCAATATTTATACAATAGAATCACCCCGCATCAGCTCAGATGAATCGTAAGACCTCGCCGACCATCATCACCATCGTCATGGTCTATCCCTGAATTCGAGAAAATGTCCTTCCACAGCCAACAAAGATACACTACCTTGGCTTCCCAATCATTGTGCTTGGCTCTCGATAAACTCTAGCGCATTTTCCTTCGTTTCTTCTTTAATACTGCTCACGTTGTTGGCGAAACGCACCCCGAAACACTTGTCCGCCACTCTCAGCATTTCAGGTCTGAATGTCGTGCAGATGAACTGTCCTCCTAACGGCCTGTCGTCGCCATTCACGGGTTCGTCATCGCCTCGGTTGGCAAGCCACAAAAGGTGCTCGGCCACAGCGGCTCGGTATTGTGCGTCGAGGTTCGCATCAATCTCATCGAAGATGTAGAATGGTGCCGGGTCGGTTGCTTGGATGGCGAAGATAAGAGCAAGACTGCAAAGACCTAAACATCGGAGTTAGCCAAGAGCCATCTTCAGAAACTGTGGCATTCTCACTCTTCTGGCCACCACTCAACTGCTGAATGCGCTGTTGCTCGTCGTGTCTGCTGTTGAAGCTGACACTGATACCCACGCCGGTGTAATTCTCAACACCTTGTTTGGCGACAGGTTCAGCATCCGATTCTTCACCGTCATCCTCCGGTTGCCTCCCATCTGTTTTTCGTTGAATGATCAATCGGCCTCGACCGGCAGGGACAAGTCTCTGAAACACTTCTGCAAACGCCTTGCTAACCTGCTTGAAAGTGCGTTCAATGGCTTCGTCCTTCCTCTGGTCGAGAACTTGAATCAGGTTCTCGATGGCTGACTTCCCGGCTTCGAGTTCCCTCCGTCTTGTAGTGAGCTCTTCCCGCGCCCTCATCGATGATCGGTAATGTTCAAAGGCATGCTTGTTGACGGAGCTGTACTTTTTCAGAGCTTCTTTGACCTTGTGGAGCTTCTTGACTATGGCGTTGGAATCAACATTCTCATACTTCAGCCGCAAATCCTCATCGACCGCGCCGAGTTCGCGAATTTTCTCCACGGTTTCCTGCTTCGAGACCAGCAGAGCAGCCTTTTTCTGGACAGATTTTTCCAGACGCCGCTGGTGACGCTCAAGCGCCTTGGCCAACTCTTCTTGTTGCTCTCTGATCTTGTCCGCTTGAGACTCAAGCTTGGCGATTTGAGTCGCCGAAGTCTCTACCTTGTCCTCAAGATCATCAAGATATCGTTGAACAGAATCGAGTTCTTTGGTCAGACGTGCCAATTCCGTTTTCTTAGCGCGCAAATTAGAAGAGCTGCTGGCCTCATCATCCACATCGTCGGATTCTAGCGCTGCGAGCTGAGGTTTCAGGCTTAAGGTCAATCGAGCTTCTAAGTCAGCCTTTCTGGTCTCAATTTCCGTTCTAGACGTAGAGAGATCGTTGTATTCGCGCCTCAACTTCTGGATGCTGGCCGCAAGACTTTCTAGCTGCCGCTCTTCAGCTGTGCTCAGTGTCGTCTTAAAGTCCGAGCTCAACTCAGCTTGGTATGCATTTTGTTGATCGGTCAAGGCCTTGACATTTGTCGCTATCGCCACCTCCTGCTTCTTCTTCGCCTCAAGGTCATCTTTCTTGCGTTGGAGCGTCTCCATCTTGTTTCGGATCTCTTGTCTGATTAATATCTGGGCGCTCTCAGATTGGCTCTTTTGTTGCTCGAATTTCTGGACCTCGCTCATGGCCTTGGTGATCGTCTGGTCGATCTTTTCGATCTTCCTCTTGTTATCGTTGCTCTCCGTCTTGATTCTTTCGAATTTCTCGCGAGCTGTTATGACCGCCTTCGTAGCTTTGAGCCTGGAAGAGCGGATATCGTGGTGGCCACCGGTCAATGCACCTTTCTTGTCAGACTTGTCGCCCTCTGGTGTCACCGCTGTCAAGCCATGAGTTCGAGCATACTGTGCTGCGACGCTGAGGTTCTGTGCAATGATGGCTTTGCCAAATACTTGTTGGACGGCCTTCTCATATCTCGCGTCGTATTTCATGAGCGACATGAGCGGTCTCGCATCTTGCGCATTTGGGAAGTTTGCCGTTTGCGGCTTGAGACGATTCAACGGCATGAAAGTGATACGGCCGGCATGCTCCCTGTTTAAGATACTCATGATCGTGGAAGCTGTATCGTCACTGTCGACGACATAGTGGAAGAGAGAATTTCCAGCAACGACTTCCACAGCTGTGTGGTGTTGAGGAACATCAATCAGCTCGGCCAGCGGGCCGTAGCAACCTTCCAGTTTGTACTGCTCCTTAATCCGCCGAACAGCATCCAGACCTCGACTAGTGTTGCCATCCATCGTATGTGATTGATTGCGTTCAGCTTTTCTAACGTCATCTTGGGCCACCACGTATTCTGAGTCTAATTGCGCTTCTCTGCGCCATAACGTCCTTCGTTCGTCCATCAAGGCGTCTTTTCTGTCATTGGCGGCTTTGATGCTTTGATCAATGGAATCGTCGCGCTCGCCGACGCTTTTCTGAAGAGTTTCGATCTCCCGCTCGAGACTGGAAATCAACTTTTCGTCCTCTGCAATACCCTCGGCGGTCTGCATGCGGGTGGCCTTGAAACGGGATAGAGACTGGAATGTTTCGTCGATCTGCGTCTGAAGCCAGTCGTTTCGATCTTTCTTTGACTTGAATCGAGCTCCCCTCGCTTGTTTTGAATACAGTCGCTGCTGCATAGCGAACGCTTCCTCCAGGCGAGTTTTGACGGACTGTTCTTTTGCCCTCTCCGCCTCAAATTGTGGGATGACTTCCCGCAGCTCTTCCTCGATCTCCTTTATCTGCGCTCGAAGTTGTTTCAGCTCTCTGTCACGATTCACCTTGGCACGTTGAGCCGCGGCTTGGCCGTGGACGAGGTTCCTCCCCTCCAACTCCACTTGGGCTCGTGCTCTTGCCTTTTCACGCTTTTCTTCTTCGTACTGTCTTTTCTCAAGCCGTGCGGTGTAAATTTGACGGTTGAGCTCCTGAATTTGCTGAGAAATACTAGCCAGTTCATCCTCGCATTGAGAGTAGCGTTCACGATTCTCGTCGACATCGTCAATGCCGTCCACTCTTCGACCCTCCAACTCAGCCAAGGCCTTATTAATCTCCTCCTGCTCTCGATGGAACAGAGTGTATTCCAGGGCGCGCTTTTGGCGGTCTTTTTCTTGGTAATCTCGGAGTTCTGCTTGCTCCTCTTCCAGTTCCCTGAGGCGGTCTTCGATCTGCTCGAATGTTTGGTCAATAGTGGCTAGTTTGTTGCTTGTATCATTCATGATCTTCTGTGACTCTTCCTTTTTAACGACAAATTGCTGTGTACCTGCCACGCTCTTCAAGACATTCAGCCGCTCCGAGTCTTTCATGTTGGTCAGTCTGGTGATGCGACCTTGGGGGACGATGTAATATGGATTTGCGCGCGAGAATCCTGCATTTTCAAGTAGCTGCATGACATCTTGTTTCGTCGCAACCCTCCGATCAAGCGAATATTCATCTTTCTTGAGGCCGATCGTACGGCGTAGGATGAGCTCGTCGTTTCCGGTTGGGAATCGACCGTCCGAATTATCAAACACTATCTCCACGTAGGCGGACATGATTGCGGAGCCGGACCCTTCGTGGATGAGGGCCTGGCGCTCTTCTCGTCCCATCGTTGAATAAGCATCGGCAAGGACGAATCGGATGGCGGCAAAGAAGTTGCTCTTGCCCGAGCCATTGCGACCGACGATAACGTTGAGTTTTGGCGAGAATGGGTAGACAACTGTCTGATTCTTGTAGCTGCGGACGTGGATCAGGACTGGTTTCTAGGCCTGTGCGCCTGGCTAATTCTTACCTCTTGAAGCCTTGAATGGTTATCTGCTTGATATGCATGATGCACGGACGGGAATATCATCAAAGAAGGTGGTGTTGAACAGCGTGCGCCCAAGAGCGCGGGGGAGCTGAGAATTGCGAATGATTGTTGGATCACAACAAGGTGAGGCTCTGGTTGATGGACACGCGCACGCGGCACGCTCAATCAAAAAGTGGCGCTCAAATCCCATGTTGGCTAGTGCAATTGTTATGTAAGCGACTATTTCGTGCACTGCCATGTACCGAGCACGTGATGACCACACTGCCTTTTTCGGCAGTGCTAGAACTCCCTCGTCTTCCTCCTGCTTCACTCGTCATTCACAATTCCACAGTCAGATCCGGCACCGGGCACTCTTCATCTTACAAACGAGCTTGGTGCAATCCACCATGCTTTCATTTTCTTCTCAAGCTCGGCTTTCCTCCAAGCGCCATCTTCAGACAAGTTCGGTATCAGCCAGAACGGAGATGATGCTACGGCAAGCCCACTCAACCATCACCCTCGAACGACGTTGATGTGCAAGTAATGGCTCACGTCTGCCGTTGCAACAAGACCCGCAACTGGCTCGGTCTATTATGTGACCGCTTTCGTCCTCGGGACGTTTGGATACTTAGGCCTCCAATTCAGGCCGGTTGTTGCTGCGAAGCCAAGGGGGTCATGTAGCATCCATCCTACGACTAGCTTTCTCCACAGGAACCAATAAATTACAAATGCTGAGCTGTTGCGTCTCGCTAGAGTTCTATATAAATCGAATCACAGACTCGTCAGTAAGTTATGTGCTCATTTCTGCTTGAATCGGCTCACTTCTAAATATCGAATCTCGTTTCACATGCCAGTCATCAGCCATGGGGTCTGTATCCAAGTTCACTATCCTCCCAGAATTCGAAGCCCAACTGCGCTATGTCGAACCTGTCGATCAGCGCTCTGATGAAGAAATTCTGGCCTCGTTAGAGCAGTACAAGCCCGTCACATCCGAAAAGAACATCTGGGCCTTCTGGGATAAGGGTATTGGCGCAATGCCGGGTTGGTGCCAGCGTAATGTTGTCAACTGGGTCCGACTTTGTGGGCCATCATGGGCAGTCCATATCCTCAACTCCGTACCAGGCTCTCCCACCAACGCCCTCAAATATGTCTCGGCCGACCTTCTCCCGCAGTCATTCGTCACTGGCACGATGACTGGGATATACACTGGCCCTCATAGCTCTGATTTCCTGCGAGGAGCATGCTTATATTCTCACGGGGGAGTTTATATGGATACCGGGAACATCTTAATTCGCGATATTGATAGGATATGCTGGAATAAGCTTGCGGATCCCAGTTCGCCTTTTCAAGTCTGCGCCCCAATTATGTACGGGACGACCATGGCAAATCACTTCGTTGCGAGTCGCAAGGGCGACCCCTTTATCAAATGCTGGTGAGTGTCACGCAAACCAACCTGAAGCCTGCTAATACACATCCCGTAGGCACGATCTGTTCGTCTACTTGTGGAAAGATCGCCAAAATCACGAAGGCTTGATCCGTCATCCTTTAGTCTCATTTGCATTGATCCATACCTTCGAGGCGGCGGAACAGGCGAAATTCGCTTGGGATTTCAAGGTGGAACCCCAAACAGTCATGGAGTACATCAGTCAGGTTCTATCCTGGCAAAGACTTTGCATGCTGGAAAATGCCAGGGATGGGTTCAATGCGACCGAGTACTGGTTGAACAAGGTGCTCATTTTCGACTCGCTGCAAGAAGACTGGGGAGCAGAAGCCACGATTGGTTTCGGCGGCCCCGTGCTTTTCAACGCTCTGGCAACAAGACTCGATGGGCCAAAGGACTCTGAGGAATACAAGACGGCGAGCAAGTTAGTCTGGCGGCTTCTGACAGAGTCCTCCCTGCAGAAAATCACTCATGGGAAGAATCTGACCACGACGCCTGCAGCTGGTGTGCTCTGGGAGGAGCCAGGCAACGAAGACAAGGACCATGAGCCAGGTACTTTTGCCGAGCTACTCCGGTACGGAACCGTTCACTTCCAACAGACAAGAGAAAGCATCCGGTATCTGAAGGCTGAAAAACCACAAGTGACGATGAAGAAGGGACTTCTCGAGCCTTGAGCCGAAAAGCCTTGCAGACGGCGCTTAGCATTGCCGGCGTCTGCGAAGTTGTCCCCTTCAGCTGTCCTTGGCAAACAGCTGGCTTTGTCGAAGGCTGAAGGACTATTCCTCGAACGTGTCTGCGCCGACATCGGCGCCCCCTCTTGCCCACCTCCACGGAAACACCGCGCATCCGAGGAGTGAAGCTCTGTATGTATGAAGGAGCGATGGAATTTTATTTTTTATCTGATAAGATCATCGATCACCCTTTTCCCTTTGCCTTGTCCGTGACTTCAAATCCGTGCCGTCTTCCACAATGTTTACAAGATTCCTTTTCTGTCTCAGACTGCTCGGCTTCACCCTCTCCCTCTCTTTGCAAAGACTTGGCATTTATCTATCCGCAAATATCCACCGGTTCAGGTACAAATCCGTCTCAGAGCCGCGCAACGTGGTGGTCATAGGCGGCTCGTTCGCCGGGTATTTCCTGGCGAAGCGACTCTCCGAGTCCCTGCCTACGGGATACAGGGTGGTCTTGATCGAGAGACATTCCGATTTCCACTTCACGTGGAATTTTCCCCGCGCTACAGTCGTCGCAGGGCAGGAATACAATGTCTTCATCCCCTACCCTGACACTGGCCCACGGGGTGCTCCTGATGGAGCATACGTTTTCAAGCAAGGCGATGTCGTCGCGATCGAAGCCAGGAAAGTCATACTACAGGATGGGTCAGAGATTGAATACGAGTATCTTGCCATCGCGACGGGGTCGAGCTCGAGGTATCCAGCGAAGCTGGACGGGAACGACGCAAACGAGAATGCCCGCAGCACGAGATTCTTCCAGCAAGAGCAACAGCGTGTGACGGCTGCCCAGGACATTGTCGTCGTCGGCGGTGGCGCTGCGGGCGTTGAAGTCGCCGGGGATATCAAGAGCAAATATCCGCAGAAAAGCGTCAGGCTAGTGCATTCTCGGGAGAAGTTGCTCAACAGTTTTGGCGGGGAGCTTCATGATATTGCAAAAAAGGCTCTCGAGGACCTAGGTGTGAAGCTGCACCTGGGTGAGCGTGTTATTTCTGGCCTGGACGGGGACAATCCCAAGCAGATCACGCTTCGCGACGGCAATGTCATCCAATGCGACATGGTGGTAAAGCATCCTCTCTCTTTCAAGCCACAGAATCCTAATATAACGCTGCACATGCCTTCTCCCTTCCTATACATGCACCATATATTTTCAGGGGCTAACCAAGACCACCAGATCCGGTGCACGGGCCAAAGGCCCAACTCCGACGTTCTTAGGGAGTTCTCACCATCCTCCGTCTCCGCGTCGGGCGCCATCCTCGTGGACAAGACTTTGCAGATCCGAAACGCGCCGTCTCCCAATATCTTCGCGCTGGGCGACGTGGTCGACCTGCCCGGTCCGAAGATGGGCCGCGCCGCCACGATGCAGGGGTTCCTGGTCGCAGAGAACATTGTACAGGCTATCCGAGGGAAGCAGACGAAAACGAGGACAGTGTTGTTGAAGAAATACACGCCTTCCATGGTCGATTCATCAATTGAATTGACGCTGGGACTGGTAAGTTGTCAGTCATAAGTCATGGGCCATGTTGTTGTCGTTGTTTTTCTTCTACTTTCTTCTTTCCTTGCTTTTCCAATTTGAAAATGCTTCTCCCTCAGCAGAGCTAACGCCATCGCAGGGCAAAAGTGTCATGTTCATCAGTGACGGCATAGAGAACATGTCGATTCGGAAAACCATGCCCGACGAAGCTATGCACGCGGTCCAGATGTGGAAAATGATGGATGCGCAGCACTCACCAGTCGCCAATGATCCTGGTGACGGGACTGGAAGGTCGGCGGCAGCTTCTTCAAAATTGTAGCTGCCTCGTTGATCCCAAGCTCGTATGAAGTCACGTCGGCGACAACCGTTCTGTGTTTTTGGTCGTGAAAGGATTTTTGTGCGTGGGTTGGGTGGGAATCTGCGAGGACGATGGTCCCAAAGGCGTCGAATTCTCTGACTATGTGCAAGGGTGTAACTAAGGTCTGCAAGATATAAAGCTCATCTACTCTCCTCGGCCATCAAACAATACTTCGTCATCCCTCATTCTAAATACCGAGTGGTGTGCACAGTCCGTCTCACGTCGCAGCTTCCGGCGTCGAAAGCACTGCCGGCCTCAATGAAATGCGATACTTGACCAGCTCCGGATCCTCGTACTGGGCCATCCACATCGGATCCATCGTGATCTCCCACTGCTTCATCCGACTGATCAGCTGCACCTGTGGATCCTCCAGGGCCTTGTACATCCGCGCATCCGCTTCCTTCTTCTCCGGCGTGGCCATCGCGAGCCATTGCTCCATCTTGTGCTCCCTGGCCACGTCATCGACCTTCCAGATCCCGAGTGGATCGTCGCTGTATCCTCCAAGTTGACACATGCGCTTATTCTCGATGGAAAATTCGTTTGTGAAGTTCAACCACTTCTCCCGACGGGCTTTGGCCCATGTATCAAGTAGTGACTCGGGAGCTTTCCCATTGATGACAGCGGCGAGAGCGCGACCTAGAGGGCCAGCATCTAGGAGGCCTGTCGTCAACCCCAGGCCTCCAATGGGGTTGTTACTCTGAGACGTGTCAGTATAATTCCAAAAGACATCAGGCCAGAATGGAAGGACTCACATGTGCAGCATCACCGGCCAACATTATCCGTCCCAGTCTGAATGTCTGTGCACATCTCTGATGCGGCTTGTACTTGTTCAACTGCACCAACTCGTAGTCCACCGGCCACACGGGGAAGATATGTTTATAATGCTCATCAAGCTCGGCGCGTATTTCTTCATTGGTCAAGCCTGCTCGAACGCCAAACGCTACCCGCCAAAGTCCGGTATCGTCGAGAATGGTGACCACGGCCCAGTGCACTGGGTCCATGATGAGGTTTGCCGTGTTAAATCCATGTTTAAAAAAGTCAAACCGCACGTTGGTTGCCACAAAGTCTTCTTTAGGCCAGGAGAAGCCTTCAAAGGGGATGTTGGACAGTTTGCGAACGCTAGAGCCAGCTCCATCTGCTCCTACCAGCCAGTCGCAAGTATAATGAGTTTCTTGGTTGGTGGTAGGATCTACGGCGGTCAAAGATACCAGACTTTGCTTCTCGTCCTGAGAGATCTCGATGACATTCTGGTTGAATCGCACTTCCGAGTTATATTTTGTTGTGAGGTGGCGGAGGAGGATGTCTGCGAGTCGTGGCTGAGGGCAATTGATTCCAGAAGGGAAGAGGCTGCCTCCTTCTCTCTTTTCCACATGGGCGACCTTTTTGCCTTTGATCCAAAATGATATCACGTCGTTGATAACAGACTCCTTTCTGACGTCGTCTAGGGTGCCTGTTTCAAGCAGTTCTGCTTGCGCACATGGTTGATATGATGCAGCACGAGGAGATTGATCGACTTGATGATTCCTCTCGAGGACTAATACAGGGACTTCGAGCCTTGCTAGATTGGTGGCAGTGGTTAGGCCGACGGGGCCGGCACCAACAATAATGACACAATGATGCTCCGCCTTGGAAGGTCCGATTGAACCCATTTTTGGGAATTTGAAGCATTCAACAGCCGGGAACGAGACTCCAAACAGACCTGGGACGATGTTTTCGGCAATATCTTGGGTAATAATCATTGTTGATGAACCCACCTAAATGCGATCGTTAGACTTCTCCAAAAACCCCACAAACCTCTTTCCCCACAAGCTCCCGTTACCGGCCATTCGGAGGGCCATTCGCTCGGACAAGCGTATGTAGCTGTCGATTTGTCGAGGGCTTTCAAGATTATTGCCGACCAGATGGGAAACGGCAAATGCACCTACTCCACTTGTGTCAGCAGCAGGGCTGGGAACATGTGGGGGACCCTGGTGCGGCCAAATGATAATGTCTCTTCCTCGCCAGCTGCTATGTCTGGCATTGTGGTCAGTAGTTGGCGTTTCATTCATTGACCAACAGTCACCATGGGCGAGCCAAGTGAACCTATGGTAGAAAGATTCCTCGGAGATCAACATGATTGTCAACCTGCAACCGACCCGAGGCGGAATCGAGAATTGGGGGCTGCGTTCAAGGACAAAAACGTTGTAATCGCCGGTGCTGGTCGTGGGATTGGAAGAGCCACTGCCGAGTTCTTTGCGCACACGGCAGCCAAATCACTGAGTCTGATGGCGTTAGAGCTGCACGAGGTCGATGAGACGGCCAGGATATGCAAGAAAATCAACCCACAGCTTCTGACCAAAATCGCCGCGTTCGATGTCAAGGACTACGCCAAAGTGCAGCAATTCATCGACGAGGTCGACCGGGAATTTGGGCGGGTTGACGTGCTATTCGCCAACGCAGGCCGCCCGCCGCAATGGCTGGCGACTTGGGAGTCGGATCCCGGTGTGTGGTGGGACACCCTAGCGGTATCGCTCCAAGGAGGCTTCAACTTCGCGCGGGCAGCTCTTCCAATCATGCGACGGGAGAAGAGCGGACGGATAGTCTTCACGTCAAGTGCCGGCGCCCATGTGAGCAACGGCATGGGCAGTTATGCCCTGGGTAAACTGGGCCTGGTGCGTTTGGCTGAGATCCTCCACCACGAGAACAAAGACCACGGCATCAAGGCATTCGCGATTCATCCTGGCGCCATACCGACTCGATTCTTCACCGATTTCAAGGAGGCAGCAGAGGGGAACATCAAGGAAGGCAGCTATGTGTCCGAGACCCTGCCGGGAGAAGAAAAGTCGGCGAATATCGCAGTCAATTTCTTCAAGGATGTGACATGGGATACACCACAGATGCCGGCAGGTTATGTGGTCTTGCTGTCCAGTGGACAAATGGATTTTATGTCAGGAAGGTATATTGATTGTTCCAGAAAGGTCGAGGCGTATCTGGCAGACGAGGACAAAATCATGGCCAAAGACCTACATCGGGTCAAGCTGGTGGTCGACTCGGACTGGTTTATCCCTCCCGCCAAAGAAGAGCAGGAGTTTGGCGGTGCTTGAGCACCTTGTTCGCAGCGCTTGATCACTCCACAGGCAGAAAGCAGCAGCTAGTAATCCCAATGCAGAGACTATGTGTAGAAGGTGAAATTGGAGAGTAGAGAGCAAAGGAACAAATATCAAACCGCATGAGCAGCAGTCTTGATCTGCCGTACCTCTAAATGCTCAGTTTCTCTTGGCATCGAAATGCTGTTCAAATGACGCATTTCAAATGCCACTTTCATTTTGTGTGTGGCAACAATGACTCTTTAATTGACTCTCTCCCAGCAAACCCTGTTCGCCGTCCTCTGAAGTTTGTTTTCTAAAATATCTGCCACAATGTCAAGTGAATCTACAAGAGCGATTGCAGATGGCATCGCTCCTTCACACACCTACGTACCAAATCATGGCTATGTAAAGGACGATGTAGCACCGGCTAGGAGGAGAATAACCTTGGGCCAGTTTATCCAAGAAGATGACGACGATGACGCTGAATACGATGAAAGTCCAGACGCCCAGGGGACCGGCTATGAAGAACAGGACCTCTACGACGAAGAACTGGACCGGGACGAGATCCTCGACCCCGAGGACCTTGCAAATTCTAACTCCACCGACCTGACAAAATCTTATAACAGACGGAGACGTCTCGATGAAGCAACTTCAAACCCGAACATCCCACCTTGGCAGTATCCCAAAGCAAACCCTCAACAAAGACCATCCCGAGGACCGGCCTTCAACTTGCATCGCGAAATGGACGAACTCAAGTTTTCCGGCTGGGGCGAAGATGAGGATGGCCGTCGCACCAAAGACAAAGATAAAGACAAAAGCGAGCGCGCAACGGCAGAGCAAGTCCTGGACCCCAAAACTCGTCTGATCCTATTTTCGATGATCCAGAAAGGCATCGTCTCCGAGATCCACGGGACCATTTCCACAGGGAAGGAAGCAAACGTCTACCACGCCGTCGCCACGTCTGAGGACGACTCACAAGAGGATACCCATGTCGCTATCAAGGTGTACAAAACATCCATCCTCGTCTTCAAAGACCGCGAGAAGTACGTCACAGGCGAGTTTCGATTCCGCAAGGGATACAAAACCAGGGACAACAGAGCGATGGTGAAGATGTGGGCGGAAAAGGAAATGCGAAACCTGAAGAGGATCCATGTAGCGGGGATTCCCTGTCCTGAACCGCTCTATCTTCGACGGCATGTCCTGGGGATGAGTTTTATTGGGCACGGCAAAAAGGGAAAAGCGGCACCTCGGTTGAAAGACTTGGAGTTTGAAGACGAAGACGATAGCACGAGATGGCGGGCCATCTATGTCGATGTGGTGACATACGTCCGGATCATGCTGCAAATCTGCAAACTGGTCCACGCAGACTTGAGCGAGTACAATATCCTGTACTACGAGAACAAGCCGTATATCATCGACGTGAGCCAGAGTGTGGAAGGGGACCATCCGCGAAGCCTGGACTTCTTGCGGATGGATATTAAGAACGTCACTGACTTCTTCCGACGAAAAGGGGTGAATGTGTTGGCGGAGAGGAAGGTATACGAGTTCGTGACCAAAGCTCCGGCCCCTGCTGGCGGGGGTCTAGAAATTGACGAGCTGCGGGGAGAAGTTGACAGATTGATGGCGGAGCGCACGGAGGAGGAACAAGAAGATGAGGTCGACAACGAAGTATTCCGCAAGCAGTACATACCTCAGACGCTGGACGAAGTGTACGACGTGGAGAAAGATGCAGAAACCCTGCACACGCAGGGCCGAGAGGCACTAGTGTACAAGGATCTCCTGGCGCCGCTGAGAAGCGAAGATGCACCAGCCGCGGCCGAGTCAACGCCCGGCCTAGTCCCGAACAACAACCTCTCCTCCGACGTCCGAGACCATGGATATCTCGACGACGAAGCAGGCGGCGCTGCTCTCCGTCCGGACGACTCGGACGGCTCAGCGGCAACCGACGACGACAATGACGACAACTCCGAGTCCTTATCCGACTCCTCGTCGCCAGGCCGGCCGCGCGGGAAACGGTTCCAGGACAAGGACGCCAAGCGCCAGCACAAGCAGAGGGTCAAGGAGGAGAAGCGCGAGAAGAGAAACAACAAGATGCCCAAGGCCACCAAGAAGAAACTGGTCAAGGACTCGACGCGGCGGAGTAAGCGGTGATGTGATGGGCGCCCAATAGCACGATTGATTGCAAGCGTACGATGTATCTATGCATCTATGGCCATCACCCGTTGTCTATTGCTAGGTGTCCCGACATGGAAGGCATAAGGCATAGAGCAGAGAGCAGAAAGCATACTTGACGATCGCTTAGTTGACGATCGCTTAGTTGGGGAAGTGACCCGAGCGACGCCATGTTTTTAGCGTGTCTAGTTGGTACGAGGTATCTCTGGCATCTAACCTATTCCGTTCTAGCAAATCTCCCCTCCTCTGACATCATCCACCTCGCCTTGTGCACGTGAAGGCAGATGAAGCAATGATGACCCATTCGCACCGCGAAGCATACAATATAGAAATCACACCACACAAGGAAAAGAAGACATTTTGTCAATCGTGTAAAACACCCGAGTCCCATCTCTCTCTCGCTTTACTTTGTCCACACTTGCTCATCTCACTCAACCTTATTGTCTACTGTTGTCTAAATCACCGCCCTAGCTGGTGAGAACGCTCCAATACCACACCGAGTACGCAGTCCAAGCTCAGTCGCAAAACGAATCATGCATCCCACATCGCCTAGAAGGCAGAACATGTTTTCGCCACATGGAAGCCGGGGTCCATGGTGAGACAGATCCTCTCCCTCTCAAACCATTGTGGTCGATCATCAAGCATTCGAGGCTCTGCTGGGATGGATTGCTCTAACTTGGGGACAAACCTTCATCAGGAGATCGCAAAAAGGCTTGCTTCTCGCGTTGGCGGGGACCGCGGGCCTGCTTTACTACTGGCGATATTACCGTGTCACCAAAAGTGAAAAGGAGAAGGAAAAGAGGGAAGGTCTGAAGAGAGTGTAGGAGCAGTACTGTTCGTACGAGGCTGCTGCTGTATAACTGAATGTCCAAAACTGGCATCTGATACTGGGGCTATACCCCCCCAGCCTGGAGGAGACGCCATTTTCTGGTTATGACGAGAAGTGCTTAGTGTCCTTACGGCTCTGCTAGGGTCATAATCCCTGGTGTCCCCAATCTGAATTGTCGGGTTATTACAATAGAGCCGTAATCAAGTCCCTCCTGTGTCATGGTGAATGTAGTGGGACACACTATCTCGTTCAAGGCGTAGTCAAGTGCATCGACGATAACTCGATCCTGAATGCACAAAAATCAGCTCCTCGGATGTGGAATAGAGAATGATATGAGATAATGCGTGGAATGGGCGTTCAGTGCTCTCTTTGGATATCATAGTCTGGCCAGGTCGGGCAGTGAGAGGTTGAAGAGGTGAACTCCAATACAACCATCATGCAACGCTCGGGCCTGCCCATAAAGATTCATCTCAAGTGTTGTGTTTTCCTAGTGTCGTCATGTTGTTTCTTGTGGTGAGAACCCGGGGTTGAGGAAAAGACAACTTCTTACTTACCGTGGTGTCGGGGAAACGCAAGGATCCAGATCTGTCATCGTGGGCCTCTTCCACCTCTGCCAATCTTCAACCTCTTCAAGGCCTCTTCCACCGTCCTTCTCGGCAACTCTGGCACACTCCCAATCTCCTCTTCACCTGCCCTTGCGATGGAATATCGGGGCGGTAACATATTCACGCCACTCCAAATGTCACTGGGCAAATACTCGCCCAGATCGTTCTTGAATTCTAGCCTCAATTGCCGATCCGAGTCGTACATTTGCTCCAACTGGGCGTGCGCCTCCGCCACCACTCTTTCCATCTGTTTCTTGACGGTCCTTCGTCGGGCCACTTCGACTATCAAGCCGTCATAGGCGTGGAGAAAATTGGCATAATACTCGCATAGATCCTCCATCCCGCCGATGCCGTCTTCAATCTTAGCCTTTTCCTCGTTCCATTTCAGTGCTTGCCGCGCTATCTCAGCTACATACCCGGACAGGCGTCCTGAGATCTTTTCGAGTAGTTTGAATGCCGTGGCTACATCCGCATAGACGTTTTCTTGCCGTTCACACCACTGGTGGATCTTGTCGAGCTGTGCTTCCATCTCGGCATTGCGATCTTGAAGTTCCATGACCACTTCGTCGACTTCCTGAGCGTCGTTCTCGAGCACTTGGAGCATCTCAAGGCGTTCCTCTTCGTTCATGGGTTGCGCCGGGGCGCGAAGGTCGTCCATACCCAGGCCAACGGTGTCCTGGAGGTCGACTCCTTCCCCGGTATTCATGGTCTGGAATACCGCTTCGCCGCCTCCTTCAGTGTGTTTGATGGCTGTAACGCACAAGTCAAAGTGTTTGACCAGACTTTCCAGCTCCTCTGCCATTATCCGGGCGTGGTTCTCCAATACGGTAAGAATGTTGGCAATTGTTGCAGGCTGCTGTAATTCACTGTCTATGCCAGAGAGTTCCCCTCTGCCGTTGAGTACTTCATTGATGGCTTGCAGGTCATCTTCCAGGGTCTGGATAGCGTGACTCATTTCATTCTGCGCGTGCTGTACATTGTCTATGGCAATTTCCATTGCTTGTTTGATTGTTTCGACACCATTGTCGTCCACAAAATCGTGCAGGGTCTCCTTACCTGGGGCGTGCTCCAGCTCTCCTTCCATCGAGGGTTTGAAAGCATTTTCAATTCTTGTCTGCTTCAGCAGATCTATGGATTGTAGCAGCCTCGCACCGGTCTCATCCAGCTCTTTGATCACAGCCTGAAACTCCTGCTGGATGCCCTGGGCCGCAGTCTCTAGTTCCAGTTGAACCCCACGAAGAATCTTCAATTGAGATGCCAAGGAGCGATGAAGGTAGGTGGCTTTCGCGAGGAGAGCAGTCGTGGCCTCGACGGAGGCACGTGCTTCGGTGAGGATAGTGGTAGCCCGGTGGACGAGATGAATGCTGCCCAGAGATCGTTTAGCGGCAACCAGGTAGGACACTAGAGTCTCAACAGAGGCCGGCGGAGGACTGGAGGCATGCACGGACTGCGACGGAGAGGATCGAGCAGAAGTCGTAGGGTGAAGAGATTGCGCCATGACAGGGTCAAGTGAGGACATTGCTTATTTCATCTTTGGTCGAGAAAGGGGGAGGGAGCAATAGAACTAGCTCTCTCTCTCTCTCTCTCTCACACACACAGAATGGCGGTGAGGTCAGCGTCGACTGCTACAAGTAGCCAGGTGCAGCAGCGAGGAGCACTAGAGGACACAATTGTTTGTGCTGTACGGAGTACTGTGTATGCCGTATATCCTGGAGAAGAGTTAATTCACAAACCACACGCGAGAAAGGCCCCTGGTCAGTGTGGGGTAGAATTATGGAACCTGAAGGCTGAATGCCAGTGCCTCAACAGACCCTCCTCTTTGAACCCGGAGAATGCTTGTCGTGACGCGCCCAGAAAGTCTCAGGCGGAGGGGAGAGGACCAGCTGTCTGTAGTTGAGCCGATGGGCGATGCAGGAACCAGGGCTGGTGGTTGAATTGTCGATTCTGCGATGATGCTTTCGATGGTGAAAATGGCGTGCGCGATAACGCCATCGGAGGCTGCTGTGAGTGCATCTCGGGCATTGACCTGGCTGACTCAGGGAATCGCGGTGGGTGGCTCGGGTGGCTCTGACGCTGTCGTGGGTTGGGCTTTGGGCGACGCTTGGGCCCCAAACGTGCGGTAACTATCGTCATCCCCGGGGGCTTACCTACAGGTAGGCACTAGGCACAGCGGTGCGCCAATCTGGCCGCCTAGAATGTCCCCCCAAAACGCCCCAAACCCATGGCACTTGACCAACTAGGGCCCCGCCAATCAGGCTCCTAGCCTCTTACTGCCTCTTCTCGCTCGGTGGCGTCTCCTCCTCGTTTCGAGCCATCACCATCGCCCATCTGGCATCCACCATCGCCTCTGACTCGCATGTCGGTTCTCGACAATCCGGGTGTCGGTGCTCAAGGTCCTTGTCCTCTTGAGGTTCGGAACCTTTGTAAAGCCCAAGCACCGCATTTCACCATCTTGCACCATTCTCATCCTTTTGACGAGGAATCCTACCACAGACGAGCCCTCTCCCCCTTGGTCATTCCTCCCATGAGCGCAGTCTCGTCAGGTACTTTACCCGCTGGCGTCCCCCCACCATTCGGGTATCGGGGTTGGTCCTGCAAAATCCTTTTCTTGTGTCGCATGAGCAGAGACTTTCAAGACTGCTTGCCGGACGAGATGTGAAAATACCTTTGAGAGACTTTGAATAGACTTCGTCATGCCATTTGATCTACTCGACAAGCACCACCAAAGGGGGGTTTTGGCGGAAACAGAATGGGAGGAGCCAGCCAGAAAAAGACTTCGAACGAACTCATCTGAAGACCAGGGCAGACATGCGGCCACAAAGGACAAGAGCATCACGATTGCTTCGACCGCTAAACATGCCGACCAGAACGTCGCTCCGTTCCTGGCAAAGCACATCCCTTCTCAATATGCGCCGCTGGGCAATGCTGGCAAACCGGCCACCCACCACTACGATCCCATGAAAGATCCCAACTCTAAATTCTGCTATCGACACCGACCTGACATGCTATGCCGGCGACAAGCAGACGAGCCGTCGATGGACAAGCTGCAGAAAGAATTAGACACGTTGTCACAGGAAGACCGACAGGGCATCGTCCAAATGTGGTCCTTGTTCTCCGCAGCTCCCTCCAAACATCGAAATCTCATGCTGCAGGGCATCCTGGCTCAGTGCTGCTTCCCACAACTCTCCTTCCTCTCGGCTAACGTGCGAGAACTCATCCGGATTGACTTCCTCTCTGCCCTACCTTCGGAGGTCGCCTTCCGCATCCTTTCTTTCCTCGACACCACGTCCCTCTGCAAGGCTGCACAGGTGTCGAGGAGGTGGAGACAGCTGGCAGATGATGACGTGGTTTGGCACCGAATGTGCGAGCAACACATCGATCGCAAGTGTACCAAGTGTGGATGGGGCCTGCCTTTACTGGAGAGGAAAATGTTACGTGCTACCAAGAGGCAGATTGAGCTGCGAGCAGCAAGCCACCTATCACTTGACTCTGACCCACCTACTTCTTCGCAGAGTGTCGAAATGTCGGACACTGAAAGCCACCATGATTCCTCGTCAGATGGACGACTGTCCCCAGTGGCGAGCCGACGGCCGCCGCTTGGCACGAGCGAGAGTGAATACTATAGGAGAACTAGACCCTGGAAGGATGTCTACAAGGATAGATTCAAGGTTGGCACCAACTGGAAGTACGGCCGATGCAGTGTCAAAATCCTCAAAGGCCACACAAACGGAGTCATGGCTCTTCAATTCTGCGACAACATACTTGCGACGGGCTCATATGACGCAACCATCAAAATCTGGGACCTGGACACCGGCAAAGAGCTGAGGACGCTGACTGGTCATACAATGGGCATCCGTTGCCTGCAATTTGATGACAACAAACTCATCAGTGGCAGTCTAGACAATACTCTCAAGGTTTGGAACTGGCGGACAGGTGAATGTATCTCCACATACAGCGGCCACACCAAAGGCGTTATCGCGGTCCACTTCGATTCCAATATCCTGGTGTCTGGCTCAGTTGATAATACTGCCCGTGTGTGGAATTTCCAAGATCGGTCAGTCTTCACACTCCGAGGGCACACAGACTGGGTCAACTCGGTCAAAGTTGATTCCGCATCCCGCACCATATTTACAGCGTCCGACGACTGCACGGTAAAACTTTGGGACCTGGATACGAAGAAATGCATCCACACTTATGAAGGGCACGTGGGACAGGTGCAACAGGTCTTTCCTCTGCCCGCGGAATTTGAACCTGGCACCAACGAGCATGGAGACGACGAGGAGCAGTTGTCGGACCCCGGAACTCCCAACAGCTCCACCACCGTTCTGGACGAAAACGGCGGGTTTCCCATCGTCTCCTCCAAAGACCTTAGCATCCACAGCCTGTTCACTTCTCAGCCTGATCGCACCTATCCGCCCCACTACATGCTCACCTCGGCCCTCGACTCAACAATCCGTCTTTGGGATGTCCACTCTGGTCGTTGCATACGAAAATTCTTCGGACATGTTGAGGGAGTATGGGCCGTGGCTGCGGATACGTTGAGGATTGTCTCTGGAGCGGAAGACAGGATGGTCAAGGTGTGGGACCCTCGCACGGGAAAGTGCGAGAGGACATTCACGGGACATGCAGGACCTGTGACGTGCATTGGGTTGAGTGACTCGAGAATGTGTAGTGGCGGCGAAGATGGGGAGGTTAGGGTCTACAATTTCACGGGCTGATTGATTATCTCTCCGGTATTTTTGCGATCTCGGTTGGGATCAATGGGGTCTGGTTGACATTTCTACGCGAGTTATACCGACCCTCGCTGGGTGTTGGGATTGGAAGCTTTGGGAGAGTGAAACCATAAAAGCATGGCGTCTGGCATCTTTCTGCGATCAAGGCATCCGGTGAAAGTGGGAACAAATGAGGATAAATGATGAATGCCGCGCAAAAAAAAAAGGGTTCAAGAGACGTATATCTGTATGCGATGACGGGATCAAGCCCAGGAATATTTTGTTTTCGGGAGGTCTAACCATGATACCAATTTGCTTTTGCTGCTCCCTATTGAACTTGGCTACATAGTATATTTCTCCACCGACTCGAGTCAGGCGCATCTCGCGAGGCAGATAAAACCCAAAAGAGAGAGTGATTGATTTGAGTGACTGCGTGAGTGGTTCGCAGTGTGAAATGCCCAGAGTGCCTTGTACCTTGTACATAATAGGAGTCGGCCTCTATGAACCACGTACTCGGTACTTAGTACCGGGTACTCCGTATCCCGATGACGCGCGAACGAAAAGCCTCATTGCTATATACCGATTGATCCTCAAGGGTGAGTGAAAGCCGCTTCAATTTGAGTTTTAATTGACAGAGGAGCCGGGAGGAAAACGAGACATGGGAACTTCCATCGCAATCCCACAGCCTTGCCGTATGTGGATTAACCTATACCATGACCTCGGGTCAACACTCTTTGCGTGTGGCTGACGATATTTCAGGCTGAGGTGGAAAGTCGTTTTAAGTCTGACTGCTCCTTGACCTATCAGGTCTTGACAGTTTTGTCCAAGGCATTCAGTGCACCGACACCAGTTTTTCCAAAGATTCCAACGGAGGGAGCGTCTTGAGATGTCCTGATGGCAATGCCGACATTCCGGGATCGGGAGGAATCTCTATATCCCAGAAGCGCTTCAGATGGTCCTTGATCACATCGTAACAGACTCCAATTCGGACGATCTCCGGTTTCGGCCCACTGAAATCGATCATCGTCGAGCTCCTCCCATGATATCCAAATTTGACGAGGCCATAGTCGATCACGATATCTGCAATGTCAAGAATTTCTGGGTTGATGTCCTGGACAACATACTTGGTTCCTGGTGTCGCCCCGTCAGTCAATCAGACATAAGAAAAGAACTCTGGAACAAGGAATACCTGTACCCGAGATATTGGCAGAACTACCCAGCAATGGGAGCTTGGCTTCCCTCATGAGGTTCGCGAGCTCATCCTGGAGTGCTCCTCCGTTGATCAACATAGCGAGGGTTCCGTCAACGGTGAGTGCTTCCATAGTTGGTTGGTCGATGTGCTTGAACATTGGATGGTCCTGGTCGTATTTTGCAATGACTGCCAAAGGTAGGTCGAAGTCCTGGGTCAAACAGCGGACAATCTCTTCATGCTCGGGTCGCATAACGTGCAGCTCTTGGTGAAGGGCAAAGTTTCCACCCATCGCGTGTCGTTTCTGTGCGCCACGTCTTTTGGTTTTGAACATTTTTTCTAAAGCTTCGGTGGTGGAGCTTGCAAGGGCATAACCCATGGAAGAAGGGATGATGGCGATCCCTCCGGCTGAGATCACCTCGAACACCCTTCTGGCGTCTGTTTTGACGTCCGGTGCACCCATGCGTGCGCTGTTGGCGAAGGAGACCGAATCACACAAGATGCAGACGAAAAGCGACAGCAGGCTTCTCACGGAGTGTGCAGTCCAGCTGAGCCACGGCTGGTCTTTTTCTATCAGGCACTCTCATCACAACGGAAGCCGTCATCGGCGTTCACAATGCCTCGTGGTAGCTCCGAGGCCGCGCCGATCGCGTGGCTTTCTGAGGAGCCAAGCAGGTGTTTGTCGAACGGATGTGATGCTTAAGCCAGGTATTACCTCCGGACCCGAAGAGTGTTTCAGCCTGGACCGCATGCCGTACTCACAATATACAAAGAACGGTAGAGTGTGGAGAGCGGAAGGACCATTCAGACCACTTTGGCCGATATCTCGGAATTTGAAACTCTATGGCGAATGAGCTCGACCTACAGTGCCGAATTCCGGAGCCTGGACTGCCTGGAACCCAAACAGATTTTCCACTACATGCTCCTTTTCCAACCTTCCTGGGGTCATGCGTTCCCCGTTTCCTGGGGTTGCCGAGAGGCTCCAGGTCATACTCTATCTCGAAGATGCACGACTCAAGATGATTTATGACTATATATTCACACCAGGGTCAACACCCTCCCATTCCCAAGACACCCCTGGCTTTTTCGTCCTGTCCCACGATGGATCGCTCTTCCAAAGACATGGATATCACTTCGATACAGAAGGAACTCGCTGTCGAGGCAGAAGTTGTGCATGCAGATGTGGATGGTGCAGACGTGGTGCATCATAAGAGCAAGAAGGAGAAGCGCCTGGTCTTGAAGCAAGATCTCTCAATCGTGGTGCTGCTCGCTGGTTGTTACTGGTTCGCTTACCTGGTATGTCCTGCGTCCAATGCCGAGGACCTCTGGATGGCTAAACATCTTATAAGGACCGTGGCGCTCTCGGGAATGCTCGAATCATGGGGTTTCAAACCGACCTTGGCTTAAGGGGCAAGCAGTTCTACAACTGCCTGATGATGTTCTGTAAGTGCGTCAGAGTGCAGCGCGTTGCACCCAGCGTCTTGCTAAGGAACAGTTAGATGTTGGGTATCTGGTCTTTGAACTACCCGCGGCGCTGAGCCTGCGTCTGTTCCATCCGAATTGGGCCTATGGCACCGCGGTCATTATCTTCGGTATCCTTGCCGCATCAATGACAGCCGTCAGATCCTATGCGCCGATCATGGTCATTCGAGTCCTCCTCGGTTTCGCCGAAGCTTTCGTACAGACCGGTTTCGTCTTCCTTTCGTTATGGTACCGACGTGAGGAAGTGACGACTCGCGCTGGTACAGTTCCTGTGACCAAGAGTTCCTGGCCTCAGCTAACAGAGTCTAGCCTTTTACTTTCTAGCTACGCCTGTCGCTGGGGCAACGAGCGGACTGATTGCCTACGGCGTTCAACGCAACTTGGACGGCGACCTAGGGAAAGCCGCTTGGGAATGGTTCTTTTTGATCGAAGGCATTCTCACAATCGTTTGGGGAATACTTGTCATTTGCCTACTACCCAAGCTTCCAGAGACGGTAGCCAAGAGAGGTAGCATTCTCTTCCGCGATCCCCAAGAACATGCGCTCATCCTTCAACGAACGGCCGCTGCCCGGAACACACCGGATGCGAAACCGCGCTTGTTTCAAGTGTGGTGGGCGCTCAAGGATGCAAAAACCTGGCTGCTTGCAATGGCTATCGCCGCCGCGTCTTTGGATGTCGCTGCCTTCGGGGCTTTCCTGCCAACCTTTATTCATCAGTTTGGCTTCTCTGCATGTAAGGCGCTGACAACCACGACTCATAAACAAGAGCTAACCCAGCAATAGTGGATACCCAGCTGTATACCATTATCCCTTATGCCTTCGCTACGGTATCAGTGCCGGTAGTATGTATTTTGGCCGATCGCATCGACAAGCGAGCTGTACCGTTCCTGATCTGCATGGCTGTCTCTGTGATCGGCTTTGTTATTGTGCTGGCCACGACCAACAAAACTGCCCTTGTGGGTGGCTGTTGTTTCATAGCCGCAGGGTGTTACCCTGCCATCGTGGTCTGTGCTACTTGGCTCGTGAACAGCCATGCCGGCTACACCAAGAGATGCACTGCTTGGGCGGTGGCACAGGTCTTTACACAGAGCTACAGCATCATCGCTACTCAAATCTACGACAACCCGCCACGCTACTTCAAAGGCCACGCCGTTCTGCTAGGCCTCAACCTGTTAGGTGCGCTCTCGGCGGCCATCAGTTATTTCTTCATGAAGCGAGAGAACAAAAGGCGAGATCAGATTGCCCAAGACTTGATTTCACGAGGAGAGCAGAACCCAGATAACTCCAAGACCTTCGAAGAACTGTGTGACTATCACCCCCAGTTCCGATACAAAATCTAGATTGTATGCAGGGGCCGCCGTTGGAGGGATCTAGCGAGCTAATACCTCGCAAGGCTGGCTAGAACAGGATTGGGGAGTTTATTGTGGGGGCTTTTAGCGGGGCACCCCAAATGCCAGTGGAGACTAGTGCATGGTTCCCCACCGCGTATTTTTGAGAACGGCCGAGGGCCAAGTAAATTTGTACCTTGTATGCTCCCAACCTCAATAATTACTATGATATTCTCCTCCACAATGCATATTCCCGCTGTTTCTGTCCACACACTGAGTAAGTCATCCTCGATATTACTCAGAGGCAGAACCGCTCATGCATTAAGAGACTGCTGGAAACACATGTTGATAGCTCGTACTGAAGCGTGACCCGTTGGGAAGCTTTGGACAATGGCGGAGGGCTTAGGGAGGATGCGATCATGTTCCGAATGTCGAATCCAGAAAGTGAGAACATGCTGGCTCCTACCGTCAGCGAACCGGTGTCTGATCCTCATGTCAGCTCAAATGCGACGCCCGCATAGACTACTTGAGACCATGCACGAGATGCAGGAAGAAGAACCTAGTCTGTGAGCTCTCTCGTGGGATCAAGAAAAGCCAGAGGAAAACGTAAGGTCTTGTTGCCTTGGCTGTGCTAGTCCACCTCTAACATAGCCGACAGAAAAGCTGAGTTGGTCCGAGAAAACGCTAGCCTTCACGAGCAGTTGCGAAGCAGCAAATCCTCCTTGAGCCAGGCGGAGATTCGTGCTACCACTACTTTGCATCAACCCCCCCAAGCGACGACTCCTGCATCTCGACCCCCATCTGTCTCTCAAGCAGGTCATGACGGCCAGGTTTCAGATATAACAAGCCATGCCGGCCACGACTACACGCGATCTATTGATCCACCAGGTGTATCAACCGGGCCAGCGACGGATAGCTTCCAAGTGACGCCGACAACACTAAACATTGACCACATTGGTCGACGCAAGATCAATGATTGTTTTGCGCTGTATGTCTCCTTCCTTCCATGTTCCTCCTAACGATTGTCTTACGCGGAGCAGCTTCTTCGCACACTATGAGGTTTTCATTCCGGGGCTGTTCGATCCCAACATGTCACCTGAGCAATACTACGAGCGATCTCCCTTTCTGTTCTGGTCTATTGTTGCGACAGGGGCACGCAGGTTTGCTGATGATCCCACTCTTTTCCAGCGAGTGGTGTCTCAGGTGCTACAAATCGCGTTGAGAGCACTCTTCTCCTATTCCAACCCTGTTCCAAATATTCAAGCGGTCCTTATTCTGTGTCTGTGGCCGGTCCCGACCAACACAATGTTCCGTGATTCTTCACACACGCTGGCCGGGGTTGCCATGCAACTCGCTGTGCAGAATGGCCTCCATATATTTGGTCGCGAACAAGACTACTCGCGTCAGAACATCGATGCCAAGAACAGTGAAGTGGCTTTGCGCTTTCGTCTGTGGATCCATTGTGTTGTAACGTTCCAAAGGTGAGGTCCTCTTGAGAGAAGAGTTGCCCATCGGCCTGACAGCCAGCAGCATGAACCTAGTTGGTGGCTTTCCATGTTGGACGACATCCGAACTGAATAATTTGGAATCCGATCTACTACTCGAGCGCAGTCTGCCGCCGTCATTACTCTATCGGTACAGGCTTCATAAGGTACAGACTGACGCAATTCAAGCCATTACCCAGAGCACGCAACTCCTTGAGCCGAATTGCGGGCCACCCTTAAACTCACTCCTCGACATTTTCGATGCACAAGTGAAAGCTTTGGTCCCTACCCCCAACGTGGGTATAGGTGCGTCAATTCAGGAACATTCTGTGGACGTTTTACTGATCTCTGAAGATGCCCTTGTTCAGAAATGCATCCGCTTGGGGATCAGGGCATTCCACTTCTTTGCGGCACCTGATACGGCACGAACTGCTGGGCTTGTCCAATTATACGCCTTATGCTGCAGCGTCCTCGACATGCTTCATGATCTTGACATTGCTGATGATTTCGCCCTTTATTCAACGCAATGGTTGCACAGAATGTTGATGATGGCCTCCCACAGCATCCTGAAGATCACCCGCAGCGAACTTCGAGCCCATGTGGACGTTGAGCACGGCGAAAGCGCGTACTTCAAAGCCATCATGTTTGCAAAGAAGCGCTCAGCTGAAAACAACGATTTGGACTCAAGGAGTGCCATTATCTTGACTCAGCTCTGGGCCAGCGATTCTGTATTCTGTAAGAGAGATGGTACTCTCATAGGCGACCGTCTGCGCATGAGAAGTCGACTTGTAAGTGCTGAGTGTACGTGAAAGACGGCTGCCGATCCAGTCTGATTGATGTGATTAGTTTGCGAGCGTCATGTTCGACACCTTCTGGCACTGGAGAGCCACCTTCGGCAACTGGAAAGCGAATCCGTACAAGGCAGACGATGATGAAGCTGAGACATTCACAGAAGGTCAACAACCAGCCACGCATTGGGCATCACCCTCGGTTTTCATTGCGCATTCTCCGCAACCAGGAGTTTCAACCACACCTTCGGCGCGCCATGCATCGACCCTTCCGGCCCCAGTGCTTGAATTTGACACCCTCAATGCCTTCCCGGACTGGGAATGGGCTGCTGAAGTGCCCTTGGTGGACGGCATCGACTTCGCCGCGATGTCGCAGTTTCCAGGTGTGGAAGTCGACTAGATCATGCTTCAAGGTAAATCTGAACCCGTGTGTCAGATGGACATTAGAGCACGCTTTGAGCCATTGGGCACTCAGATGCCGTTATCTTCCCATGCTCACCACTGGTATCGATTAACATATAATATGCTTCCGTTGAGGCCCGAAACCGGGCGAACTTAGACTTCTTTTACGCACTGCGAAGGGAAGATCAATTGCTGAGATCGCTCTGAACCAGCCGAAACTGCGAGACCTGAAGGCCAGCAGCAAGAAATTCCACACGAAACACTGCGAATAGCTCTCCCACTGCGAAATTTCGGCATCGGCTATCGATCAGGGCGCCCTTTCCTTTGTTCGGCCTTCCCAGGTCACCTTTGCAATCTCTTACAATGCAATATGTCCCCACTTAGATGCCACCAAACCTGTCTCTCGAAGAAGAGCGAAGTCTCTGGAATGGAGAATGACCTTGGTTGCGGCTGCTAAAATCGCATTCCCCCTCTAATTGGCTGCCCCTTTTGGGGCAAGGCTGCTCTTCTGATCATGCCTATGTGGTCTCTGTGCCGTCCTGCAGAAGACGACGGACGCGCCGACATCCAACATGCTAGACTTTCGGCATGGAATATCCAAGACTGGGCTGACTGGGGGTAGGACTACTGCTGATAGTCCTTGGCATTGCCGAGTCAGGTACTGTGGCTGAACTCTGACAATGCCGATATCTCGGACTTTCGACATTCCCTCGGAAAAGGCGTCCAACACTTGCGATTGACAGTGCTGCATCTGAAAGGCATGATAATAATAATGGACAACGCCTTGGTTCAAGTTGGGAGGACCAAAACACATTGGAAACTTCCAACATCCCAAATGGATTCCATCGTCTAGTGTTGACCAAAGCGGCTGTTGTGGACGAGGAATTATCAAGGCTCAGGGAGGGCTTTAGGAACAGAAGGTGTGCCGAGGGTCAATAAAGCGGCGAGCTGCTCGGTCAGTCACGTGTGAAAGCTAAAGGTCAGGTCTTATTTGGGCTCACAACTTATTGAGCTGAACAACAAACCTAATTGCGAGGACTTGAGGAAACACTCTCCCATGATATGTAGGATGGTCAGAACCTACCGGGTACATGGGGCAACGAAAGCGAGAGGCTAACTGATTTAGCGTCTGGAACTCAGCCTGATCGGGGAGACCTAAGCGAAACCACCTTCCCTCGCTGGACTCCCACGTGGAGACTTCCTCTTTCTCGATACCGCATCCGAAGCGAGGACCCAAAGACTATTTTCAGCTGTGGCTGATGTCTTCATTTAGCACTAATGCCAGTCCCCCCGATACTTGGCATGCTTGTGACGTATCTTCTTAACCCTATCAGTCGTGGTGGTAGTGGTCAAGGGCCTGTTTTCGGGTTCGCACTCATCGCCCGGAGCATGTTGAACTTGTCATGAGACAAGGTAGGTCGAATATGTGTATATATGGCTGAGTTGGGAGCTGGTTAGAATTTCAGAGGGCACGCTTTCAATTCCCCGCAGCTGCTTTGAGAACCTGTCACTCAATCTTTAGTTCGAATCTTCTTGACGGCTGCAGTTCGACACAAGAAAAGGGACCATGAAAGTTATCATCATTGGAAGCGGATTGGCAGGGCCGGCAATGGCCCTTGCACTCAAGCGACATAATATTTCCTGTAAAGTCTTCGATCTGCGCGACCAGGCTGCTTTTGATGGCGGCTTCGTCGCCCTTGCTCCCAATGCGCTCCGCGCACTCGATCGGATCGGAGTCTATGATCGAATCAGGACGCAGGGCTGGAACTACGAGGAGTTCCGATTTCTATCGTCTAGAAACCTGAGTCGCATCGCAACGGTTCTGAACGGCAGCCAGCGAAAATATGGATATCCAGCACTCCGAATATCTCGGGGCATTGTCCGGCAGACACTGGTGGATGTTCTTCAGGAGCAACAAATTGAGCTGCACTTTAACGCAAAATGCGTGCAGTTTGAAGAGACCGATCATTCCACGGTCATCGCAACCTTTGCCGATGGGTACATTGAAGAAGCCGACTTCTTGATTGGCGCCGATGGTATTCATTCGCGCGTCCGCAGTCACCTCGACCCCAACGCAGTTCCCACATTTAGCGGCCAACTTGGCGTCGGCGGATCCCTTTCCAAATCCAAGCTGCCAAAATCAGGGCAAGAAATGTATATGCCGTGTCTGATATTGGGCAAGTTGAATTCCTTTATGTTTATGCCCTGCACATACAGTGGGGATCGTGTTAATTGCTTCGCAACCGTCGAGGGCGAGGATCGGAGCCGTGAGGAATGGACCGAGCTCCAAAATGACAAGTCCGCTCTATACGAGATATTGCAGTCCCACCACGAGAATGAGAGGTGGCCTGAAGTTGTCCATGTCGCCTCGAAAAGCGTCGACCTATCCTCACTTTCTCTTTGGCCGTAAGTGGATCTTCTACTGACGACTCAGAAAACTTGGCAATGGCTGATGCTTGAGCAACAATTATTACAAAGTTCCCGAGCTCAGCTCCTGGTCAAGCAGCTCTGGCAGGGGGTTCGTCATCGGCGATGCGGCCCACGCCATGCCCCCAACTGGCGGACAGGGTGCAGCGATGGCCTTTGAGGATGCGCTCACTTTGGCCAACACCCTCGCCCTGCTCGACCAAAAGGAGTCGGCTCCTCATCAAGACCTGGTTAGCCAATGGCAGGTAGCCAGGAAAGATCGTGTGAAGAAGATCCTCGCCTTCACTTCCAAGGGAGGTGATATGAGAAAATCTTCGGCCAGCACGTTCCAACAACTCGTCAAGGAGTGGGTCATGTGGGCGTACTTCCTGCTCAGGGGGAAGGATGCTGGTCTGTCGTGGATTTACGAGTATGACACTGAGAAACTTGTCTTATGATCGAGGGTCTTTTTGCAGGGATTTTTTTCTCTCTGTGGGATATTCAGGCGCAGGCAGAACTCCGGGGCCGCTGAAGGAGTGCTTACTCCCTGGTATTGTCACACGCATGCGAATCACGAATGCGCAAACGACTCGGCCTCCACGGGCGTGCTGGGAGCACCACTCACGGAAGATTAACGGGCCGCCGGCCAGAAGTACTCGGCGAGTCGGTCCTTGGTTCTCGTAAGCAGCTTCCATCGAAGAGGTGATTGGCGGGTGCGGACACCGGGCCGGCTTTTTCGGAGCACAGCGGTGGCCCTGCAGGCTACAGCAGAAGCGTACTCGTATTCCAAAGCGTTTCTCAATCCTTCCAAGATTCGCAACCAAGGCCAACCGAACACTTTTTATACACCCACAGACTGTTGATTGACAGCAAAACCCGCTTCAACTCGTCCATCCAGTCTTCATTAGAGTGTTACGAGTCACACAACATGGCCGCCCAAACCGAGCCCGAGATCATCTTGTACGACCTGGCCTGTACCAAGAACGTCTGCTTCTCCCCCGTTGTGTGGCGCATCCGTCTCATGCTCAACTACAAGCACATCCCATACAGGACCATCTTCCTCGAATTTCCGGATATCGAGCCCACGCTGAAAGGGCTGTGAGTTGTGATCATATTGACCCTCCTTTGGCACCTCGGTCTCCCCTTCCCCCCTCCGGTTCCGTTCCTGGTCCCGTTCCCTTTTGCCCTCTTTCTTGCCCTAAATGCACGGGTCCAGACCCCTCTGATCGCACGTGAACAAGCTTCCTCTGACCTGAAACTTCTTCCAGCGGCCTGGTCCCCAGCGAATCCGCCGCGGGATCCAAGATCAAATATACTGTCCCGGCAATTCAGCACGTGCCGAGCAACACGTACATGATGGACTCGGTTCCAATCGCGCAGTTCCTCGAGTCGACGTATCCGGATCCGCCGATTCCCTTGACGTCGGAGCTGGGCAGTGAGATCGAGGCCAAAGCACGTGCCGTGATCGGCAAGGTCTTCTACACGTCGACGATGCCGCGCGAGATCAACATTCTGTCGCCTCGTTCGCAGGAGTACTTCCGACGCACACGCGAGGCCTCGCTAGGGCACCGGCTCGAAGACTTGCTCGATCCAGATAAGGAGGACCAGAGCTGGGACGCGGTAAGCGACGGCATGCGCGCTGTTGGCGAGCTGATGCAGACGCACAAGGCCGATGGGCCGTTTGTGCTGGGCGCCCGGCCGAGCTACACCGACTTCTTCATTGCAGGGTCCCTCCAGTGTGCGAGAGTGGTGGACGAGGATGTCTTCCAACGAAATGTCAAATACCCTGGTTTCAGGGAGATTTATGAGGCGTGTCTGCCTTACATGGAAAAGAAGGATTGAACAGAGGGGAGAATTGTGGTTCTGTTGCCATTCAGATGGATCTCAGGCTATCTAACTAACTCCCGAAGTTGCTGCCATAAGTTAGCCAAAGTCTCGTTGATGTGCATAACCGAGAAATATAGCTTACCCATAGCTGAAGTCTTTTACCTTCAGCCGTTAGTTGCACCCGATCAATCTCCAAGTCCGCTCAAGTTTTCTTGCACTCTTGGACTGTCAAGATCCTTTCTTCCCAAGTGCCTTTCACAATTAACCGAACGGCAGTGACTGGGGTTTTCTGGCCTAATCGATGAACATGAGAAATGGGTTGTTCTTCAAGCATGGGATTCCGTTGGGGTTCTATCAGAACGGCGTGATCCGACACAGTAAGGTCAAGCCCCTGACCGCCACAGGTGATGGATACGAGTATGACTTTCAAGGTATTATCTCTGGAAAATAGCTGGAGAATGCGGTCTCTTTTCGTGCGCGAGAGCCGATCATCGTGACGGCAATATGAGATGCGGAATTGAAGCCGAGCTTTTATGGACCATCGTATCCAATTACCACATCAACATATGACCCTACATAAGGATTCTCCATCAGAACGATCACCAACCCGTGGTGCCAATCTGCCCAGGAAGGAGATATTCCCATTCCAGGATCAGTAGGCTGGAGGTGTGACACCGCATGAAGTACCAAATCTTCTCGGCGGTAATCCCCAGAGCATGTCAATGAGATCGCTCTAGGTTTGGCGTACACCATCTAGTGTTGCCTGTAGGGGATTTTCTGGGTAATAGAGAGTCTCTGCCCTACCCTCGATAGCGGGAGACTTCGCAGAAAAGTGTTTGATGCTGTCCCCTCTATGTGGCCGTTGTAGGGAATTGTTCAGATAAAAGACCAAAAAGATGCATTCGGTTGACTCTGGGTAGTTCGTTGCCACCGTCACCCACGTATGGAGTTCCCCAAGTGGATAAAGTAAAGGAGTATTTTCAAACGAGATTTTGGGGCTAACATGAGAGAGCCATGACATCCTCAGTTTGGATTTCGCCCATACCGTGCTCCTGCGTCAACCAACAAATACTAGCGGGCTAAAGCAGCCAATACATCACTTCCTACCATTACTGTATGCACGCCCATCAGACTAGATAGCTCAAAGACTTCCATGATCTCCTCTGGTTTTGCGCCGTATTTGACGGCATTGCGGATGTGCAATTTCAACCCTGGCACATAAAGATGCGTCGTAGCACAGTCGATGGCGCAATAAATAAGTTCTTTCATTTTGGGGTCAAGGCCACGAGACAGCTGGGTGTCATTCGTTGAATGTTTTGCATCCTGCCTAGTACGAAATGGATAAGACGAAAATTCGGTATAGGCTCCGAAGAAAAGGGGATCAAGTTGGAGGACTGGATCCCAACTCGAATGCCAGTAGCCACGCTTGGACATGAAATCGGATTTCAGTTTCTCACGCTCGGCGTCGAGCTTGCCAACAGGAATGTTGTCGATAATCCCTTCTTCCTGCAGAACTTCGTTGAGGAGAGGTACGCCGACGTTGACCGCGTGGATCCCCAAGACAGAAGACAACTCAAGGACCTCCAAAATTTCGTCCCTCGTCGCTCCGGCTTTCAAGGCTGCCTCGGTGTGGGCATGAATGCCCGGGCTGAACATGGTGGTGCAGGATGCACTTATGCTGAGGAGGACGAGCTCCTGAGCCTTGCGCGACAAGTTTTGATTACGTAGAGGGATCGAACGTAACTTGAGGTAGACCGAGAAGTACCCTGGGTCCAGAGAAAGAACATTCTCCCACGACGACGACCAAATGCCACCCTGAGATATGAATTCAGATTTGAGGCTTTCTTGTTCAGGAGACAGCATTGTGACCACAGATGGCAGTGACAAATCCGACTTTGTTTACCTCGACCCCAGGATTTCGTCCTTGACCTGACCCAAAATGTCTCGTATTTGAACTCGACGTAATGCAGAGACCGCAGGGCAATGGCAAAATGGTAAAGACAAGTTAGGGAGCAGGTTCGAACATCTCCCTGTCAACCCATGAGGTGGAAGCTCGACTTTATCTCTCCATAACCACGATACTCGTAGGTGGAGTTCGTGTTAACCTCGGTAAGCACGAGGCATTCTCCGCGCAGAAGGACGCATCCAACCAACTGGAAGTTTCACGATCCACAGCATACTATTCACTCCAATTTAGTTTGGTTAAGCTGGCGGATCAGGAAATGCCACGGCCCAGTACCTTGTAGTACCACACCAAAACAGAACTTTCTGTCTCTATCCAAGGCTGAATATTGTCCTATATTTTCACATAAAATTTGTGAATAAAATAGTTATCTCGACCCTTGACCGCTATATTGATTCCTACGCCAAGCATACCGAGTATCTGACTAGTCAAGACTTGATTCATAGCGACGAGCCTGAATCAAGTTCTACAGGACTAAGACTCAAGTCAAAGCGACTTGTGTCTTGCCAACGCTGCATGCAATCGTCCCCAGAGACAAGACAGCAATGACACGCCCCAGCCTGCATTGAAAAAGACGTCAGCGCAGTCTCGTTTGGATCTCTCAGAGATAGACCAGCCCGCTCTCTTGGGCCGGGAAACCCTGCTCATTCCACCATCTACTCCGCCATCCACCTCGTCTCCGACGACGGCATAGAATACATACAGGTAGGACAATGATAATATCTCCAACTTCCTACTCAACCTCTCTTCCCTGCGCGTTCTCATCCAACTGCCCCTTTCCCAGCAACAGCCGACCGCGCCCACAAAACACGGCGTAACACTCAGGCGTCACGCGGTGGAAGTGGTGCGTCTGGCAGTGCTTAAACTCTCCACCATCGAGCCACTTGTTCGCTTCGATCTGCGTGCGCACGGAGTGGCGGTGACTGACTGTGAGGCTGATGATGTCTTGTCTGGGGACGTTGAAGGTGAGAGCACATTTCGATATATCAGCACAGGAAGGGGAGAGTTGGACACGTGAGATGTTGGACTGAAGGTGTAAGTTTCCGGGTCTTACATTTATCTTGATTGAAGGTTATAAATTAACGGGTCTTGGAGGTTGGCTCGATGATCAGACCGCAGACGCCGTTGAGGAACTTCTTCTATTTTGCAGTTTAACGAGATATTGTTCAAATGCTCATGTTTCTCCCTCAGCGCCCCGGTGAACGCGTTTGAAGAGTAATCTGGTGCCATTGACGGGGCCGTGACTCGGCAACTTGCTCCAGGCTTTGTGTGGGAGAGATGTGTTTCCACGCAGCCGTTTCAGTTTTCTTTGTTTTTGCTTCCCGATATCTGCAGACTTGATGCTAATCTGCTGACAAGCGACGTTTTCACAAGGGGAAAGGCTACGTTGCGGTGCGTGGAGGATATCCTTCACAACCGGCGGCCCCCAGCATGCGATCTCCTCGGGCCAGCCTCGGAAGTCTAGGGGCTGGATCATGCGTCCCACAGGGTTGATAGTACTCCATCAATGCTGAGGATGTTCAACGCACTCTTTTCCCAGGACTGCAACGTTGTTTCACTCTCAATAGTCCGTTGACAGGTGTCAAAGTTGACCATATCCACTTGAGCTTCCGTAAGCCTTGAGCGTGGCGTTGTTAAGTGATTTGATTTTGCATTTAGCTTCGACGATAGCCGCACCGATACTCTTGCGGATTTGCCATCCCTGCGGGGCTCTGGAACCCTGACCGTATTCTCCAGAGTTCAGGTCGGACTAATGAAAGCTAAGCGACGGGACGCACTACAGTATCCGACAACCCTCGGATGGCCCGAGGAATCCTCTCCTGACTCCCTCCATGTCAGAGAAAATGGCAGTCCAAGATGAGGCTCCAAAACTGGACATTCCGCCAATGAGGTCCGGAATCGCGGCACTGTTCTACGATGCAGGAGCTGCTGAAGTTTTCACGAAAGGAGAGAAGGGTTGTACTATTCTGCGAAGCCGCACCTCGCTCTCTCGGTGAAGAGATCAACTCCACATGGGGCCTTTGCGGCCCTGAAGAGATGCGGGGAGAATACGTATAAAGGTGATTACCCTGGAGTCTCTTGCGGGATAAACCTCGCAACATATGCCGCATAGCACGTCACATCAAGAGTACATGGAAGACGTTGAGCTCTGACCTTTACCACCCCGGACAACTGCAAGATGCCTTCATCCGGCCTTAGACCGATCAGAATTGCTTGTTGGTAAACTCTTCTCTTTTTGAAGTAGATCAACTGACGCGGGGCTTGAAAGGTGGATCTGCTTCGGTGACAGATCGCAGGCATGCCTTCGAAACTCTGGCAAGAAACCACCCACATGATGAGGTGGACGTGATCATTGGGGATTGGATGTCGGAGGCCAACATGACATTTTCCGCAGGTCGCAAGGCTGAGGGTAGGTTCGCTCGCTTCTCCAGTCTCTTCGCCACAACCAACAACATTTCCGTTTCTGTTGATTCTGGCCGGCTGACAAAACCTGCAGGTCGCGCGGGTTTCGAGCCGACTTTTCTGGAAGCACTTGAGCCAGCGCTTCCTCACATCGCCAAGCACGGCATCAAGGTTGTCGTAAACGCTGGGGTCTCTGACACCAGGCTCTTGCATACAACAGTAGTGTCGCTGCTGAAGGAAAAGGGACTCTCCTTGAAAGTTGCTTGGATAGAGGGCGATGAGGTCTTGGATGCCATCAACGAATTGCGGGTTTCCAAGAAAGCTCGATTCGAAAACATTTGTACACAAGAAATTCTGGACGACTGGAAATTCGAACCCTTGTACGCTCAGTGTTACCTTGGCCCGTTTGGCATCGCCGCCGCACTCTCAGCCGGTGCAGACATTGTCCTATGCGGTCGCGTTTCCGATGCTTCCCTTATAATGGGTTCCGCGATTTGGTGGCACGGCTGGAAGAATGCAGACTATGACCAGCTCGCAAATTCTCTGGTCGCAGGCCACCTTATTGAGTGTTCCACCTATATCACTGGAGGCTGCTTCAGCGGCTTCAAGTCTCTGAGAGGTGCTTGGAATGATCTGGGTTTTCCAATAGCTGAAATTAGCAGTGCCGGCGAGGTCATCATCACCAAGCAGAAGGCGACGGGTGGCATCATTTCCGTCGACACTTGCACTGCGCAGCTTCTTTATGAGATCCAAGGGCCCCGCTATTATAACTCGGATGTCACCGCCATTATTGATGAAGTCACTTTCAAGCAAATCGGCCCTGATCGTGTGGCTCTGTCTGGCGTGAAGTCAGATCTTCCCCCACCAACCACTAAGGTTGGTATCACTGCAAATGGAGGGTTCCAGGCAGAAGTTCACTACGCATTGGTGGGCTTGGACATCGAAGCCAAAGCGGAGATGTTGGAAGATCAGATCCGCACATGCATGGGCGACAGGGTCAAGGATCTCACGGTTCTGGACTTCAAAATCATTGGAAGAGTGCCGGAAGATCCAGATGATCAATCTGCAGCGACGGTCGACTTCCGCATTGTTGCTCAAGCACTGAAGGAGGAAGCGCTTTCTGAGGTAAACTTCATGAGGTAAATCACCTTCGTCTTCCGCGAGCGTTCGTGCCCTTGCTCCGCGCAACAAAGACCTAACCAGATTACAGGCCATGTGTCGACCCTATCATCGAGTCTTATCCCGGCGCGACCTTCTATCCCGACTTCCGCACGACTTTACCTCGCCCAATCTTTGAGTACTACGTCACGCTCCTGCCACAGTCGTCTGTCCGACAGATTGCTCATCTGCATGACGGGAAGTCCGTTGAGATCTCACCACCTGCAAAAACGAAGGAGTATTCCAAATTCCAACCTAGCAACGAGATGACGTCGGGCATTGCCTCTGTCTCATCTTACGGAAATACCACGCGAGCGCCACTTGGTTCTATCGTTCACGCTCGCTCGGGCGACAAGGGCTCCAATGCGAACGTGGGATTCTGGGTTCGTCATGACGACGAATACGACTGGCTTCGGGCGCTCCTTAGCACTGAGAAGATCAAGAAACTACTCGGCAAAGAGTACAAGGGTGGTAAAATCGACCGGTTCGAGGTACCTAACGTGAGAGGTGTACATTTCTTGCTGCATAACCATCTGGACCGTGGTGTGAGCTGCAGCAAGACATTGGATATACTGGGCAAGAACGTTTCCGAGTTCTTGAGATGCAGATGGGTCGACGTGCCGGACAAGTTTCTTGAGAGAGGAAGGATTTGAAGGCCGTCTAGATCTACATACTTGAGAGCTGTCAACGCATTTTTCTATCAGATAACCATGCTGCATTGATAGTCAGCAAGCAGAGTGAATCAATACTGTAAAGATCGTTCTTTGCTTCTGCTCCAAACCTGAGCCGAAGGGACTTGTGGTTGAAACCGAGGGATTTTCGCTCATGTGCTGGCCAGCTCTAAAGGTACATTATCACCTTTACAAGGCAACGATAGACCGTCTGCACTGCAGGATTCCCCTGCCCCATTGCAGCTTCAATGATGTTGTTCCTTGAGGGCAGAAGGATTTCGAGTCCGGGAACATTCAGGTGATCTGCGAAAATCGTACCAAAGGGAATCATATCCCACGGGGAAAGCTTTAGTGGCAGAAAAAGACTAAATTAGCGATGTAACAAGCAGCCTACTATGACTCTGTAGTTTAGAAGAAAAGGCACTTTGGTCGAGATACTCTGAGGTATCATCTAATCTCAACCTGTTGACGGCCAAGTCGCTATGTAGATAGGCACCCTTGTCCTTCGTTGCCAGCCATACCACTAGGCTAGCCTAGACCACCAAGTGGGCACAGTAGGAGACTCGGTAGTGGCGTTTAGAGCGATTCTCATAGTGTACTTCGTATATAAAGGCGTTGTCAGACCACTTGATAGAGCCAGACTGGATATTTGCTTGCCTTACGAGGTATCTTTAGGAAGCGCTTTTCTGGCACAGGCGAAATGTCTATATAAATAGGAAGGAACTTGCTGAACGAAATGGATAGACAGAAACAGTGGATCAAACAGAGGCTTGACGGCCATTTACGGAATCAGCTTGACAGTTCTAAGTTTTACACAACCATACAAAGTATCACGTTTCGCGATGCCGGGATGTCGGCAGCCTTCCCGCGGATCGTCCGAGCCGCTGGTTGCAAGACGAATTTGCAAGGCGGAAAACTCAGCATCAGCGACTATGGTAGCGTCGCTCGGCTCAAGGGCCAACTGGCCGGGCTCCCTATCCAAGAATTCTCCTCCTCAAGCTACAGTAGGATGGAGCACTAGCGGGGAAGGACAAGAACTATATAAAACCCTTGGTGGGATCTGCGAGTCAACCAGAAGACTCCTCTGAAACGACATGATACCTTCTTCACAAACTTGGCAATTCGTGAGCTATGGCCGAAACTTTCGAGAAAACCAACTCCGTCCTCAGCGTCGCCGACACCTTTGCGCATCACGAGAATAAGGAGGAGGATGACCAAATCGCTGGAGCAGAAAGATATGACGAGGTCGAGGTGCGCAAAGTTCTACGACGAGTCGATGTTCGCCTGCTACCACTATTGACTCTCCTCTACCTTATTTCGTTCCTTGACAGAGGCAACAGTAAGTGTTGACCATTAGAAATTGTTATGAGGGGAGCCAGTCTGACGATTTTGTTCGTCCAAGTCGGCAACGCGCGGGTGGCAGGGTTGCAGAAAGACTTGGGCTTAACGGACGGTCAATACAACTTGTGCCTGACGGTGTTCTTCTTCTCCTATGCTTTCTTCGAGGTCCCCAGCAACATTGTCCTCAAAATACTTCGCCCACGGATCTGGATCCCTATCATCGTCCTGGCCTGGGGCACAGTGATGACTCTAATGGGCGTTGTGCAGAACTTTGGCGGACTCGTTGCAACGCGATTTTTCTTGGGGCTCGCTGAGGTATGTATCCCACACCCTCATGTCTTCCGATGAGGGACAAAGACATTTACCAGCTTGCTGAGCCTTTGACTAGGCAGGATTTTTCCCAGCATCAACGTACGTGATCACCACTTGGTATACCCGTCATGAGATCCAAACCCGGATTGGAGTTTTCTTCTGCGCCGGGTCTCTGGCAGGAGCATTTTCTGGGCTTCTGGCCTTTGCTATCCAGAAAATGGATGGGATCGGCGGCTTGGAGGGATGGAGATGGTAAGTTCACCGCACAACATAGACACAATGTGACGGTATTCTGGTCTAACCGCCGCCAACAGGATTTTCATCTTGGAGGGCCTCCTCACCCTCATGGTTGGTATGGCTTGCGCAATCTCTTTACCTAATGGACCTCAAACAGCACGGTTCCTCTCCGCCGAGGAGAAAGATTGCATCATTGGTCGATTGAAACGTGATGCACATGAAGGTGGCGACGAGTTGATTGGGGACACTCCCTTTGAGATGAGGTATCTCTATGACACCTTGAAAGACTGGAAAATCTACCTGTCGGTGATAATCTTCTGGGGTAACTCGATTTCTACCTATGGGTAAGTAGATTCTTGACCAGCTCCTCCCCGGGGAGGATATCCGCGCTGTTACCCGATCTGACGACCCTTGACAGATTCATCTTCTCTCTCCCTATTGTTATTAAAGGCTTGGGCTACTCGGCGGCAAACGCGGTAAGTCGGTGTATCTGTCTCCATCAAGGTCTTTTCTGCTCAACCATGATTTTCAGCAACTCCTTACGATTCCTATCTACGCCACCGCGCTGCTGGTCACTATAATAACCTGCTACTATGCCGATCACACAAAACAACGCTCGCCGTTCATCATCTACCCGTTTATGTTGGCGGTGGTCGCCTATGCAATCCTCATTGCTCTTCCGAAGGACAAGTATCCGGGAGCAAGGTACGGGATGCTTTTCGTGGTCGCAGCCGGACTATATCCCTCCATCTGCACTGTAATCGCTTGGAATGGTGAGGTTGTGCCTCCAATCTATCGCGAAGACATGCTGACTTCGTTGCACATAGCCAACAACCTGGCTGGACCATGGAAACGTGCAATTGGAATTGCTCTTCAGCTCACGATTGGCAACCTAGGTGGTGCAATCGGTTCGAACATTTATTTGCAGCGTCAAGCACCACACTATTGGTTGGGCTATGGATTTTCTCTTGCCATCATTCTATGTGCCATCACATCAGCATATGTTTTGAGATTCCTACTGAGCCGCCAAAATAAGCAACGAGAAAGAATGACCCCAGAGGAAATCTATACCAAATATTCCCCGGAGGAGCTGAAGAGGCTAGGCGACAAAAGTCCTTTCTTCAAATATACACTCTAGGGGACCTGCGGGAATCCTCAGCGTGATGGAGGACTCACCACGAGCTTTGGTCCCTCGCATCGATGGAACGGGAGAAAGTTACAGGGCTGCACGGCAAGACAGTGGTGAAGACTTGCTCCATCACAGTTGCGCGATCCAGCGTGGAGTTCAAGCTTGCAACACTGGTACCGCCACTCATTGTCTGCTGGTAGATGCGCGTGTCATCTTGCTTCGTATGCATTGGGCCGTATAGTAGACCAAAATACGTGAAGAGCTAGCACCCCTCGTGGAGGGAGGGGACCATCATGCCCTCTTCGATCTTTAGAAAAGAAGCTCGCACATTCCCTACAGCAGATTTTTTATCCAGCTAATCTAAATAGAAAAGAATATTTTTTTTTCTACTCGATTATGTGTAGAATCCGACGGCCTTTGTGGCCATCAGCAAAGACGAGGCTGCACAGAGATGTACTTGTAGTAGCGCTAACGTGCAATACAGACCGGACGACAGCCATTTGAGATGGAGAGCGACAATTGCCCCAGACCCTGCGGTTATTCAAACAGTCATCGCAGTCATGGTTTGTTCCTCTTCCCTTTGCACGGTGCGATCCTACGGTTCTGGCGAGGAAAGACTCGAACATCTGGTGTCCCGTCACGATAGCCAATCTCAAACCTATGCACATGGCGCTCGATGCGGAAAACGGATCCCGGATGGACGGATGATCCAACTTCAATCTGCCGAGGGTGTGGGACACCCCGCATCCACCTGTCGACATCGTTCGAGTGAATTAAAGCCTTGCCGTCTTGCGAACACCTCAGCCCTTGCCGCGACGCGTGCATGTCATGAAACTGGAGCTATGGAACCTGCTGCTTCTTCAAAACACCTTGCCTCAAACTCGAGAAACAACCGTTTGAGTAACAAGGTACACAGTTACCCGAGAAGGCGAGCACTGATTGCAGTACGCCGGCCGCTGAAACCGTGTGCATATGATGTTTCTGCTGACGTTCATGGCAGTGTGACATTTGCCGAATAAGGAAGACACGCTGTAATGGCAAAAGACCTACGTGCTCTCTGTGCGAGGACTTGAACATCGAATGTGTTTACTCTAGAGCTGAACATGGCGAGAGATCGCGCAGAAGGGAAACCTCGCCGGGAAGAGAGAGCCATGAATTGGCAACGATTCGAGATCGCCTCGCAAAAGTCGAGTCTCTCCTCGACAGTTTGGTCAGCCAGAATGCCAGAGAATTTGAAAATCCCAGAATGACAGCCTCCTCGCTGCACGAAGTCAGGAGTCCGGGCCCTCTGCGGACGGAGTCCAAGGCTGCCGCGAAACGGTTCATAATCCCCAACATATTTGTGCTCGAAGGTGTCAGACCAGAGTGGAGCTGCTGGTCTTACGACCTGCAAGCAGATTTCTTTTCGCATTCCATCGGGATGATGCGTGAAATGTCCCAAGTCCTCGAACTTCCCCCTCCACCCATGGACCTGTCGCGGTCTCGGCTCTTGAGGCTTCAACAGGCCTTCATGGACAACGTCTTAAAATATCTTCCCATATTCGACCACGAAACGGCATCGAGGCATATAAAGTCGGCGCTGGCCCTCGACTATCACGAGGCCACTCCTTGTGTGGCCTTGGCCCTTTTGATCTTCGCGATCGGCTCCGCAGCTCTAAACACCTCCTTCTACACGGCCTCGTCCGTAGACCTTCCTGGATTTGCCTACTTTTCCCGAGCAATGGCAATACTTGACAGATTGCAAGGCCGAGTGATAGACATTGCCACTTTGCAATGTGGCCTCCTTGCAGCGTGAGGACCTCCCTGGCTCTCGAAATGAGTGAATGAGCCCTTGAATAACTCGAATACTAGGATTTATTTCATATTCAACATCCAGCCCTTGCCGGCACAGAGACATGTGTCGCAAGTCTCGCGAGATTGCATTGTCTTGCTTCGAGCTGGAATCGATCGAGAAACAGCACAAGATAGGGAAAGCTTCAGCCGCTTATTTTGGATTTGTTTTATTCTTGATAGGTTTGAGATTACCCTCACCTAACCATCTGCTCCTCTCATGCCTTGTGGCTCACAAAACCTTTTGCAACAGTGAACTAGAGCTGTGCCTTGATCTCCCTTCAAATGGGCTACGTGCCTACGAAACAAGGGTGCCACTCCCGACGAGTCAATATGACGAAGAAGGCATGTACTACCTACTGTCACTGATCTCGTTTCGAAAGATCTCTGTGGATATCAATGAAAGCGTCGGATATAGCAGTAAGCTTAAAGAATTCTCCGTGCCCCGAGCAAGGCCTGTTCTTATCAAGCAGGCGTTTCTCTGAGTGGTCTCAATTCTGATGAAATTTGTCTCTAGGTCCGCCGTCCGGCAGCTACGGCGCCGTCATCGCGAACGCGCTTACACAGCAACTCGACGACTGGTATCAGTACCTACCGGGCCCCGTGAAATTTCCCTTGGACGATGATTGGATATTCGATGTTCGAAAAGCACACTTACGTTGTCAGTACTTCATTCACAGAGCGATGGTCTCATGGCCACTTTTGGTGGCCAGTCCGGGTTTCGGAACCACTCCAGAATACGACATGGACATCCCGGATGCCCAGAGTCTTGAGCAAGGGCTGCGCGAATGTGTAAACGCTTCTCGAGCTTTCTTGAAAGCCGGCGAAGAAATATTGACGCAGACGTCCTTGATTGCGCATTTGGCTTTGAGAGGGTATTTCGCCACGGCGATGATTCTGGCACTGGTGCATTCGAGCAATCTGCACACCTCAGAAGATGAGATCGACGACGACGGGAAGCTTCTGCGGCAAGCGCATCGATGTCTCTCGAATTGGAAAGAAGTTCCTTTTCTCCGTGTGTCGATGGTCAAGCTTGATGATATCTTGCGGCGGAAAAACATCCTCTAAGTTCGAAGGGAAAAGGACAAAGTATTATTTCTGCCTTTCGCAGCTGCGGTCAAGTCTGCTTGATCCATATCGACCTTACTCTTACGGAAAAAGCGCAAAAGTGAAACCGCAGATCTCGCTCGTCGATGTCCATGAGTTCTATTTCCATCTTAGACATCGGAACTCCGACGCTCTTCCATGGTTGCGCCTCCAGCGACGTCCAGCCACTAGACAAAGACTCTACCTTGAATTTGGATCAACCGCCGTGCGGGCGCCAGGATTATCGTTGTTATAGATGAAAGAGTTGACTAATTCATAGGCGGATTCCTCATTCTCACTCCCTTGATAGGGTCCCTGTGGTAACAAGGAACCTCTCTGGCGCTAATGTGCGTCTCTTGTCCGATTTAAGGGTTTGCGCTATCTAGTAGAATAATTTTGTCGCGCTCAAAAGGACCGTCGTCTCTGCTGCAGTCCGGAGTTCACGCAGTCCCTGCTGGAACTACTCGACGTACTGCAGTGTGGATTGGGGTCGTAGCCGTTGATCATATGGTCGGAAAACTGATCCTCAAGAAAGCATGATCTGAAGAGATTAGGCAAGCCTTAAGGCGCACGACAAGAAACAGTGTCTTGATGAAATGATGCCATTCAACTATGCCCGGCTTGAGAAGATAGGATGGGTGTTGGTCAAGGATCTTGGTCAAGGATCTTGGTCAGCACCACCTGCAAATTCCCAAGGCAGATATGAGTGTCTTCCAGTGCCAAAGTCTTTGGGCACAGGGCCTTCAGAGTGCAGTAGGTCGTGATGAAGTGGAAGCCTGATGATATCGTCGACGGGCAAGTATGCTAGCTTCCAGGCCATTAAGTCCTTATCATCGCGTGTCAAATATACAGCCTTCTCTTCCACTCCTCTTGTGGACCGAACTCGGTGTTGGGCCACCAGATGCAGCGGTTCGACAATCGCTGAGGCTTCGCTGTCAATCGGTTTATCGAAACACTGTACAAGCATTCGACTAGCGTTTCTCAAGCTCCCAATGCATTGTGTATTTTCTGGCCTGTCCAGCCCAAGAATCCCACGACCGCAACTGAGATAGTAGTGCAGCAGAAATGCACGTCCTTCTTCTATCGATTGAAGTGACCACGTCTGAACTTTTAGCGAATTTCTCTGGAAGCCCCCTCCAAACTCCTGTTCAGCGACGCTTAGCAGGATGAATGTGTAGGTAGGTACTTTACTGCGGGTCCTCTGCCTGCTCACACGCAAAGGATTTTTGCCTAAAAGCCTCGCGAAGAGCCGACAAAAAAAGCAAGTTGTCTGACATGGATCTATCTCTCTTCCTGCTGTGGGCGAAGTTTGCTGCCTGACAGCGTCCTAAACCACTTCCCGAACACCCGCCGTCGGGGTTTGTCCCTTATTAGCCACCCGCAACTTTCACGTTCCTGGAAATTCTTCCGTCATGACTGGCAAATAATAATGCGATGGACAGGAGAGAGAGTTACAGCTCTCTGCCAGAGTGCTTTTACTTCTAACCAGGTCCTTTTATGGCCATCCCTTGAATCATCGAAATTTGCCCTCTGGGAAGTTCAAGTGAACGGCCGGTAACCTCTTGCCAAGCTGTGGCACCGCAACCCATCGTCCGACAATATGAAATTCACAGAGGGCATGTGGCGGACCCGGTCCGGGATCTCGTTCAACTGGATGGGAAACGTGGAGAGGCTTCATGTCAGCGAGGACAACAACGCCGTCGACCTCCTGCTCACGAAGCCGCGGAACAGCCGGGGCGACTCGCTCAACGTGGGCACCGTTTCTGCTCGGATTCGTACGCCCCTCGAAGGTGTCATCGCGGCTAGCTTCACACATTGGACTGGCGAGGAGGATCGAGGGCCGCATTTCCCTCTGTTCGAGGCGTCGCCAACCCCGGAGATCAGCCATTCCCGGGGACGGGCGCTGGACTACTCGAGTGGACCACTGGGCTTGTCGATAAACACAGCCCCCAATGAGCTGGCTTTCACTTACTTGTGCCACTCGAAGCGACTCACGGGGCACTCGTTCCGGTCGATCGCGGTAGTGTCGTCCTCAGACACCCCCGGATACCGAATCGAAGAGGGCATGTACGCGCAGCAGGACAACTACATGCTCGTGGAGTTGGATCTCAGTGTGCACGAGAAGATCTACGGTCTAGGCGAGCGATTCGGCCCATTCGTGAAGAACGGCCAGACGGTCGATGTCTGGAACGAGGATGGCGGGACGAGCTCCGAGCTGAGCTACAAGAACGTCCCCTTCTACCTGTCCAGTCGGGGCTACGGCGTCTTCATCAACAACCCGGGCAAGGCCATGCTGGAGGTCCAGTCGGAGCGGACCACGCGGGTCAACATTGTGATTCGGGGCGAGAGCCTCGAGTACATGGTCATAGCGGGCCCGTCACCCAAGGACATATTGGACCGCTACACCACCCTGACCGGTCGCCCGGGCCTGCCTCCAGCCTGGTCGTATGGGCTCTGGCTCACGACCTCGTTCACGACTTCTTACGACGAGAAGACCGTCACCTCGTTCCTGGACGGCTTCAAGAAGCGAGACATCCCATTGAGCGTCTTCCATTTCGACTCGTTCTGGATGAAATCATGTATGTGTGTTTTCCCTGCTTCCCCACATTTAGACTGCTCTTATTGATCCCGTCGGCGTTGAGCGGCTCTGTGTAGTTGCGGATATTGGTGTAAGCCGATCAGGACACTAACGGTGAATTGTGGCAGTTCAATGGTGCGACTTCCAGTTCGACGACCAAAACTTCTCCGATGCAACAGGCTACCTGCGCCGCCTGAAGGAGCGCGGGATGAAGCTGTGCGTCTGGATCAACCCATACATTGCACAGGCGTCGCCCTTGTTCCTCGAAGGTAAAAACAAGGGCTACTTCATCATGCGCGCCGACAAGCCCCGGCCGACTGTCTGGCAATGGGACAACTGGCAGGCGGGCATGGCCGTGGTGGACTTCACGAATCCGGCCGCGCGGAGTTGGTACGCTTCGCAATTAACGAGGCTAATGGACATGGGCATCGACAGTTTCAAGACCGATTTTGGTGAACGCATCCCATTCCTCTCGCACCAGGTAAGGTACCACGACGGCAGCGACACGGAGCGCATGCACAACTTCTACGCGTACCTGTACAACAAGACGGTGTACGAGACGATGCAACTCAAGGGCAAGGAGCCGTGTCTCTTCGCGCGGTCGGCGACAGCCGGTGCGCAGCAGTTTCCGGTCCACTGGGGCGGAGACTGCGAGAGCACATTTGAAGCCATGGCCGAAACTCTGCGGGGCGGGCTCTCACTCGCGCTGTCGGGTTTCGCCTTTTGGGCGCACGACATCGGCGGCTTCGAGGGCCTGCCTGACCCGGCCCTGTACAAGCGGTGGGTGCAGTTCGGGCTGTTGGGCAGCCACTCGCGTCTGCACGGTAGTTCGAGCTACCGCGTGCCCTGGATCTACGACCCGCAAAAGTACCCCGGCGAGGACGAAGCATGCAGCAAAGTCCTGAAGGAGAGCGTGGAACGCAAACTCGCCTTAATGCCGTACCTCCTGCGGACGGCGCTCGAGGGCCACCGCAAGGGCACGCCCGTCATGCGCGCCATGTTCCTCGAGTTTGGAGACCTTGACATGAACACGTGGAACCTGGACACGCAGTACATGCTCGGGAGCGAGCTCTTGGTCGCGCCTGTGTTTGACAAGGCTGGAGAAGTCACCTTCTACGTTCCGGTTTCGAGTAAGGATACTACCGCTAGTCCATCCAAGTGGAGGAGTTTCTTTGATCACGGCAAAACATACGACGAAGGCCGATGGTACACAGAGACACACGGGTTCGACACTTTGCCTCTCCTTCTGAGACCCGGGGCCATCGTGCCGCTCAACCCGAGCCTGAAGGCGCCGGATGGAGACATGGCGAACGGGTTACAAGTCCTTGTCAACGGGCCACTGGACGGCGACAAGGTCGTCGAACTCGTCGAGGCACGGGATGTGTCCAGGGTTTCCAAATCTTTTACCCTAGACAAAGACCTTGTTGTAAAAGGGATAGAAGGCGTCCAAGTTGTGGATGTGTCGAAAGCCTAGAGAGTAGACAGGATAAAAGCCTGAAGGCACTGTATCTGTGAGAAGGACTTGAGATACCGCGAATAGACGGAATAGAAAGGTCCGGATGAAAGAAATTGGAGAATGTCACAACAACCTTTCATTCTGTTCTGTGACGTCGTCTCGGCTGTAAATGCCACTACTCCTAGGGGCCTGGCTTGTGGCGAGGCTGAGCCGAAGCTGAGGCAGTTTTGCAGCGACCAACAGATTTCAAGTCTGATATGGAAATACCGGCTGAAGTGCTACCTTGCCATTTAGTTAAACCACACCCAGTTAAAGCCTGATTACAATACCTGAAACCAACTCCAGTGGCAGGCATCACTACTGGACGACACGTGCGGTGTGGTGGTGCAGTGCATAGCCAGGCGAGCGGAGGCGAGGCGAGCCGTGTTGACCATTTTGAACTGCGGAGGAGAAATACCCGGGCCGGAATTGGAAGAGAACTGCGTTCAGCAGAAAGAGAGCCTACCTGGTATCTCCTGACTGAGTGATCCTTCCATTACCGGGTACAGTCCATGACACGACATATCTGAAGAGTTCCTTCTCCGTATATGCTCTGGGTTATCTTCCGGCGGGGGACCTCGGTCGAGCATTCCGCAGATCCAAGTTCGCCCCAGATCCAAGCCAGACATCACTTTTTCCGCCGAAGATGTGCCATGCGACGGAGTGGAAGAGGACTGGGAGTTTCCATCCTAGAAGACGATTGGCAGGCCTTTAGCCTAGATAGCCGTATACGGGATAGCCTGCGAGTCAAATGTTGCAGCGTTCCGGCTAATCCAAGGGGCACTCTAGAAGGATCCTTCCCCGGTGCGGCAACTCGGGTTGGCTGGCGTGATATGGGGGAGAATGGGGCGGTGGATAACGGGAGGTTTGAGATTCCACCTCAAAGCTGGGGCCCCATACAAATGTCCATGGCTGTAGATTCGGAGTATTGGTCGCCGAAGGATTCCCACGAAAGAGAAAACCTCACCCCCAAAATCAGCCGAGTCTCCGCGCACCTTTGGATGGAAACAATTATTCCTCTCAGACAGACGACGTCGCATTATTTCCCCGCTCTTTCTCTTTTCAGGTCTGTTTTCGGAAAGAGCCCGGTGGTATGGCATGTGATGGGATGCTCTTCTTGGTCCAGATCACTCTTGACGAAACAACGCCGGCTCCTCGAAGCTGTTCAGGTCGACATTTACCCGTGAAATTGGCCTCAATCATGGTTCGCCGGGTGGTATCCTCGCTCGATTGAACGAAGCTATCTCGCCCTCCACAGGAACTGACTGCAACTTGTCTCTGCAGCGGCTTGGCTGCTGTACCTTTGCGCTGCAGTCAATGGTTCGCTTTGCTGATGCGCGGGCCACATGCTCATCTCTCTGCTTGCGTCGAGAGTATATAAGTCCCTCCAATTCCCGCTTCCTATCCAAGTTATTGTGGGTTGTCAGAGGACCCCGGAACTCGTTCTCTGAAATTTCAAAGCATTGGGTGGCAGGCTGTTCCCCTTCACCACCTTCAGGTAAGAGACATGGCGACTAACCAGAAGGCGGGGGACACGATCCACGTTGAGACCTCCGACGACGGTCTCGGATATCTTAAGGACGTGGGCCTCCACGATGCGGCCCTTGCCAGTGGTGCCCTTGAGGGCACGGTGCAAGAGCACAGCATGGGCGTCTTCCAGGCTCTGAAGACGTACAAGCGCGCGGCATTCTGGTCGATTCGTACGTGTTCCAGCCCGTTCTCCTCAACCAACTAACTCCTTGGTAGTCATCTCAACTACCGTGGTCATGGAGGGCTACGACGTCACGCTCTTGGGATCCTTTTACGGCTATCCCAGTTTCCGACGCAAGTACGGTGCATACCTGAACGATGAGAGCGGCTACCAGATCTCGGCGAATTGGCAGCAGCGGTTCAACTGCCTGGGTGCCTTCGCCAACATCATCGGTGCCTTGCTGAACGGCTGGGCGACGGCCAGATGGGGCCACCGCAAGGTCCTCATGTTCAATCTGTTCTCGCTGGCTGGCCTCATCTTCATTGTCTTCTTCGCACCCACGATTGAGGTCATGCTCGTGGGGCAGTTCCTCTGCAACATCCCCTGGGGTGTGTTTGCCACGACCGGTCCCTCGTACGCAGCCGAGGTCACTCCCTTGGCGATCCGAGGGTATCTCACTGCGTACGTCAACCTGTGCTGGTGCATAGGACAGTTTATTTCTGCCGGTGTCCTCAAAGGCCTCGTGAACAACACGACCGAGTGGAGCTACCGGATCCCATTCGCGGTCCAGTGGATCTGGCCGATTCCACTCTTCCTCGCCGCTTGGTTTGCCCCCGAGTCGCCTTGGTACTTTGTCCGCACGGATCGAATTGAGGCGGCCCGGAAGTCCCTGGAGAGACTGACCCAGCCGGAGCATGGCGAGATTGACGCTACAATTGCCATGATGGTTCACACCAACAAGCTTGAGCTCCAGGAGCGGGCTGGTGTGACTCTCTGGGATGCCTTCCGGGGCACCAATCGCCGCCGGACCGAGATTGCCTGTATTGGCTTCCTCTCCCAAATCACCAATGGAGGTGCGCTCTGCTACAGCGGGTCCTTCTTCTTCCAACAGACGGGCATCAGCGCCAATGCCGCGTACGCCATCTCGTTGGCTGGGACCGGCATCGCTTTTCTGGGGACTATTATCTCCTGGCTATATATCTACCGATGGGGTCGCCGCACCATCTGGCTGGTCGGGTTCGCCTTCTTGGTCGTTATCCTCTGGACCATTGGCTTCCTGGCGTTGCCAACGCAGACCAAGAGTCTGGCGTGGGGACAATCTATTCTGTGCCTGGTCTGGTTGGGGGCGTACTCGATGTCGGTTGGACCCATCATTTACACGCTCGTCGCCGAGATTGGATCGACCCGACTGCGCACGCAGACTGTGGTGCTGGCTCGCAGCACGTATTATGTTGGAAACATCATCTGCGGTGGACTGCTTCAGCCCGAGCTGATTTCTCCGGGCGCATGGAATGCCAAGGGCAAGACTGTACGTGTATAACTTCGTCTCCTTTCTCTCTTTCTTTTCTTTCTTCCGTGGCTTTGGCTAATCTTGGATGATGACTCTCCAGGCTTTCTTCTGGGCCGGCCTCGCGACGTTGACCTTCCTGTGGGGCTATTTCCGCCTGTTTGAGACCAAGGACCGGACGTTTGGCGAACTGGACTTCATGGTAAGGAAATACACACCACTTCTAGGCATACGAGCCATTCTAACAGCGAGGGGAATTTCCAGTTCCAGAACAGCGTCCCGGCTCGGAAGTCTGCCAAGTATCAGATCAGGGAGGAGGAGCTTTACGCGGCAGACAGCGAGGAGAAGAAGCCATGAGTCTCGGCCAGCTCGGAGGCGTATCTGTTTGTTAGTTGCGAGTCGGCAGGGGGCTAGCTTGTATTCCAAGGCAATGAGACATCCTTTACGGGCTTTGCAGAGACGCGACTTGGACGTATTGGTGATAGTGATAGTAGTAGGAGGAGTAGTAGTAGTAGTAGTAGTAGTAGTAGTAGTAGTAGTAGTAGTGGTGGTGGTAGTGGTTAAATGGCCAGACGCGGTGCTGGCACTGAGTATTTGTATAGAGTACGGCGGGCGACATATACCAGTGGTGCAAAACTGATCAGCGGGCTGTTGCCTTCGGTGGAGTTTTGTACGCAATACTGCCAGCACTACCTCGTCGTAATTAAGGGTGGAACGCGTCTTGTTGATTCGTACCCAGGTATGTAACGAGATCAACGAAGCGGAAGAAGAGGAGAGAAGGAGACGCGCTCCGGGGTGACACGAGGCGGAAGAGTGATCCGGAGCCTCGTCGCTCTCATTTCATCATTTCATCATAGAAGCGTCATAGCCTCATGATGATGATTGCTTCACTACCGAAGCGAAGTGATGTGAAACTCCTTTATTAAAAAACATACTACGCCTGCTGAACAAGCCTTCCACCATCTCAACTTCAATGCCGCCCAAGCTCCCACTTTCTCCCCAATCTTTCATCAAGCCTGCCTCAGTCCGACTTGCGCAACGAGCTCATCTCTCATCCATCACGGCCCAGCCTCGTCTCCAGAGCCTGCAGCGCCACTTTTCAACCACGCAGCCCGCCATGTCTGGTCTCAACTCGCGCAACCAGAGCTTCACGCTCGACAAGCTCTTCGACGTCTCCAACAAGGTCGCCCTCGTGACCGGCGGCGGGAGCGGCATAGGGCTGATGATCACCCAGGCCCTCGCCACCAACGGCGCAAAGGTCTACATCTGCGGCCGCACCGAGGAGAAGCTCGAGCGCGTGGCCGAGCTCTACGGCAAGGGCATCCCCGGTCAGATCATCCCCGTGACGGCGGACGTCTCGCAGAAGGAAGACATCAAGAAACTGGTGCAGGAGATCTCGTCCAAGGAGAAATGCCTCTGCATCCTGGTCAACAATGCCGGCATCGCCCTCAACACGCACCAGACCGAAGCCTCCTCAGCCGAGGAGATGTCCAAGAACCTGTTTGACGACGAGAATGAGACGTTCGACATGTGGACCGACACGTACCGCACCAACGTGCCGCAGCTGTTCTTCATGACCACAGCCTTCCTACCACTCCTACAGGCCGCGCACCAGCACAACGACAACTTCTCGGGCACCGTCATCAACATCTCGTCCATCTCGGGCATCGTCAAGACCGCGCAGCACCATTTCGCATACAACGCCAGCAAGGCGGCCGCAATCCACCTGACGTCCATGCTGGCCAACGAGGTCGCGCAGAACGGCCTCAAGATCCGCATCAACAGCATCGCGCCAGGCGTGTTCCCCAGCGAGATGACCGCCCAGGAGAGTGGGGATGATCAAAAGTCCCACCTCCCCGGTGAAAAGTACGAGGGTAAGGTCCCCGCCCGCCGGCCCGGCGAGGACAGGGACATGGCCAATGCCATCCTCTTCGCTGCGACTAACCAGTATCTCAACGGCCAGACCGTCGCCGTGGATGGCGGGTACATCCTGAGCGCGGGAAGCGGGCCGTGAAATTTTTTGAAAGATCGCTCGATACCCGGCCTTCTTCCATTGCGGATGGCGAGGGGATGATCTGTGTAGAGAGGAGTCAGAAGCCCCTTTACAATGCTGCAGTGGCAGGTGCGTGCCGAGCATGCGTTCTGCCACGGTAGAGGAATTAGCCCGCGCTGAACGGCGGATTTCAATCCCAGCCAGGCACCAGGCTGAAAGAGGCCTAGACCACCATGGCCAACTGTGTGGCCCAGCCTCGTTGAAACAGCCGTAGCCAAGAGCATGGTGACAGCCGAATTATCTCTTTGTTCCAATTAGCGCACTGTTCGAAGTATATTCTATCACTGTTCTGTGTCGGCTTTTCCATGATATTGCCAGGATAAGGGCAGTGTAGCACAGGATTAGTGATGCATTCGCTAGAGCCGTCAATGGCATTGCCAACGTGTGGCCCGATTCAAGATTTTCGACGAAGCGCGATCAGAAAGTCGAGCTCTTCTATCCACCTGAACCTCTGCTCTTTGTGACAGTGCGATACCGCTGATTGCTGAGCCTTCGACACATTCACTTCTTCTCGCCTCCCTCCTTCTCAGCGCTGAAGCTTGTTTGCGGTTTAAAAGTTGATCAATCTAGTTCGGACAATATATAAGATCGATGAAGGTAGAGAGGTTCTGGAGTTCGAGTTGATCCCTTATTTGACTTGACATGCTGTTCGGATCTTTAAGATTGCCGAAGAGCTTGTTCCATGGAGAACTCTCATGCTAATATTGCTGCTAACTTGTATCAGAACCGAGACATTAGCCTTCCTCCCGTTCGATGTCGGATGCTCCATTTTCGTCGTCCTTAAGCATGCCGCGCATCCAAGAAATCCTCCGGAGAGACCTGAAATCCAGCCCTTCTGAGGTGAGAGTAGTGTGGATGATGCATTCACATGGCGGCCGGCCATGGGGAAATGTCACCCTGTCCTTCAGCTTAGGGAACATCGCGTCGGCCAGAAATTCATTTCCGATTTGGCGGCGGAATTTCGGAACAAGGGAGTCTAGATATTCCTCCAAAGCCTCCAGGTTGGGATTTCGTTTTGCTTCCTGCATCTTGCGGGCATCGAAGTCAGGATGCGAAAATACGTGGGAATAGAAGTTCAAGAGCTGCCATCGCTCCCAAGTATTTGCTCCATGAAAGCCATAGTCGCCCTCCGACTCCTTACTTAGTAGTGTCTCGTACTTCGAGTGAAATTTGCACGCTGGCCGGAAGCAGAGGCAGTAAGAGCCAGAGAGGGCGTGCTTGACCTCGGCCATGAGACGATATATTCCGACCTCGTCGACTGAAGGTTGCTGAAAATAATCGATATCCGCGTCAAGTAATGAAATATCAATTCCTTGGCTCTTCATTAGATGCTGGAGCGATGAAGTCTCCCAAGCTTTGGCTATCTGATCAAGTGGAGTCTCGTTCTTTGCGAGCTCAAGGTACGCTGCCGCAAGAGCCTCCCGGTGCCAAGTGTTTGTGCAATTGCAAAAGCCGAACAAGATCCACTCCGCGGTGCTAGCATCAGGGATATTGTTAAAGTCTCGGAGGAGGACTGAATACAGGGATGCGACAGACTTCTCAGAATGAGATAAACCGGATCCAGGAGAAAAGTATCGCTCGAGGTCAATCATGGCACAGACCTGGTACGCGTAGGACCCTTCCTGATGTGGAATATCAAAGCCTGTCAGGCGTCTGCTGAGAAACCATGGAAAACAAGGACAGTCCCTGTCGTCACCCGGCCTATGAACGTGGCTTGCAGAGATCCAACTTTGGATAAATTCGCCCAGAGTTTGTTCATTGACATAGAGTTGAAGACTTACAGATCCAAAACTCTGCACCAGGTTGCCATATATGCAGAAAAGGTTGGCCACTTCAAACTCTTCGACACACTGGTTGAACCCAAACGTCCTACAGAGATCATCGTCGGAAAACAGGGCCGTGAGCAGTGTTGTTCGGGAGCTTTTGTCTTGCGACGCAAAGATCCACCGTCTGGTCATAATCTTAAGACGATCCACGTCGTTTGGTCGACCCTTGACGCAGCAGGCGAATATGTGTCTATTCCAATCCTTGACTTGACACAACCTTGAGCAGTAGCTTGTTCTGCATGCGCAACATCGGAGGCCAGAGGGACGATTACAGCGCCTGCAAGTTCTCGAGCAAGAAATGCGCTTTGGGGGCATATCACCCAATATTTCAAGCCCAAACTTCGAGCGGATGGAATTATCCTTGAATAATTCAGCCTCTCCCAAGGTCATCTCCTTTGGTTTCGGAAGGCGGCCTCCAACGACCAAGGCATATCCTGGCTTCTCGGGATTCCTGTGAATGAGGATTCCGTCATTGAAAACGGTGGACATCATTAACATTCGTCTGTGGAAGCGGTTAGTCAAATTAACATTGAACACACTACTTGTTAGAGATATTCCTCCTTACTCTAATTCCCGATGTGATTTCTCCAACTGTGCTGATTCTTTCTCCGATGTACTTCGTGCTGAAGACAGCGCGTCTGAAGACTGGGCAAGCAGCTGGGATTGACTGATAGGGTACGTCATATTGAACAGTCTCTGAAGAATACTTCTCACGATGTTGAGGAACCGTTCCGTTGCTGACCGGAACTTTGTGATCGGGTCAGCCTTGCCAACGATGGTGTGTTCGGGTATTTCCCATCTGTGGATGATCGTTTGGTGCGTTCCTCGCACGTCGAAACCACCATATGAGCGAATGAACAAGTAACAGAGTAAGCAACACCGCCTGCTACATCCAATGTAGGGATGAGTATGTTTCCTCTCATCAGGCGACGATAAAAAGTCATGGCTCTGTAGCACTTGGATTTCGGCGTGGAAGTGAGGTTTGCGGCGTTTCTGCTGTAAGAGGGTCGCGAATTTGGTTCCTTCTCCTATGAGATATTTAATCCAGCCAGGCTGCTGGACATTGATTCCCAGACGACGAGCCACTGTAAGTGGCGTTGTTTGTTTGGAGTCAAAATTGTGGTTGGCACCTGACGCCTGGTAATGGACGGGTACACACTGGATAGATTTGAAAGCCGGCGGCCTCTCCGCGGCCTCGATGAAGCTGCGAACACCGTAGTAGATCTTACATAGGAAAAGAAGAGCCTTTTCGGCTTCCGCCTTGTGTTTCCGGCAGTCCCCGAAGTATTGATGCAAATACGCTTTGATAGCTGATCGGGTTCTCGCCCCTTTCCAGAGATCAAATGTGATATGCATTACCTGCTTGAGCAGCTCTTCCTGAGATCTTCGAGACTCTTCCGCGCATAGCTTATGAACCTTTTCGAAAAGATCAGAAACACTGCTGTCGACATTCTGGAAGCTTTCACCTGTTGCGACGGTTTCCGATAGCCCATAACCTTGAGCACGAAGATTCGTGGGTATTGCGAACTCAAAGCCATTATCATCAATCCATAATCTGGTCTTGAGGAATGGCTGGGATTCAAGCCGCGATTTTACGAGAGCGGCCGCCTCTTTACTTCGATGATGTGCTGGAGATTTCTTAGGTTGAAACGCACGCTTCAACCACTCCAGATAGCGCAGTATTCGCGGCCATTGATGGTTGACCACTAAGTTAAGCATGGTAGTCATGTCTTCTTCCGATGCAGCTCCTGCCATGACCTTAGTACTATCGCAGACGCAGTACGCTGATTTACATCACCTTTTCTGGCTATGGTTTCCATAGAGCCCTTCCAGTCACGGAGAAAGGCTTTGTCTTCTATGTCAAGTCCTTCGTTCTTCGAGCAGAGAATCTTAACTCTTTCATCCTCCTGGTATATTATCATCATTGCGCTAGACACATGCCTAGCATCAATTGATGTTTTCGTCATGGGATCGGATTTGAACCTAGCCAGTGTCTCCGCCAATCGATCCAAGATCTTGCTTTGCAACTCAGTGAGGTACTGTTGCTCATCTCTGTCTGTGTCAATAATATGCAAATCTTCCAATTCCTCAACTTCGTCGACTCCGACATCAGTTTCCACCTGCAAAGCATCATGGTCCGTTTCCGGACCGTCGTTTAGGTCCACGCCCGAAGTTTGCTCCAAACTACCAATTGGGCTATGTAGACCTTTGTCTGGTACCATTATTCCGTCAAGATCCGGTGGTCGTTTCATAACCAATGCTAGGAGGCAGATAGCATCTTCAACGTCTCCATATATCGAGCCGGGCTGGGAGCCTGACGAAGTGGGTCTGCCGCGACCTTGGCTCATCGCGACTCTCTGAGTTCAAGTGCAAGAAAGCTTCTGACGGTTCTAGAGACGCTTGAACGGAGGGTTTCTATTAGGTAGAAGTGATCTGGTTGAGTAACGACTTCGAAGGTGGGGTTTCATTGCTTGGCACGGTTCAGCTGAACTCGAAGGGAGGGGCGCAAGGGCGCGAAAGTATGGAGCGAAGGACACGTCACACGTCACACAACGACAGCATCGACATCCAAGCTGAACAGATGGACGGCCGTCTGCTCATCTGCCATATGTACTGTTGCTGAATTGCTCATTATACTTGCGAGGAGCAACTCGCTCAAGCATTCAATCGCCGTCTCTTGGGAACCTCGTCAACCGTTACAATGGACCATATCCAGGAGGAGCATGCCGATAAAGACGAATCTTCGTGCTGCTCACTTATGGAGGAACCTGCGGATGAAATGGAAGCGCTTGATCCGAAGGGAGACGTCGTGCTCGTTGTTGGGCGGCGTCATCTCTTGGTATCTTCGAGAGTGCTCGAGTTATCCTGTCCTTTCTTCAGGAAAATGCTCCAATCGAACGCCTTCATGGAAGGCGCCAACCAGCCAAATGCCGAAAGGCCACCCATCAAGCAACTACAGGAAGATCATCCGGATATATTCTATTTGATCTGTGTTGTTCTCCACTACCGTCCAGCCCATCCGCCAGACTCTATAGACGACTATCGCACATTGGCCGACTTGTGCAATTTTTACGGCTGCAGCAGGGCTCTGTCTTTTCACGTCAGAGCTTGGACAGATGCGTTGGAATTGTCCAGTCTCACTGTCGACGCGCTCCAATCGCTACTGTGGGTGGCGTTCGTCTTTCACTTGCGTAACCTCTTTCAACGAGTCAGCCTCTATTTAGCAGAAACCCTAACAACTGGCACATGGAAGCTTTGGGATGTGCATCCTATGCCTGCCCGACTAAAAGGTACGCCTCGCAAGGGAAACTGTTCTCGGGCTAATGATTGTCTTTCTAGATGATGTCAAAGAGCTTTGTGAGAATGTTAAGAACACGGTTCAACAGCGGATAGAACGTATGATTGACGATGCTGGTGCAAATACTGAAAGACACGTCGGTAAGCGAGACAAGATTTGCTCTCAGTGCTTTAGCAATAAGCCTTTGGAAACCAAAAAATGTGGTTACTGCGGTTCCAACGACTTTCGTGACTACCTTTGCACGAAAGAAGCACGCCTATCACTCTTCAAAGAGTGGCTCCAGTCACAAGGTTACTGGCCCTTGAGCCGCCTCAATGGTCGAAGCTGCCGGAGTTTCTTGGGAAGCATGCCTTCCCCGGCGGGCACTCGAACCCCGTGCGGATTCGATGACTCCTGCCCATTGGCGGGAGCGAAGGAGCGATTGATCGCAAGTCTCAGGATATCGCACAGTGACTGTATGGGTCTAGAGCTGGAAGACTATGATCCTGGGGACTTGCCAGAAATGTCTTGAGGAATCTGGGCCGTAGGATCAAGGGCATTCACGCGCATAATGACAGCAAGTGAGAGAATTTCTGGGCCTCTTTCACATATGTGAGTATGCTCGGCATATGCCATGATGAATGTGAAGCAGGGTCATTATCGAACCCGATCGCATGTGTCGTTGCTTTGGCGGAGGCTATACTTGTGTGCTTGACTAACAGGTGCATAGCGGCTAATCCCACTGCATCATTCTTTCTGGACATTGCAGGCTTGGAGAAATAGCTCATGCTGACGTGTGGCCGGTGGTGCACCATACAAGCAACCGCCAACTGCTCTCTCGGCCTGTTGTAGGCACCACAGGAGCGCTAAGGTGCCTCGACTCCCGCCTCGAAACTGATTTAATTCAACGACCGACGAAGTAGCTTAGTAAGGATAGAAGTCCAGAGGGTCAAAGGCGAGGTAAAGATCATATCTACAAATCAACGTCCCGGTGTGCTGAAATGCCCCATATGGTGAAATAGGCCTCCTAGCTACTTTGAGTGCCACCGTATCCTGCAATGACAGAGACAGGAAGGAGCTGATTCCATTCCGCCATACTCTAACGACGAACGATGACTATCGCTCCTCCCGTATGTATCTGAAATGCTGGCGGCTAGGTCCTGGGCTCCGTGCCCCTTGCGAAACTATATACCGACAGGGAGTGAGTGCCAAAGGCGAATCGTGGGCTGGTATTAGCACGCCACATTATATGTGGCACTATTCTTTAAACCTTGAGCACCTCGCCGGTTTGAGAGGCTGGTCATAGTTATTGCCCATGCGGCGACCGTTATGACGACCACCCTTCAAATGAGGCCTTTGAGGACAAACAGTTTACCGACCAATGCTGACGCGAGTACACACGAGAATTGAATGGATGCTACAAAATTTCACTTATATTCGACTGCTTCGTCGCCGGATGTCATGACATGGACCTCGAGTTTGAGCGGTCGAGCTGAGTCCTGCGAGGAAACCTTTTCGATACGCGAGCATGATGACGTGGTCAGGGTCAGTTGATATGATATGAAGGAGCTCACACTCCATTAGATTGGCTCTCGATTAAAACCCGCTCGGTGCCTACACTGAACGGGCTCCCGTTGTAACAAGCGAGCAAAGGAATGGCCACAATGACGGATTTTAGTGGCAATGCCTTTCTATATGAAGTGTCTATTCAGTTTAGTCAAGAAGAAGCTTGAAAGAGAGTCCGAAGGGCTTCACTAGCGAAAAGGAGAGTGGTGCTAGGGTCCCTCTTGGCTTGTTCTGGAATAACTACTGCTCATATGGTAAAGCCACGTGAGACCCGTATGAACTAGACTTCTTAAGCTAGATGCAGTTTATAACTTCCTTACGGTTATTATGAAGAGCTATAAAGTTCGGTGCGACTCAACCGTAAGACACTTTAGATGGCAAATACAGAGTCTGGTAAACCACATCCTCACATCACCACAACCCCAAAGAAAAGAGGGAGAAAAGACTTGGTTGCGATACTGGAGAGATGTCGAGAGCAACCGAGAGAGGATGGTGCACTTGGAGCCGAGATCTGTTTCATTGAAGTGGGTGGACGAAAGAGCCTTAGGATGGCCCTATGATCCTGACTTGGAAAGCGGAGAATACCATGACCATGAAAATCGGCTTCAAGTTCGATGGGGACTATGTGGAAATGGTGAGATACAAAGCAGATATCAGGGAAAAAAGGTCTAGCAAACAGAGAGACATAGATAAAGCTGAATTGGCAGGTCTTAAAGAGAGAGAGAGCAAGAGGGTGAGCTGATACTGGGCCACTGGCGATTTATTGGGTCGATCTGTGCCAACCGTCAAGTACGTCAGATCGCATCGCCTTCAGTCACAGTCCAATCTCCGAGGAATCACCCCTGAAGCTACGCCACGGAATCTATCAGATCCTGAGAGGTTGAAGTTGTTGATTGCCCATCTAACGGGCGAAGTAGGCTACCTATAGAGCCTAGAAATGAAGAGGTTGGGCATGCTTTTCCGGTCATCTTTGACGGAATCTCGCGGAAGCGGATGAACAGCGGTATATATATACCGCACTTCTAGATGAATATCGGTCAATCTTCGTGCGCCGTACCTAGTTCGCCTTCATAGCGAATAGCGAAGAGATCTCCTCTCTTCTCCAGAAGAATCTACCATGAGGCGGTTCGAAACCAATACAGCTTCGTACAGCATTTTTCCGTGTGTGCAGAGCAGAATGGATCGTGTTAGTACAGGATATGTGTCGCCTGCCCACGGAGCTCGGTCTTGCTCATCACGAACACAGCGCCGAAACTGAAATGACCGCGAAGATGCAAGCATATCTCTCAATCGGCTGTTAGCAGGCCTGGCTTGAAATAGATGTTGTCTCTACACCCCCCGGATTTCTGTTCTTTGAGTTGATCCATAGACTGTCACAACCGTGAGGTTGCAGAATGCCATGTATTTGTTAAATGAGAGCAGAATAGGCTCATGGTCAAGATCGAATCATTGATATAACTTATCTCGCTTTCTAACCTGGATGCTATAGAGTGTAACATCTATGTATATATCAGATTTAGTCAGCCTTTATGCACGACAAGTCAGTGTGTCGTGTGATGTCAAGTTCAGTCCGGGAATCATACTCGATCGCTGGCAATCGGTGACCATATCGAGATTCCATAATTCTCATAAGAAAAGTCCTCTAGGCTCAACACTAGATCTGCGAACCCATCATCCAGAGCACCCACTTTGCCATGGTTAGGCGCCACAAGGTCTCTATGCTCACCTGTTATGCCCGCCAACACCTCCTTCTCCCGTCCTCGATAATGCTCCAGTAGACCGGGATAGGGACACCACACCACTCTCATCCCGGCTCTTCTGCCAGCCTCCACACCCGGTACCGAGTCTTCGAACACGAGGCATTCTTCCGGCTTAATCTGGGACGTAGGCCCCAAAGTTTTGTTAATAGTCGCCAAAGCCAACAGGTAGATGTCCGGCAGTGGTTTCCCGCGTCCTGGGGCAACTCTTGGGTCATCCCCCAATACTTTATGTTCATTCGGGATCAGGTTGAAGAGGCTGCTGGGATGCTTGGTTTTTATGGTATAGGTCTCGGTGTGAGAACTGGTCGCTAACGCAAGTTCAATCTTTGGTCCTTTGATTGCAGATTCGGAATCCGACTGAACACAACTACCACTGCCACCGCCATCGGCGGCCTTAACCGCGGTAGAGGCGCGAGTCAAATTATTCAACAGTTCGACAACCCCCGGCAGCGGCTTTGTCTGTTGGAAAAGCTCTTGTTGCAGCGCGAACTGCTTTTCTCGAAACTCCTCCACCGAGATAGGAAGTTTGGCCCACTCGGAGAATATCTTGGCTGCTTCAGGCACTGGCCTGCCTTGGAGCTGTGCTTTGATACCCCATGGCATTGGGGGCCGAGAGTATTCCGCAAGGATCGTATTGATAGCCACAGAATAAAGGTCTTCGGAATCAATCAACAGTCCGTCCATATCAAAGATGCATGCCCGGACGGGAGGGAAACTGTAGGTCGTCAGACAGTCAGCCGACCTCTCTCGATTCATGGGGAGTGGTTCTCACGGGTGTTGCGAAGGGTCGGTCATCGTGGCTCTGACTTAAATTGGGAGTTGAGAGACACTAGTGCTTGTGCCTCTCCAAGTATGCTTGCGGATTAGTCAAGGATGATATAGAAATTTCTTTATGAGTCACACACAACGTACCAAGCCTCGAGAAATGCTTGACGCAATGTGGTCAAGAAACTTGGGACGCATCACCTTACCCAATTTGTCTTCCCATTGCATAGCATGTGCGTGGTAAATGGTTTACGCCAGTTTTAGGGCCAGAGCTATTGAAGATCGCCGTCCCAATTGCTTCAGGTTGGGGCATGAAAGCTCAAGCGCACCGTATCACTTTCAGGACTGTTGGCACACTCGGAACCGAGCTTCAGCGCATTCGTTTGATCTGGGGAAGAGGCAACCATTTTGAAACAGCGCTGGGGAGGTCTTGGTCAAAGGCTAGATCATTTCTTTCGGGCTGGCTAGCAAAGTGGCTGATGTGGTTGTCGTCCTCACAACATCTGGATCAGATTCATCTCAACGGCAGGGGTTCTCCTGGTATCTTCCAGTGGCAGGTCTCCAAATTACCAGGAGATTATCAGTAATGTATATGGCTGCCAAACCGATTCGTTAGCTGGTTGACAGGAAATGGGAATCAACAAGTTCTTGTCTAGATTTTGTTCCAGAATGCTGAGTGGCCTTCATTTTCCCAGCATCGCGCTATCCTTTCTTACCGATCATGCGTGAAGAGAGATGAGACCAAGCCCAGATTTTCAGGACTTGTTGAAGAAGTGACTTATGAGAAGGTGACGCAAGCCGCTGGACGTCCTTTAACTCGTGCTGAGGGTAGCTTCTGCAAGTATGGCGACTTATCTCCTTGGTGAGGAACGGATGTTGAAGGTGGTTATGAAAATACCCACGTAATACTTCTTTGCTGTGACCGCTCAGGCGTGCTCGCAATTCAGGTTGATTGGATTGCAAATTAAGGGCTGGCAAGTACCTGTTTATGGCCTTGATTTGAGTAATGAATTGGAGACGGTTGGTAACAGGAGATTTTTCGTCAGCATCCTATTTGGGTCGAATACGAACAGGGTCAGTGTTTAATCCTTGGGGCTTTCAGATGAGACAAAACATGATAGTGGACAAGATACCGGTATCGGTTCTGGGATGATCCTGATGGTGAAGCTTCTTTTCTTCACGTCCTTTTTCGTTTTTTCGTTTTTTTCTTTTGGAAAACCTTAAACCAACTACTTTTCCCGCGCGTTCTTTGTTTTCGTCTGATGATGGCGATTTCCCATGGAGCCATTTCCTAGATCCGAGCGTCTGCGCGAGCGGGAATGGCTACTCTGAAAAAGGAAACCTCCCTTGCTCTTCAAAGAACGCAAAAAAAGTGTGTACAGGATGCTACTTAGAACAGGTCGGTCCACATCTAAATATTCAAATGGGCAAAGGTAGCTTCCTCCCGAACGGTCAGGAGCCAGAATTATTCCTCTTTAACAATGACTATATATCTTCCACTCGTCTACCACCTGAAGGGATAGTTTTCGGCGAAAATATCCTCAAAATTGAGATACATGGTCCCGGTGAGGACTATTTAACAGACATGAATGTTTCCAAGCTTGTGTTTATCGACCCGGTCGACAGAATCACGACTAAAAGGGATGTCTAGCTTGTCCCAAACATTGTCAGGGGGCTACATCAAAAACAGCGGCGCTAATACCCTCCATTGTCCTACGCAGAAATGTCGATACTGCCACTCCGGAAATCCTCACGCTTGCTGAAAATTATGACTAGATCGGAGAGCGTACCCCGGGTGTACTGACGAGACCGAAGTTATTGGGAGGGTAAAACTCGAGGACTGGCATTTGCAACCGTGTCTTGGGAAAAGATATATGGTCGCTTATGAAAAAAAAAAAAAAAAAAAAAAAAGAACACGCAAGGCTCGCTCTCAGTGAATCTTCGAGACTCAGTTATAATCGACCTGCTTTATCCACACGTCACGACATTCGTCCTCGGATATATGCCCTTTCGCTATTGCTTTTAGTTCCTTTGATGGTAATGGTTCTTCTATACTGGTGTATCTTTATGACACATCTTCTGCGCAGCAGCCAGAATCCAGGCTGCTGCGCGGAATACTGTCGAGCCTTTTCATGGAACACCTTGTCCCTAAAGTATTCAACATATCTGATTCAACCTATCTATCTTATAATGGAAGCATCTTAATTCACTCAAGCACGAATGGCTGGGGCCAAGAGTGTAAGAAGGTGTAAATCTGTAAGAGTTTCCCGCAATCGATGTGCCAGATCGAACTGACCGGCTCGATCGATCTCCGGTTGCGGTGCTCCCTCCTGACCCGGTAAACAAGTGCCACATCTGCACTAAACGTTTGTGGTTTGGGACTACTCTTCAAGCGTATCATATCTGAAGTTAATGTGCGCCATCCTAGTGTCGGCGGACTCAACGACAGATTGTGGAAAGTACTATCTTGACTCCCAGACGTAGTGCACATGCTTATCTGCTTCCCTATTGACATTCAAACTGAGCAGATCAGGCCGCGAGTAATGTCCCACAACATCAAGCGGCTGTTTAGCGTAGTTGATTGCTCCCAAATCAATATCTGCGGCGAGGATGCCCTCATGGCCGGGGTCAAACGCTGGAAACAATGAATCCATCTGGTTCAAACATCATAGCGAAGCCCTCCCCCCGGTGTCTTGACGAATTGGACGTCGACCAATTTTGTCCTTTCGCGGCTGTCTTCCGTGAGCATTTGTGCGGCGACGAGGACAAAATAGGCACCTTCCATGGTCATGAATACCATCTAACCATGCTCCTCCATAGCTTACCGAGGTAGTCGCCGTTCTCACGAAAACTGCAGTGTCTAAAGGCACCCCGTTCCATCTAGCTATGCGTCATCTGAGATACGAGGGAATGAAATAAGAGTAGAGAAGGCCCTGCAAAATGCTGCCAATATTAGACTTCCTCGGCAGATTTCTTCTTGTTCTCATCCGCTAGCTCCTGCTTCGTTCGTTCATCGCCCGTTTCTGTCTCTATTGCTGTCCCATCAGCCGAATCAGGCTTACACTCGCCTTGCTCGCTTGCAGCTGCCTCCCTTGCAGCCTTGGCGGCGGCTTGTTGCGCGGCAGCAACCTTTTTCAGACTCTTCCACTCCATGGTCAAAGCACCAAGAATGGTTGCCGCGGACACGGCCACCCCGACGTAAAAGGCATTTCTGAGTGCGTCGTTGTATGCCACGAGCACAGAGGGTAGGAGCTGCGGAGGCACGATGCCACGGAGGTCAGTGGCCCCAACATGTGTGACCACGTCTGCGTTGACGCCGGGAATTTTCTTCAGGTCCGAGGCAAGGGTGTTGTCGAAGATGTTGTTCGCGACACTGACGAATATTGAGCCGCCTAGCGTTTGCGCAAAGAACATCATCGAAGCGCCCGTGGGCACGTCCTTGCGGGCCAGTGCGACTTGTGCAGCGACACTGGGCTGTTGCATGCCTAGCCCCAATCCCAAACCCCAGATGGCCTGGTATCCAATCCATTTCGGGTGTGCTGTAGTTGTTGTAAACGTGGAGATAAGACCTGAGCCAATGGACGTCAGTAGGCATGAAAGGTACATCCACTGTGTGAAGTAGCCGATCTTGCGGGTTGCGAAGCCGGCGAGCATGGAGGAAATCGTGATACCCAATACAGCTGGGAGGTTCATGATTCCTGAGTGAACAGCCGAGGCACCTTTGATGGCTTGGAACCAGATAGGGAGGAAGTAAACTATGGTCATCATTCCTGAGCCACTGAAAAAGGCATATAGCACGCCTGCTGAGACGGAGCGGTTCTTGATAATCCGTGGGGGAATAGTGGCGTCCTCCTGGAAGACATGTTGAAGGTAGACGAAGATGATAAAGAGGATTCCCGAAAGGATTAGCAGGACAATGATACGTGCGTTGGACCAGTTGTATGTAGTGCCACCCCACTGCAGGGCCAGCAGGAGACAGACGATAGAAGGGATAAAGACCGCTGTTCCGATTGGGTCGAGTTTCTGGAGTTGTTCTTTGAAGGGTACTTTGGTCCTCTTAGTGGCTGCGGCCGGGAGTTCCAGGACGAAGAATAACAATACCATCATAGCTCCACCAACGGGCAAATTGATATAGAAGCACCACCTCCAGGAGACTTTGTCGGTAAAAACGCCACCCAATAGGGGCCCAGCGACCGAAGCAATGGCAAAGACGGCGCCAAAGATGCCGGTCCAGGCAGGTCGCTTCTGCAACGGGACAAGATAGACGATCATTGTAATTGCCCCAGAGAAGATGCCTGCGCTACCGACGCCGGCGATGGCACGACCGATAATAAGCGCGGTGGAGTTTGGTGCAGCGCCACAGACCAGGGAGCCCAACTCGAATATCCCTACACAGACAATATATACGGTCTTGGGGTTGTAGAAGGTGTAAATCCGACCGATCAAGAGTTGGAAGGCAGACATTGTGAGGAGATAGGCCGATGCATACCAACCGACGTCTGCAAGGGAGTTGAAGTGATTGGTGATGACGGGTATGGCTGTTGCAATGATCAGACGGTCCTGTACAGCACGTTAGTCAGAGAAAGAGGGCCAGGGTAGTTTGGTGTTATTACCAATGCAACGAGGAAAGCAGTACACATCATTGCGGCAACAATGACAATGACCTTTGAGAGAGGCGGGTATTCCTCCTGTTCAACAGGTCCAGTACTGGGCGGATTTGACGCTGGTTTGACAGGCTCTCCGCTAGAATGGCTGTTGGAGACTGTGGACAGGTCTTTCCGCGCCATATTGGTCGAAGGGGTAAGGGAGCTGGTTATACCAAAGCAATTGTGAAGACCGAAGTTGGAGCACAGACAGACATGCTAACACGGGAACGACGAAGAGGATATTATTAATATTGAAGATTGGAGACGGATCTCGTGTTCTCCTTCTTGACGAACCTACCATGGTTGCAGTTGGAAATAGGCCCCAGGCAAATGGACCTGTATGCTCTCTCGGACGCGAGAAGGAGATTTCGAGAAGTAGCCATACTGAAACCAGCCGTGCAGTAAAGCCACTTCTTTCAGACGTGAAGCAGGGATCAATAGGGACTGGAGGCGTCAAGAACTGGTGGGCGCCGCGATTCGGGCCCGAGGGCCAACCTGCGTCCGAGACGAAGCGCCAGGAGGTGACGATCTGATTCACGGGACAGGAGGTGGGCGAAGGTACCCAGGTTGATATGGAGTCGCTCAACAAGGACAACATTCTCGTTTCTCCCGATTGGGGAACCTTGTATCAGGTGTTTATCTCCCTGTGCTTTGACGAAGGACGTCAAAGGGTGCGTAGGAGGCGAGTGGACAGTGCAGCAATTGAAACTGTAAATATTCAGTCAAATGACACGATAAAGAAGGCCCTATTGACCCTAATCTTGCCCTAATGCGGAAATATTCAGTCAGACGAAACATCTTTTTCCCGTTGGCTGGGATTTGGCTCACCACTGACTTCACTTTTCCCTTCTAACTCACCCAGGATTTCTCTTCCGCCTCCAACGCCACCTTGGAAATTTCCCTGCGAATTGTGATGCGATTGCCAGTCGTGGGCCAAGATGAAGAAGACAGAACAAAGAAAAGATGATGCCGGGAATGTTTTCCGCATCGGCGCTCCACGTGAGACGCCTCCGTGACATCAGCGTCGGGTCTCAGGTCCTTGGATGACGTTGGGATTAAGGTAACCATGAAATATCACGATTCAACACCTCATTTCTTCCATTCCTCATATCTTTGTGCGAACTTCTTCCTCTCTTACACAAAACTGCTTCCTTCTCGCTAAACCATGGAGACAATCAAAAACACAGTCAAGGAGGCCACCAGCAGCAAAGGCCAATTTGAGCAGGGTTTCCTGCCGCCCGTCTCTCACCAAGACCCTCCCGGCACAGAGGGTGACTTGCCTGTTGGGCCCATCCATGACAAGCTTCCAACTGCAGATGGCGGATGGCAACCATACAAGGCGGCGGGGAAGTTAGAAGGCAAGAAAGCCCTCATCACCGGCGGAGACAGCGGCATTGGGCGGGCCGTAGCCATTCTGTATGCAATGGAGGGCGCAGACAGCTTCATTGTCTACTTGCCAGAAGAAGAAGAGGATGCCCAAGAGACCAAGCGCCGCGTCGAGCAATTCGGGCGGACATGCCATCTCTTCTCCACTGACCTCCGACGACCAGAGAACTGTCAGAAGGCTGTAGAGGCTGCTCTGCAGGCCATGGGTAGAGTCAACATCCTTGTGCGCGAGGCAGACGGCAATCATTGTATCTTCGTGTGTGACTGACACAGTTGAACAGGTCAACAACGCCGCTTTCCAAATGATGCAGATGGACATCACAGATATTCCCATTGAGCAATGGCACAAGACTTTCGACACCAATATCCACCCCTACTTTTACCTGGCCAAGTTCCTTATTCCGCACATGAAGCGCGGTGATGCCATCATTAACGATGCCTCGATCAACGCTTACATCGGTCGCCCAGATCTTCTCGACTATACATCTAGCAAAGGAGGCAAGTTTTCTTCTTCCTTTCGTTAGTACGCACCAGACCCTTTCTGACTGATCTATAGCGATCGTCTCGTTCACGCGCGGCCTGGCAAACCAGCAAATGAGCAAGGGCATACGAGTCAACGCCGTCTGTCCCGGCCCAGTGTGGACGCCTCTAATCCCGAGCACCATGAACGATGATGCGCAGAAGCAGTTCACCTCGCCCATGGGCCGCCCCGCCCAACCGAGTGAGATCGCTACCTGCTTTGTGTTCTTGGCGAGCGCGGACAGCAGCATGATCAGCGGGCAGAGCTTACATCCGAACGGCGGGGTTATCGTTAATGGATGAACCATGGATGGGATAGATGATAACGATTACTGTGACGGTGATGATGCGACATCATAGCCTTGACGGGTTCACATGCGCGAGCGGGAGGCCGCGTCGTGATTAGTCCTGCCGGAAGTCTTCCCGCCAACCAAAGGGGCAGGAATTCTCAACCTCGAGCAGAGAATGGTAGACAGATCAGATCAATTCAGTCATTTCAAAGCGATCATCCGTGAGCTCTGTAGCTAGCTACCTGATGAAACTGTGGAAGTTGACATCCTCGAGCGATAACCACGACTCGCTGCGAAGACAGTCTATTTTCATCTTCAGTGCTGGCACAAGCTGAAGGGAAAACTTGCTTCGTCCAACATGGATAGCAAGCTCTAGGATCCGGCCTGCCCTAGCCTACACACATGGCTACCCACAGAGCTACCTATGTAGCCACCATGAACGCCACATGCACACAAACAACGGGTATCTCGTCTCAAAATAAAATAAAAAGTCATTCAAAGACCCGGGAAGGGGGGGGGGGGGAGGGGTTAATGCAGAACAAAAGGGAGAGAACCGGGCTCCAAATCCTCCTCCTTCTCCCTCTTCGACCACCTCTTCATGCCCCCAGGAGAGTATATCATTGGTGCCTTCCTTCCTTGGCCGGACCAGGACCAGACCAAGTAAGTCTAAGTGCACGCTGTCACGACTGTCATGCTGTACTGCCGCTCGAGTTGGGCGAGCAGGGATGGCGCCTTGGCGGATTCACTCCCCGCAGCAGTCATGGCGGTCGCAGTGCTAGTGCTGCCAGGAGCGGGCGAAGCCGCGATGTCCAGGATCGAACCGGCGTCGATGGACGAAGGGCGTGATGGCAGCGCCGAGAATAGAGGAGACGGGAAATCTGCCTCTGACAATGATGACGATGACGATGCCGATGATTGTGCCGGCGCTGGGGGTGGAGTAGCCGTGTACGCTGGAATGGCAGGCACGGGAGGAGGTCGCGTTTGGCCGCCCGGGGACAGCGTGCGGAGCACGTACTGGTAGGACCTCCGGGCTGAAGATTTACGGGGAAGAGGAGGAGGAGAAGAGCTCGAGAAGGCCGCCGGATTTGCCGACATTGATTCAGGAGCAGAGGCGAGCAGGATGGTCAGGTCTTGGATGGAGATTCTTGAAGATTTCAGGCCGGAGGAGGAGGGAGGAGCTGGGAGAGCCATGATCGTGGAGGCAGACGTAGAGGTGGTGGTCTCTGACAACGCTGTATCTGCGGATTCGTTCGAAGCTGCGGGCTGGTTCTCAGCACCCGTGCCCAAGGTTGCAGACTTGTTGTCCTCGCCACTCATCGCGCTCGTGGGTATATGCTGAAAACCCAATGGTTCATGTCGGGACTCGTTGTTGTCGTGAGCTGAGGGAGCCACGTCTGTCGACTTCGCCCTTCTCCAGAACGTCGTCTTCTTGAACGAGACGTGGGAGGTCTGTCGCCTCAAGCTTTCGTAGAGCCTTTCAAGCGACGATGTCGTCTTGCTCAGCATGTCGTTCATATCAGTGAATGCCCCCGAGGCGCGATGCGAGATCCCCTTTCTGAAATTCAGCTTCTCCAAGGCGTGCAAGAACTCGGCCATAATGCCCATGGTCTCGTCGACTGACACTCTCAGACGCGCTACGGAGCCGGCTTGCTTTCGGACTTCCTTCCGTAGCTGGTCTAGATACCTCTTTTCGGTCTTGGTCGTGCAGTTCCCGCGCTGTTCTGCTAGCTGGGCGAGCAGGCGCTCCAGCTTTTCCGACATGGCTTGCAGCTGCGATTTGATGGCTTCGGTTTCACTTTGGCTGTTGCTGATCTTCTGGGCGAGATCGGCCATGCTCCCTTGAAACAGGTTCTTGAGAGACTTGAAATCTTGCTTATTTGATCGGATGGAGCAGAGGATTTCCTGGACGTCTTTGCGGTATGTCGACACGCATTCACCATAATCTTCGATCTTCTCGAACATAGAGTCCAATCTCGGCAGGACGAGGCCAAACCTCTCGCTAAAGATGCCATTGTCAGCAAACTTCCCTGGACTCCCGCGGCAGATAACACACCATATCTCGAGTAGAATGAGTCTGTCCATGTCGTCCAGAGTATCCTTGACTTCCCGCCTAGCTTCTTCGATCTGAGCCGAGAGCTCATCCCAAGACCAAGGCAAACCGCCAGCTGCGCCATCGCGGTTCAGGCTCTCGGGCAAGAGGCTGTTTCGGCTGCTGAGATAGTCTTTGAACTTCTGCCAGGTGCGTTTCAAAGTTCTCAGATTAGCGTTCCACTCTGCTTTGCGTGGATGGTCCTCGCTATCATCAATGTCTTTGACATATCCTCCAATCAGACGAAGCTTTGGTAGCAGGCAGTGCTGCAAATACTCGAAATCTTGTCTGTGCTTCCTTTTGGCATCTTTGTGCCATTCTAGATTCCTCAACAGAGCGTGAATCACCTTTGCAGCATCGGTGATGTCGACGGCAGACCAGCCAAGTTTAGTAACAGACATGACGGGGATTATGCTGAAGTTGACAGGAAAGAAAAAAAGACGGTATCGTCAAGAGCGGCCAGTGAAAGGCTTAAGTGCATTGAACTGGGGGCATTTTCAAGACATTAACCATACTTGTAGGGACGGATTATGGTGGGGCCGTCCAATAGCAGGAGCTCGGCCACCACCAAAATCTGGGGATGGCTTTGCTGACGAGGCCAGCTACTCAGCCGCCACAGGGACAAGGCTGGGGGTGATGATGCCGGATGTGATTCCGCAATCCCTCCTGATGACTGTGCCTTGTGCCAATCGGGGCGAACTTGGAGCCATTCAGAACAAGCCTCGGTGAAAGGCGCCAGACGAACAAGACGCTAGGTAGAGTTTGCTGTTCCTCGAAAAACGTAGCTTCACGGATAGCCCAGGCCACATTTAAAGCTGTGCGTAACGCAGCCCTGCCGAACGGAATCGGGAAGCATTGGAACACGCCATTGAATAACCGACTCTTGTTGAAGGATCAACAAGCATGAGACCCTAAGAACCCAATCCATGGGCCTCAGTTAGCCCAAGCTTGATGAAATGGGCACAGCCTACTCGATATTAGTGGGGGGCGGGTGCCTCTTGGGGGCCTGAGTTTCAGGGACATTATCACCCGTGCCAGGCTAATAATAACCAACACCTGACATAAACAACATTCTGTTCTCAGGCAAAGCAGGGATTCAGATCACGATTCATTTAAGCAGTGAACGGACGACTTCGCTCCGAATTAGGCTCCACGCCATGGGCGAGGCGAGGAGATATCAAACGGTCTTCGTACTTCAGTCACTATCACTCGCCGGTGTAACAGTGGTGCGATTTGCTGAGTCATCGAATGGGGGGAGCTGCAGAATGGCCTAGTCGGTAACTAGTTGGCAGCTGGGTGCAGATTATGAGGCGATTTCCGTTTGAACAAGGCGACCGAAGCCGGAGATGTGGTGATGGAGGAGAAGGGCAAGCAAGGGAATGAATATAAAAAGGAAAGAAAAGGAAAAAGGAAAAGGAAATAAAGCTGAGGACGAGCATCTACCAGCACAAGGGATATTGTGGGGTGCGGCACGTGCGCAAGCTTGGCATCTCCTCGTGTTCGTATCTCGAAATCCTGATCTGCATCCTCAGACTAAAAAGTCAAATCGCTGCCTTCAGCTTGCTGGCTGCCTGATTTTTCACCCGCCGCTGAAGCTTCCATCCGGCCAATGACCACCATTTATCACACCGGCAATTGATGCTGAACCTTCGTCCCCAGGCTGAAAGCAATTCATATCTCTTATATCTCGATTCTTCTCGCTTTCTTCCAGATTGCGGATCGATATGACGGTTCGCATGGTGCTTCTGGCCATTTGCGACAAGCGATAGCGATCCCGCCGAAATCGGGCACTATTCTTCACTTGAATGCGAACAGGAGATCTAGCTGGCGAGATGAGCGCCGCTGGACCGCCCCAAGCCAAGGCATTCTCCTGCATTCGATGCTTTGAGCGCAAAGTAAAATGCGACAAGCAGAGCCCCTGCTCAAATTGTGTCAAGTCAAAAGTTGAATGTACATTCCGCATTCCACCAGCTCCTCGTCGCAGGAAGAAACGTACCCAAGAGGACCTTCTGCTGGCCCGACTCAAGAAATGCGAAGAGCTCCTCAAGAGCAAGGGCATTGATATTGACACCGAAGTCACATCCACTGTTGCCTCCACGTCGACAATCCTTGAAAGTCCTTCCAGCACACAACCTATAAATACCCCCCAACAACACAGCCCCAGCACAGAAAGCGTGATCGCAAAGCAGCGCGAAATCTTCGCTGCCTACCCGCCCGAACTCCAAAAATCCGGTCAGTTGATTGTGGATCAAGGGAAATCCCGCTTCATTGAAAATCCTCTCTGGGCAAGTCTCTCTGACGAGGTAAGGCGTCCCTAGCTCTCTAGACTTCAACTTCCAGAAGACCATCAGTTCGATAGGAGCAAAACCTTCTCGTTCTAATATGCCCTCTCGATTGCGGACTTGAATCACTGACGTTCATTTTTCTAGTTTCGGCAACCCAATGAAGCTATCGCCGAGTATTCCGAAGACGAGGATGAAATAGGATCTCCTCTTGAGGAGAGCACTGACTTTGTTCTCGGCTATACCCCGTCTAGCAACCCAGTTCAACATTTGCACCCCTCGCCAAGCAACATCCTCATCTTATGGCAAATCTTCCTTGACAACATCAACCCAATGTCCAAGCTGATCCACCAACCAACCCTCCATAAAACTCTGGTTCAAGCTTCCTCACAGCTGGATAACCTGCCGCGAGGTCTGGAGGCACTGATGTTCGCAATCTATAGCTCCGCTGTCTACTCGGTTGGCGATGATGAGTGTGAGATGAAGCTCGGTGAACCTCGAAAGATTCTACTCGCGAGATATCGCCATGCGACTAGGAAAGCGCTTGCCAGAGCAAGGTTCTTGGCAACATCGGAGCTGGTAGTTCTCCAGGCCTTCTTCCTTTACCTGTTGACCATGCGCGAAGACTACGACTCCCGCACCACATGGACCCTGGCCGGAGTGGCTAGTCGTGTTGCGCAGGGTATGGGACTCCACCGAGATGGAACGAGTCTTGGGGTCTCACCATTTGAGACGGAAATGCGCCGGCGCCTATGGTGGCAGATTACAACCTTGGATTTTCGGTCAGCAGAACTCAGCGGGTCAGGTCGATCGGGGGACTTCTCCATGTCCGATACCTTGGTACCGAGCAACGTCAACGACGAAGACATTTACCCGGATATGAAGGAGCCACCAGTCCCGCACACACGGCCGACGGAGATGGCGTCGTGCCTTTTGCGCTGCGAGCTAGGAAACTATTGGAAGGAGAAGTTCAAGCAGAGATCGAATGTCGCCCTCGAGCATCTCCGCATTGACTCGCCCTTTACAAGTTACCTAGAGGAAAGAGATGCCTTCATCAACGAGCTGGAACAGCGACTAGAGGAGAAGTTTCTGAGATACTGTGACCCTTCCATTCCTATACAATTCATGACTATAATAATCGGCCGAGGGGCAATCAACAGCATGAGGCTCATGGCTCACCATCCCCGCAAATGGACCAAGGGGGAAGACATTCCAGCTGCAGAGCGAGAGTATCTCTGGAATGTCTCGATGACGCTTCTCGAAGGCATCAACCTGGCACATTCATCTAAGCAACTACGGAGGTTTATGTGGCATACCAGGGTGTTCTTCGTGTGGCAAGCCTTTATCTACATTCTCAATGAGCTCAAGGAACGGACCATCGGCGACGAAGTCGACAAGGCGTGGCAAGAGGTAGAGGAGGTATACCGACATCACCCCCACTTCGTTACAGATTACAAGAAACCCCTGCATGTCGCGGTAGGTAGTCTGTGTCTCAAAGCCTACAGGGCAAGGGAGGCCGCGCTGCGTGAAACCACCAATGGCGTTTTCCCAAAGACAATCCCCGAGTACATCAAGCTTCTCCGTGAGCAGCGCGAGACTGGGCCGCTAATGCGCGCGAAAACCACAGCAACAACCGCTGCCAACTCGTCGAGCGTGGCTGTCAAGACTGTCGACAACATGGCGGTGGGAATGGAGAGCAACGACCAATATTCGGCTGTGCCGGGGTGGGAAAACGATCTCGTGACGGACCCGTCGAGCAGCAGCTACAACGCTCCGCAACTGGCCGCGAGCGGTCTTGTAGGTGGCGCGGGCGTCCCGCATCAGCTTCCGCTCCCGGCATTCCAGCCCATTCCGACGCCCTTCGCGGGTGACGGCATCATGCTCGCGTCGGAACCAAATTTTGCCCATGAGCTGGACGTAGGTGATATGCCTATGGACTGGGCACAATGGGACATTATCATGCAGGACTTTAGCGGCCAGATGGGCCCGTATCGAGGTTGAGTTATCAAGGGGGTCAGTTTATCTGCCGAGGACTTTTGTATGATAATATAGAAAAGGGGAGGACGACCCGGATATCCACGACCTAATGGACGATCTCGAGGCGGTGTGTGTACGACCAGGGATGACGATGACGATGATGACGAAACTTCGCTCAACAATTTTGCCACGAGGAAGGAGGAATGCATGAAGGAGTGCCATGCATACTTTAGATGGATGAATAAATGAAATCGGCTCAACTCCAGCCAGCCAGCCCACCCACATTCTTCATTCTGCCTTCTGTGTTACCCTTCTTTTCCCAGCAATCTTGCCATTGAATTCTTCGGAATGGTACGCCTGGTTTCGTAGACGCTCGACAGATCTCCACCTCTTGAAACGCAACCGGTCTCGTTCAAGTTGCTTTGCCACGCAACTACCAGCCCCCTCTCGGCTGTTTCTCAGTGCCTGCCGAACGAACGGTGGCCGCGGGTGTGGGCGTGGGCATGGGCGTCCACCCTCTGTGGCCTACTATGCGTGCGTGGCTACGAGTAATGGCGATAGGAATGACGATGGCAATGGAGAGTGTGTGAATCGAATCGAAACGAATCGGTTTCCATTTCTATTTCGTATTATCGCTTTCCTTCGCTGACTACCCTCAGCTAGCTTGCTGGAGCTGGTCGAGGCGTCTCTCCTTGACCTTGTCCGTTGTGGCTTCGAATTTCCATGTCTCCCAAAACATCTCCGAGGTTTTCCATACCCACTGGCGACCTCCATAGGAAACTGGGACGTATTCTTCACAAGAGAATTCTCTTGCTTGACGGTACCGGAGTTCTTTCAGTCTTGGTTTTCAAGTTCCTGTTCGGTAGATATAAGACACTTGTACTTTAGCGTCTCCGTGATTCCCCCCAGACTACATTGAATCTTCTCGGAGGCGTGCCCCTTCAACATCACTTTCATATTGTCCTTCAGCTCCTTGTATCTCTCAGCAAAGCCAACTTCGACAACCCATTTGAACCTCCCACATCTCGTCGCAATTATTTTCCCAAGGCCACTCAATCTAGAGTTTTGCCAGAGCCCTCGCACTGTAACCGAACACTTCTAAGTTTAGCATGCACGTGCAACAACGCACAGGGGACTGTCAGGCAGGTCAGTAATCGAGAATGCCTTCCTGGTCAGTGCCGGCAAAACAACACCACCACCAACACCACCCACAGAAAGGCAGCAGCTAAAGCAACGAGCGTCTAGCGTAGCGGCGTCGTTGAGGAGTGGAAAGGGACACAGAGGGTGCTCAGGAATAGGTAGACGGTATCAAAAATCCATAGAATACTCTCATCAAACGGTAAACTGTAAACTATCAAGCTCTCCGGCAGGGATGGCATGCTTGCTCGGCCATTCTGTGTCTGTTGCCACTGTGGTTTTTCCTTTTCCTGTTGTTGATCCACACTCAATAGCCCCATACTGCCTTGAAGCCTCTCGTCCACAGCCAAAATTGATGCTAATCCTTTTTGGTTTGACATGGGTAATAGTGCCAGCCAATGGCCGAGAATGCCGTTAGTGCGACTTGGAGCCAAATGATATTTGCGATGCATAAGCTTCCTATGCCCATAGTCATGCCATGAGGACGGAGGTGATTCGGGAATATTTCTCTGAGATAAAAAGCAGGTAGGACGGTCTAGGAAAACAACGTAGAAAAAAGCTTAGACGTAGAGCATGGCCACTCCGGAGGACAAAGCAGACTTGTTAGTGCCACCTAGATAGACCACTTGGATAGCATACTCCACGAGCAAAGCGCAGAGAGCGCCAACCTAACCAATACAGATAACATATGGCCGTGATAGCAGATCAACCACGAGGACAGCTAGGACGTTGCACACGAAAAACACAACGAGCCAACGGTGCTCTCCATTCTAGTGAGCAACAAGGATGCAAACCTAATCGTACCACAGTTTCAGCAGGTTTTCCTGTCGATCTTCTAATGGTATGTGCAGATTGCCACTTTCGACCTCTTTGGCGCTTTGATAGCACAGATATTGGAGCAGTTAAGGACATCCACAGATATAGACAAGGTCTCACTATGTGGTAGCCATATAGTCTTGACGTCGTTCACGTGCTCCTTCCTGTTTGGATAAATTGCGGTGTTGAAGTAGAGGTGGAGATAGCACCCATGACAGCACTGTCTTGACAACAATGCTTCGTGACAAAAGCCAGAGCAGCCTTTCCACCTGCAGTTCTTCCTTAGGCTGCTCTCTTCTGTGTGATATGAGACTCATCTGTAGCATGCAGCTCTGGTATAGCGAGCTCATCACCAAATATGCCGCCGATCTCTTCCAAAGTCTTACCCTTCGTCTCTGGTCCATAAAGCCAAATAAGCAAGGCACCTACTGGGCCAGCGCAAATAAATACAAGGAAGTACTTCCATCCAATATCACCAAAGGCATACAAAGCGCCGCTGTTACATACGTTAGCTAGTCCATCGAAGTCTGTGAGATTAGCTGCACTTACGTAATCAGAGCACATACGCTCAAGTACAAGCATCCGATAGATAGGGTTACACCTTTCGCGCGCAAGTGAGAGGGCATAATCTCTGAGACATACACGTACGGCGTGCAATCCCAGGTAAGTCCGTAGACGGCACAATACATGAAAAAGGCCCAGATACCAGCAATGTTGGCGGAGCGATTGGCCGTGCCCGCGTATTGGGCGACAATGGCTGTCTCGATGCATAATATAACCACCTGTCCTGCAATACCACAGACCATTATTTTGATGCGGCCAAGTTTGTCGATGCCGAATGCGCCGATGGTCGCAACAGTCAATGACAGGAGCACGTATCCGCCGGCCAGATACAACTGCTGCAGAGTCGACATTCCGAGAATCGAGTAAAAATATGGCCCATAATTGTTGATAACAAGGACTCCAGTGGACTGACAGACGGATTCGGTCAGCCTCTTGCTATTGAAAAGAGACATGATGTAACTGGGTACAAACCTGACCTACTGTGCCGATGAGGCAGCACAGAAGTGTACGACGTCTCCATCTCTTGTCCGCAAACATCTGGATATATGAGACATTGAGTTCTCTTTCGGTAGCCACTTGACGTTCGATCTGAATGGTCTCCAGTTTCACAAAGGTATCGTCGCCGCTGTCGCCATGGATCAGCCGAATGACTTGCTCGGCTTCAGCCTGCCGGTTTTTCATGACAAGCCACCGAGGAGACTCTGGACAGAAGTAGACAAGGATCATGTTGATGATGGCCAGTCCGCCGACCATGACAAAAATCATGCGCCAGGCGATGTTGGAATCTTTGACGTGGTAAAACCCAACACCCGACCAATTTGCGATGTTGTATCCGAGAACGTTGAAAATGCCAAATGTCCCGACAAGAAGTCCTCTGAGATGTGGCGGGGCGATCTCTGATTGGTATAGAGGTGTTTGCATCACATATTGGCAGGCGGCGAACCCGGCGATGAATCTGCGTGTGAGATACAGGCTCAGTCCGCTTCACACGCCTGAGGATGGTTGCAGCTTACCGGACGGCAATGAACATGCCGATGTTGACAGAAGAGGCACAGAGAATGCAAGAGATTATGTTCAGCACGCCGGTGAGCCACATAGCCTTCCGCCGGCCGAAAGTATCGCACGCCCATGCTGCGAAGAAGACACCAAAGAACCCACCAGCATAAAAGCTTCCATTGGTCCCTCCCATCAATGAATTCGAGTTTGGGCCATCGAGAGACATCTTTGACACAAACGTCGGCTGGGCTAACGTCGTGGCAATGACTGCGTTGGCGCCACCTCCAGCAATCTGTCCCGTACCAACCATCAGGACGTACCAAACATTCCTCATCTTGGTTTTGGGGACATAATAGGCTGCCTGCCCTCCAAACTCCGATTCGACAACTTCATCTTTGGCAAGGTCAATGTCATTCTTTTCCTGCCTAGTCGCCATAACAAGCTGTGCCGGTCAGAAAGAGACCGTTTAAGAAAAGCGTTCACTGGTGTTGAGGCTGGTTAATACGCGACAGGAAAAGTGGCCCAGTGCAGACATTATATACCCAGGCATTCGTCATGTACGGGCCAATGTAGACCCTCGAGAACTACCAAGCACTCAGAGTGCAGTCCCCACGGGGAACACCTAAAAACGTGGCACCGGAGATTTGGCCACCAAACTTTGTTGAACACCGCCACGTCGGGACTGGGTAGTGGCGAAACGCTCCGGCCGTCTGGGAGTTGGAAGTTGCCTAGCTTGGTCTAGCTCGACTAGCCCTCCAGCTCTAAGATAACTCGTAGACCAGAGGCTGCGGGATTGCGTACTATTATGCTCCGCTTTTGAAATATTACATGGCGCAAGAACTCGACTAGGATTAAAGCCACACGGCTCTTGTATTGTTGAATACTTTCGATGTGTATCGGCATATAGAACAGGCTGGCCATGATAACGCCTTTCTTGAGGAAAACGGATATTGAAGAGCAGTGGATACGCGGAGTACAAACTTTCAATGAGTGGGGGGCAATAGTATGTTTGAAATGGGCAGTCTCATTGGAGCAATTCACGTGTACCTGGGTAGGTATGTAGTTCAAGGCTTTGCTCAGCAACTTGAAGCCGTGTCCTTCGCTCTGTGCAAGGTGTTTACTACCTATACATTCCATTGCGTCATCGTCACCGAGGATTCATCTATAATGCCTTTTCGGGGACCTCTGCCTGCATTTCAGTTGGTCTCGCGTCTGGAAGCTTCCTTCCCGGACGTAGTCTGAAAGAGGCGAAAGGACCAGTCTTCTTCGGGTCTGTGGCATGTCAGTAAAGACTTGGTCTGTAAAAATCTTACTCACTCTGGTGATCAAGAATTTCGAAATTCTTTTGAAACTCCTCAGGCCTCTCCGGTATCACCTCGAACAGGTAGATAACCCTTGCAATGGTGAGGTGTAGTTCGTTCAACGCAACTTTCATCCCAACACACTTTCTCGCTCCCAGTCCGAAGGGCCAGTAAGCACTGTGAGCAATCTGAACCTCCTCTGCTGTGACTTCCTCACTTGGTATGTGTCGTTCTGGCCAATATTTCTCGGGATCTCGTATGTACTTTGCGTTGTAACTGGTAGCCCAACCTCCCGCGCCAACAGTTGTCTGGATTATGTCAATATCATCGCCGGGCTAATAACGTGCACCTACCCCTTCTGGAAAATATTCGTTGTTAATGATTGTTCCTCCCTTGTCGTCTTTTCAGCTTCGTCGAAACGAACAAAATCAGATGGCGCCCACCTTGAGTACAGTTCTTTCCGAGACCCCGGGTCCAGCTGATGCCATCCTGAGTGCTTCACCAACGCATGCACGTAGATACACACAACTCGTCAATTTGTCGCCTAATCGAATCTCATCGACATTGTCGAAGGTTCCATCAAGCTCTTCGAATAGCATTTCCTGGCATCGAACTTGTTGCATGAGATAGAAGAGAGTTCCAGCCATTGCTGTGGCGAAATCAGAAACATACATCGGCCGTACTGAAAGTAGACCTACATGCAGAACTTGTGTCACTTCCTGCTAGGATAAGGAGAACTCCCTCGGCGCCTAAACGTGCATGTGAAAGTGGATTACCATTCTCGTCTTTCCCGTTTAGCAGCTCCGCGCTGTCAGCCGAAGGTTCGCTGCTTAGTACGCTTCAGACTTACGTAGTGAAAGAAGTCTTTCCGGCCGCTCACCCCGACTGCGTCTGGACCCAGCTTGATTCTCTCAACGATTCTCTTGGTCGACTCTGCAACAAACTTCTTCCTCATAAAATAAATTCGAGGCATTAAGAGCGTTATTATGCCGGACTTGTGTAACCAGGGTATGATGCCACCCTTTTTAAGCGGTTAGTATCCGTCTCCACTCGTCAGACACCGAGCGTTACGTACCAATAAATAAGAGAAAACTGTGGAGTCGATAAGGTCCAGTATATATCGCAACGAAGGGTCGGTGAGCATGCCGAAGCCCCGTCCGAAAACCAGTTCGCCCATGATATCGTACGACAGATAATTAAACCAGAGAGACATATCCTTAACCTTTTCAGTCTCTGGGCTCACCAGCTGTCGGCAAAAAATGTTGATCTGATCTAGCATATAGGCTATCAATTATTAGACAACGCTGTCGTCGCTGGCTTATAGTCATGCTTACCCTCAAAAGATCGCAACGAACTCTCCGAGAAACCGTATGACAAGACTTTCCTTTTCTTCAGAGCTGGCTCCTTGTATAGTTCGCTGAAGGTATCAGTAGACTCGGGGTTCGATTGGGATGCGGTGAACAGGTCAGATTTGCGGACATTGGCTTTGTACGCATAAATGTCTGCAAAACGGGTAAATATGACCTTCTAAATCTTGATACTTTCCGGTTGGCTGGGACATTACCTTGCCATGCTTGGGGCTCGTTGAAAACGAGTTTATCGGGAGCATATCGCACTATGGGACCTGTGGTTTTCGTTATTTTAACTTACTCAACCTCATCAATATGCATTGCACCTACCATATTTCTTATGAAGGGCAAGGAAGTTGTGTGCACGATGCTCTGACAGCGCTTGGTAAAAGTCGTAGAGTGAAGTAACTTTGGCCCAAAAGGGGCCGGGGTATTTGGCCAAGGGGTGGAAATACACACGATATATCGATTTTACCACCACATAGCAAATAAGTGCTATTAGGGAAATAAGTGGGAGTAAATCTCGATGACAGATAACCCTGCCGAGGATTCGCGAGGAAGAAACTTCAGACAATACCCAGCCAGCCATGTTGTTGCTATTTTCTGTAGGATGGGTGTTTACGAGCAGTAGCTCGCAGTCGGCCTCACAGAATCAGTTCATTTATCCATTGCTCCTTGGTCATGTTGTGGTATTGCTCCGGAGGCCACCATACTTTTATGCTGAACAACCGCGGAACCACAATACGCCAGAACGCTTATCATGGCGGTGATTTCTAAAGCGCAAGCGGGCATACCGATTACCACCTAAGGACGAGCTTCTCTACCAATGCCGACTATCCTGTGCTCCCAGCTCCTCAGCATCCTCAAGGGATTTCTCGTGTGGGGTTTGACATCAGCTAAGCATCAAGGGAAAATGTCATCTGTTGCTGAACCTATAGCCATATAACGATTCTCGCCGGAGAGATCAAAGGAATAACTAAGGTATGAAATAGACATGGCATGGGAAGATAGTTTCTTGATGTGCTCAGGCTATCGAACATTATTTTTAGCAGCAACGGCCTGGCACGTAGCACTCAATATCGGCCTTTAAATCCAGGTAAGATTAAGGTCGAAGGCCTAATAGAGCAGTGTATACAATGCATGGAATTGGTTTTCAATGGGTAGTCTTAGCCGATTAGCTGCTATATTGCCAGTCTTGAGAAGCCCATCTCCGTTTGACAGCGAATATTACCTTCGCTATTTAATAGCCATCAGCCCACCATCGACTATCAAGGTAGTCCCGTTGACATAAGTACTTTCATCACTGAGGAAGTAAGAAGCAGCGTTGGCGAGCTCTTCTGGTGCTCCTTGCCTCCCTAACGGTGTCGAGTTTACCAGTCCCTCCAGGACAAACTTTCTCTTGTCCTCAGAAAGCTGTTCGAGCCATACACCCATGGCGTCCGTTCGGATAGATCCCGGGAGCACGGCGTTAAAGCGGATTTTATCCTTTCCGTAGAACTGTGCTCCAGTCCGCGTAAATGCAATGATTCCAGCCTTTGCCGACGAATAACCAGGCTGGCCCAGACCAACAATTCCGTTGACAGAGGAAATATTGACGATCGAGCCTCGAGTCTCAACCGTCCTCTCCGAGGGCATCAAGGTGATGATTCGAGGTTCTTGTTTCCGCATTTGTACCGCTTCGTGCCTTTGACAGAACCAGGTGCCTCGTTGGTTGATTTGGTACATCCTGTGTCGCGTTATAAGTTCCCGCAGTGTCCCAAATCTTTGGGTTGCAAGATGACCCACTCGTCGAAGACTTTCTCTGTCACCCCCTCCTCATCCTCAGTCAGGAGTTCAGCCTTGCCCGCACAGTTACAAGCCCAATCGATTCGACCCCACAACTTCACCGCCGTATTCACCATGTTGATAACGTCCGCTTCCAGAGCCGTGTCAAGCTTGACGAATGCCGAGTCAACACCATACCTAGCTTTCAAATCCTTCGACACTTTCTCTCCGTCGGCGACATTGATATCAGCTACAAGAACATTAATGCCTCGACTAGCTAGTTTATGAGCTGTGGCTCTCCCAATGCCCGAGGACCCTCCAGTGACAATTGCTGATTGTGGTTGAGCCATCTTGAAAGCCTGGAGTCTGGCCTCTTCAAGGAACCCCAGTGAGGCGCTTAAAAGTGGTTCGAATTGCTGCTCTTTCCGAGGAGGGGTAGATTATGTAGATATTTTCAAGCGTTCGGCTGGTTAAAGACCCATCATCCCTCGAGATCGGATCAAAGCTTGGGAAAGCAATTGATCAGGAGCACCACAAAAATTTCACGACCATGTCCAACCACCGCAGTGCTATTGCCATTGCCACTTTTGAATCCCGTATAAGACCTGGTTTTGCTCTCAAATTCTAGTAGTCAACTGCTGGTGATTGCAGTGGTCATTGCTTGGCTGCAAGTGTGGCATGAACCGGATGGAACGGCGGCGTCAACCGGGATACAAATGTGGCGCCAACCGGATGGATGAACATTTCAAGAGCAATTCTTGAGACTCCTTCAATGGAAAGCATGGGCTGATCAGAGACGGATCGCAAGACGTAGTTTGGTCGCAGCTTCAGCTTATCATTTGCTACAGAAAAAGACTCCCTCCATGGCGACCACGACTCTGCTCTGTCTCCTTTGAGCTTGGTGCCTCTTTCAAAGCGTACTGGGCGAGATCAACAAGTCTTTCACTTTTTGATCGTCTGGCTGATGGTGGCTTGCTGAATCTTCCGCAGATGCCTTCCAATTTAGCTCATATTCTTCCTTCTTATCCTTGCCATTTACCATGCCCCAAAACCATGTTATATCTCTCCCATCATAATCTCTGGTCGACCATCCGTTGCCCAAGAAAGCCCATCGATTCATATCATGGTACTTGATATCGTAGTCTTCGTATCTCGGGCTACTGATGAGTTCCATGCTGCCAAGTGTTTAAAAGTTAGCCCGAGAATACCCCCAAGTTGAGCTAGGATAATGGGAAAGGGGGTGACAAACTATTGAGTTCGCGATCCTGGGTAAAGCATGATCTTCCCATCAACCTTGCCACCTTTCCACCAACTTCGACAGTTCGAGTCCCAGACGGTTCGCTTCAAGTAGAGATCGGCGTGTTCCTGGAATTCCTTTGCGACATCCATCCTCGGCGCTAGACTTTTGATCCATTCTGCCTGAATCTTCCGAACCGCCGCGTTGAAATACCGTGTAAAGAATTCGATCATTACTACGGCACTGGCTTGGCCAAGGGGTCCGTAAGGTCCATAGTAGGTAAAGTAGTTTGGCATCTCTGGGGCCGCAATACCGAGATACGATAGGGGGTTCTCTTTGTACATATCCTGGAGATTTTTGCCGTTTGCAATAATCGAGAACCGAGGGATCCAGGTAGTGTTGAATCCTGTAGCTAGGATAATGACATCGACCTCTTCTTCTTGCCCATCTGGGTTGAGGAACCCCTTTTCGGTGATAGTTGTCAATTGTCCACCCGGATAGGTGACGACATTTTCAGCACATAGTGCTTCCAAGAATCCTATTCCAGGCCTAGAGGCTGTCAGGAGACTTATCGGGTTAAAGTCCCAGGGAGTCGGGCACCTACGTAGGTCTCTTGCATCCCACAGGGAAATCCTTTGGAATCAGAGCATCAGCGATGGTAGGCCGACATGCCAATTTCGAACGCATCTCCTTGGTGGCAATCTAACTATGCGGTCAGCGATATTGAAGACGTCAAGCAGGGTAATGAACGAACCTCCCTCGCGGCATTCGCCTCTGGTGTATTCTTGAAAAACACACCAAACCCTTCACTGATACTTAGCTCGATATTCTTTCGATATTTCAAGTAGGTTGTGGGATCTTGTCGCATAAGCCGAAGTTCTTCTTCGGTATCTTTTCATAGCAGTTTGTCAGCAGCTGTAGATCAGATAATTCCTGTGACTTACAGGCTGAATTAGTATCTGGTTCTCGCATGTACTTCGCTCCAAATGAACCAAGGACCCAAGTAGGAGTTCTTATCCAAGTATACAATTTGGACACTTCCTTCTGGATGGAAGCAATAACTTGTATGCCACTGGAGCCAATGCCACAAACTGCGACCCTCTTTCCCTTGAGGTCGAGTCCCTCTGGATAATTGGCAGTGTGCGCCAGGACACCTTTGAATCGTCCTATTCCATCAATTTTAGGCATATTCCAATGACTGAACTACTGCATTAGTTGACACAAGATAATAGAGAGCAGAGTTGTAAGCCTTCCACTTACTTTAAAGGACCTCCGGCATTGATGAAAACATCGCACTCATCCACGAATGTCAACTTTGTCACCTCGTCACGGACAGTGATCTCCCACTTGCCACTCTCTTGGTCCCAGAGCGCGTTCGTAACAGTATGATTTAACTTAGTGTACTTCAAAACATTGTACTTTGCAGCCACCCGTCTAAAGTAGCGGTGTATCTCAGGAGATTCGGAATAGAAATGTGACCAAGTGTCAGGTTCCCACGTGAACTGGTACGTGACACTTGGAACATCGCAGGCACATCCACTGTATATGATAGCCCGTTTAATCCCCTGATCAAGTAGAAAGGCAGTAAGAATGACTTACGGGTATCGATTCTCTAGCCATGTTCCGCCCACGTCACTGTTCTTCTCGTACAAGACAAAGTCTACATTCTTCAGATCATCCTGTGCGAATTTCGCAAAAGATATCCCCGACGCTCCACAGCCCAACACGACAACCCGAAGGGGTCTATAAGACTCCGAAGGCATTTCTCGAATGCGGTAGCCCCTCTCATTTTCTCGAGGCCAACCGTAGAGATCGGGGAGATCTTCCAGGTTGGGCGGAACGGAAGCATGTGCATCCCCATTGGGACCACTGAGGTGAGAGGCATGATCTTCGGTGATGGATCCCATTGTATAGGGTTACGGTTGATACGATCCACAAGATCAACTAGGAAAAAGTGTGAGGGACCATCGATGTATCCCAGTCAGCATTTTGAACTGCTTGGACCACGAGAAGCAAAGGCTTTATTTGGAGCAAAGGTAAAATATGTGAATCCACCAAACTGTGAGGCTGGGGCCTAACGGTGCCACCACTGTGTTCTAAACCGGAGGTAGGTGGTGGTGGTGGTGGTGGTGGTGGTGGTAGACCGACAGCATAGTCACATGCAAGGGAACAATTATTGAAGTAGGGGCTCAGATCTGCGCATATTCGGCGGAGAACTCTGAATGCACTCCTGTACATATCATTGTATTCCAGGATGTCGAGGACTAGTATTCCACACTTCGATGATTTGCCAAAAGTTCCAGGTCAGCCTCAAGGAAACTCGTGGGGTCTTTGGGGTCAGGAGGACCAACTTGGCAGTGCGTCTCCCACCATCAGAAGCATCTACTGGGTGCGTCCAAGGGTTTCACTAACCAGTAGAGCCAAACAGCGCTGAACAAAATCACTCCGGAAAGCCGAAAGAGGGCTGCCCAAGAGGTCAAAGCCGGAATCAGTGTATCTTTGGACCTTCCTTTGGACGCCTTCGATTATGTTATCGCCAATAGAAGGTTGTTCAAACAGACCGTTATCGACTTCAAGAAAATGAACATGGGCGTCGGCCATGATGACGAGCTACAATTTAACACACAATCGTCATCTCAATGGGATGGTCTCACGCACTGCGGTCTCCAGGAACAAGAATTATATTACAATGGATTGAAACATGAGGATATCATGAAGAACCGTGATGGCCGTAATGGGATACACAGTATGTCCCCAACGAAAGCCTTAGATACACAACTAACATGGCCAGGATGGGTTGAGGCAGGCGGCATTGTCGGAAGAGGAGTGTTGATTGATTATGTTCGATGGCGACAGGAGACAGGACAAAGCCCGGTGCCTGCGGACTCTCCTTACTCAATAACACTTTCAGAACTAACGGCGGTGGCAAACCATCAAAAAGTCGAATTCCAACCCGGAGATATTCTTCTCCTTCGTGGCGGATTCACCCTGTGGTATAATGCCGCCTCTCCAGAAGAACGAAAGCGAAAGCTTGACAAGACCGCCTTTATAGGGGTTGAGAGAAGCATGGAGATGGCACGCTTTTTATGGAATCAGCACTTTGCTGCCGTCGCAACTGATTCGATTGGGTTCGAGCAATGTCCCGTTCCGTTTGGGCAAAAAGGAGCAGTTGTCCTTCATGAATGGATTCTTGCTCACTGGGGGATGCCCCTGGGCGAGCTTTGGAACCTAGAGGGCTTGAGCGAATTGTGTAAGAAGCAGAATCAGTGGTCTTTCTTGTTCACAAGCGCCCCGCTATATGTCCGAGGGGGGGTTGGATCTCCGCCAAATGCAATTGCGCTGCTGTGAGGGAAAGGGAGAATAGATAACCCTCCCACGCAAGCGGGACAGAATTGTTAAACAGAGAAATAACCCGATTTCCCGAGAGTAAGAACGAGTCGCATCTGCTGAAAAATGTCACTCGTTGATGACACATTCTTTCAGATCGACATTCATTGCGTGTGGGACTCTCCAATCATCGGCACGTCAAGCGCATCTGATTCTGGAGATTTCGGCTGGAGAACGATTGGCCTATATTGGCCCTTGACCAAAGTCTCTTCGGTGAAAAGCATCGGAAAGCGGTCGAAGTACGACTGTTCTAGCTTGAAGATCTGGTTCGGCTGGCGAAGAGCGAGGACAAACTCTGTCTCCACGGATTTCGACATCCTGCCAAGTAGAGAAGTCGGGATTGAGGATTGTTGCCGTCTGTAATCAATATATTCCGAGAGACGATAATATACCTGGATCTCACGTTGGCCGTCCTCAAAGGGCACTTCTTCTTTTGATTCTAAGCACCAACTGTCTAGGGTGCCTTCCACCACAGCCGTAAGGTCAATCTCATGAGCGTGAAGGATAATCTTGTCTCGTAGTCCCGGGAACGGAATCCAGTCGACCATTGGCCAATGATGCCTGGTTAATTGCAGTTGTGTTGGCTGAAACTCTGGTTGGATTGCACAGTAATGTTCAACGGTCGGGAGGATCTGGTAGCGAGTGATTGGAGCCAACTTCTCGAAAGCCAACGTCTCGAACCAGAATGCCCTTTTCCTACCCCAATATCGGTCTGATGCCAGGAGATACAGCATTCTCTGCACCAAAGTATCAAGGCTGCGTATAGTCATTAGCACATATTCTATCATTTCCCTGGCCACTCGGAAAGAATTCGAGAGATCTGACCTTTGCTGGGGCTGCTCTGGAGTCATGGATTGTCTTAGAAGTTTGTATCTTACGGAGCCGTGAAGTTCCAGAAGATCAATGTCATAGATCGAGGGTTGGGGTGGCAGCCGCGACGGTCGCCGAGCGGTGCCGGCTCTTTCGACAGCTTTGTGCCACTGGAGGCCCGTCGTGCCCTCTGATGACCGACTTGTCTCCAGCTGTTGATGGGACGGTGGCGAGGTCAGTCCTTCCGTCGACACAACACAAAAGTCAAGGAAATCGCCGAAGGTACCATGGTCCCGTCGGTCATGATCGTCAAAGTCGTCAAGGCCCTCGAAATCCGCCGACTTCTGGTTGGAGAGGCTTTGAAAGCTTTGCATGGCCAACTGCCGCACCTCGGCGAGGCGCTGCTCCAACTCATTGAACTTCCTTTCGAGTTCTGCGCTGCTTGTTGTCCCATGACTTGGGCCAGCCGGAGGCTCGATGGGGTGTGGGGATGTCGGCAAGTCCATGATTGCGGCAGAGCGACCCTCTTAACAAGTTCTTTGCAAGATCTGTCGGATCCAACATCACTAGCAGTATCATCCAGCCTTTCCACGCAGCTGAATATGGCGGTGGGCGATGATGATGATTCGTTGCGCAGGGACCAACGCGAAGGTGCGGAAGACTGGCAGGGGTTTTCCCTACTCGCTGGAATGCTGACAGGTCCACGCCTAGAACGACTACACCGAGAGAATCTCAGCAGTCGTTGAGTTTCAAAACTTTGGCAGCTGACGACCCCTCACATAGGCAGGATGACCCCGCCAGGCCCGTCGTCTCAACCTCGGTCGGTTGGGCCCCCGGAATGGACAGATGCCAGCCATCTGGGGCCCCGCGAAGTGTGGGTTCAACTTCCCTTGAGCATGCATATGGCCAACTTCTGTCTCTCCAGAGTATAGAAACGCACCTCTGAGGGTAACATGATTGAAGGTACAGACCAGGCCTCGTCCAGTGCTCGCCATCTCTCCTCCAGACGGGCCAATCCCGTCACATGTCCGCTCTGTGCCAAAAGCTTCTCGCGAAAGGATGTCCTGACACGACACACAAAGGCAAAGCATCAAATTGCGTCGGTGGAGCTGCCTAGGAAAAGGAGTCGCCGGAAGAGCTGTCTTCGGTGTGCCTTGTACGTTTGCTCTCTCTCGACTTCGAGCTGGTCTCCTCAGGAAAGGCTCTGCTTCTAACGCGCGGGGGCTACGGCAGCTACAAGATCAGATGCAGCGGTGCTCCCTCTTGCGCTCAGTGTGAGAAGAAGGGGATTATCTGCCAGTTCCACTTCTCGACGAAAGAGAATCATGGCCTACCACAGGACTTCACGACTGCCGCCGCCGACGGCATCGAAATTCCCGACGAAAATGGGACTCGACACCCGATGACAGCTCCCAATGTCGAGCTATCAGGACCTGTGGGCGGAGACGATTGGCCTTTATCTTTAACAGCCACGGTTGACGCCCAGGCCCCAGCTTCTGATAATAGTCCACGAGAGTGTCAAGCCACTACCGCAAACGGACCGGTAAGCCTCAACAGACTACAAAACCCCTCGCTACGGATACCGCTTCGAAGCCGGTGTTTCACTCTATGAAGCCGATCATGGAGTCTTCTCCATCGTGGTGCTTCTATGTCGCATGCAATCTCAATATTATTGCTGACACCATTTCGCAGACAGCTCTGGCTACACATATCATCTGCCATTCTCCACGCTCGTTCCGAGAAGACACCATGCATTTCGACCCGCAACTACCCCAGGAGACGGGCCTGGAGCACGTCCCTTCCCGGCTGCACCAGACTACATCAAATCAAAATCGAGACAGTATCACGGAACTGCGTGCGAGCGATACGCCTTGGTCGTGGTTCAATTGGGAAAGCGATCTACCATTTGAGCCTTCCCACGCTGAAGTTCTATTCAATGACATGGGAGGCAACGCAGACATCAGCAATAGTGATCCAATTCCATCTATGAGAGAAGAAGGGAGTGAGCCCCAGACCAGTGTTTACTTGCACAGTGACCCAGCTGATCTATTCGGTACGGTACTGAGAGTCCTGGACACTCTCGATTCACCAGAGCACAAGAGCCTTCTTCTTGATGTGCCCAAAATGAATGATGCGGATGTGCTCAAGTTCTGGAACCAATATTTCGAGATTTTCCACAAGGTAACAGACATATTGCCCCTGGATCGGTGTCAGGTTATTCGCTGAACCAGGTTTCCTAGAAATTCCCGGTTATACACCGCGCTTCCACCCAAATTGGGAAAAGCCCCCCGCTTTTGGTCAGCGTGATCACTGCGATTGGAGCCAGTTACAGCTCGGGACCCGGGGACACAGAGTATTATGTTCGTGTCTTTGCTAGAATCTGTATGATCCTCGCATGTGTACGCTCTATATCCGACGCCGGTCGCCAGGAGAGTGCCAGAGCTGACTCGGGACGTAGAAATCCTGCGGCTCGCAGGGGGTTCACAAACTTTGCGACCCATTGACGTTACTTCTGTGCCAATGCCTTGTATATTTTTTCATCATTATCGACCGCTCTGGGATCTTTCGCCCTTGGGCCCTCGCTGGCCAGGCGTGCATGGTCACTACTGCGCGGAACGCGTCTGTGTTCTATTCAGACCACGGGCTGAACAGTGACTCGGAAGTCGGCAGTGCTACATCCCCCTCAGACCTCAGCACAGTGGATTGCTCCCTCAGTCCGCAAGAACTGTTAGATCAGGATCTGGAGGGTACAATAATCCATAGGCAATGGCTAGAGTGGATTGCGATAGAAAAACGTAAACGGCTTGGATGGGCCGTCGTGGTAAGCCTAACCTGTCTTATCCCCCTCAAAACATTGCTGGTAACACGTGCCTAGGCCATCCATAGCTTGTATCACCTTCGCGCACAGTCCCCTTTCCGGCTCAACTTCGCCGAGCTGGACCTCTACTTACCTTACGACGATAACATGTGGGACGCAACCGATGCAACGTCTTGGCGCAGACAATTCCCATGGACCGATCGGCCTCCAAGAACTTTACCACTTCAGGGCGCGGTTCGGACGCATTCTGAGAACTCATCTTCCAGAACCGACTTACCCACGTTGGCAATACTGGCCGTGGGAAGCCTGGTGGAGCTGGTTCATCGCGACAAACAGCAGTGGTCGCCCGGAATCCAAAGCGCTCTAAAATCGGAAGCAGCACGAAAAAGAGGGTGGCATCTGTTGGTGGATGAAATTCTCGATGCTGTACAAGGTGAAACCAGGTCTTTTAGTAGCCGGCCGGGCTGAGAGGATGGAATCAAGGCAGAAGGCTCTTCCAATGGAACGCCAACCGACCGAATTGTGACACTGCCTGCCGGGCTCGCAACATCTGCAGACTCAGTGACATGATCCGAGACACCTGTGTATAACACGTAAATCGCGCTCTTTAGGGCTTTGAAAATTGACGGTTCAGTATGTCTTCGGAAGACACTTTTTTCGGCCTTCGCCATTCCTCCTCCTGTTAGGAGATGATTTATCTCTGATTCGCAATTCAGTCCCTGTCAAATCTTCTGTTGGGAAAATACCCCCTACATATAGGGTCATTGTATGGGCATTTCCCGCCAGTATAGAGTTGGAGATACATGAATATACAAGGAATGGGCCGCTACAATGTTATTGGTGAAGGAATAGAAGACACAATGTAGGTGGTTCAATGCTCAAGTTATTCAGAACATCTGCCGCCCCGAATCTCTAGTTAAAATGGCTGAAACCTGAGCATTTTCCCACTTACGGTGCGACCCTGCTAGGAGACAAAGCCTTATCACCCTCGTGGTCTTTTAACGACGACCATGGCGCAGAAAACAGAGAACTTCATGAATACCAAGGAAACGTGCGGTATACAACAAAAAGCACAAAGGTGAATAGACATACTCACATCCCTCAATCATATCCCTGATTCCATCGATGTCCATATACGCATCAACCTCCGAATCGTCGCTGGTAATATCAGAGAGTAGCCCACAGCCCCTTGGCGTTTAAGCAAAAAGACGAGTCACTCTGGTGTTCCATAGCAGAATACTGGGCTACTTACCACGTAGCTATATGCTTATTCCGGCGCGCCGTGCCAAGGCCGCCGTAACTCTTGTTTTTGTGTCCTACTCGACCTGCTTCACCGGTTGCAGATGCCCCGGATGTAGAGCTCCTTGGGCGAATCGTTTTTGATCAGCTGAGGCAGCCTTGGTGCCTGAGCCTGCACACGAATTTCCAAATATGGAAACACAGCGTCGCTCTGGCTAGGATCAGACCATGTTGCCTGATCTCTCTCATTTTTCCTTTCTGAATGTCGTGTGTTGCATGAACGAGGCAAACGCCCAGCTGCAGCTAAAAGAAAGTGGTGTGAGTGCACCACCAAGACAAAACTGAAGAAGTCAGGGAGAAGGTCCTTGTTGAAGTTTAAAAGAGCCCACCGCACTACTCAATCCGACCACCTCGTCGCTCATGCAACATTCAAAGGCAAAGGGAATCGATAATTTCGCCCGCTGAACATCTAGCATCATCCGGCCGCTCACTACCCTGATTGCAAAATCACATCACCAAGCAACATGGCCACATCAGCCCGTCCGACACCCACAGCCTCGACGCCCGTTGACTTTGGCCCCAATGTGCATATCTTTGATCCCTCAATGCCCATGGCTCAGATCATGTCGACGATAGCACCCATATTTCACAGTCAAGACACAAGCCAGTTTGGTCCGGGGCGCCATGCATATCTCTTCAAACCGGGATCGTACAATCTGAACGTGGACGTGGGTTACTACATGACTGTTCACGGGTTAGGTCACTCCCCTGATGACGTGACCGTCACCGGTAGTGTGCAATCGCTGGCGACAAGCACCCAAGGTCTGGCTCTGAACAGTTTCTGGCGCGGCGTCGAGAATCTCTCTGTCGTGCCTACGACCAATGGAGACATCAGCGGCTGGGCCGTTTCCCAGGCCACCTTCTTGCGCCGCGTGCATGTCATTCGCGGCCAGCTTTTCCTCTTTGACTGGCGCTACCCATCAGACCGGAACTATTCCAGCGGCGGCTTCATTGCAGACTCTCTTGTTGATAATCAGATCGTTTCCGGCTCCCAACAGCAATTCTTGACCCGCAATACGACTCTCACGAAGTAAGTCTGCCATATTTCCTCTGGTAGTGTTTGAGACCGTCCAAAGCACGACATATCCACGGGACCTGTTGGACATATGATGTAGAGACAGGACAGACGCGTTGAAGGATGCGGAAAAATTGACACCCAAGTTTCACAGACACTTACTAACATGACGTTGCACAAAATTTAGCTGGATTGGGGGTGTCTGGAACATGGTTTTCGTTGGCGATGACCAAGCTCCATCCGAATCATGGCCCGATCAACCTTTCACAGTGATCCCAAAAACCCCTTGCATCCGTGAAAAGCCCTACCTCATTTTCGAGAACGACTACGCGGTGCGAGTCCCCAGCCTGAAGAGGGAGAGCCAAGGTACAAGCTGGTCCAACATGCCTGACTCTGTCACAACTATACCGATCAATCAATTCTACATCGCCAAAGCAGGCACAGACACCGCCGATTCCATAAACAATGCTCTTCATCACGGCCACCACCTGATTCTCACGCCAGGTGTCTATCATCTATCCAGAAGCCTAGAGGTCAAGCACCCCAATACCGTGATCCTGGGTCTCGGAATGGCTACATTGGTCCCTGATAACGGCACTCCGGCGATGGCAATCGACGACGTCGACGGCGTATCGGTCTGCGGGATCATCTTCGATGCAGGCCCCGTTCGGTCCTCCCAGCTTCTGACAGTAGGAGGTGTGGATAGTACAGCTGATCACAGCGCAAATCCCACCGCGCTGTTTGATCTCTCCTGCCGCGTTGGGGGTGCCACTCCAGGTTCGACCATAAATTGTTTCACCATCAACTCCAACAATGTGATCCTCGACAACATCTGGATCTGGCGTGCCGACCACGGCAACTCTGGCACCGTCGGCTGGACTGTCAATACAGCCGAGAATGGGCTGACGGTGCAAGGGCAGAATGTGGTCGCCTACGGCCTGTTCGTCGAACACTTCCAAAACTTCCAGACCGTTTGGAACGGAAACGGTGGCCAGGTCTACATGTACCAGTCCGAGATCCCGTACGATCCGCCCGACCAGGCCTCTTGGCAACAGCCCACCGGGAATAAGGGGTATGCGTCCTACAAGGTGGGAGATCAGGTCAGCTCCCATGCGGCCAAAGGTCTCGGAATCTACTGCAATTTCGACAACCAAGTCGAGCTCGATAATGCCATCGAGACACCGACAGGACCGGGAATCCAGCTCAACCACATGGTTACGCAGTGGCTTAATGGGAAGCCATTCAGCGCCATCAACCACATCATCAACGGGACCGGGGACCGCGTGTACGACAACGGACGGAACTTGAACGCAAAGTCGTCTATTTGAGTTGGGTTGTCGCTTTGCCCGGCCAATTGTGACGTGCTGGCATCTTCATGCGCTCCGGAGACCCCATTCAATCCCCCAGGCGAATCATGTACTCCTCCTAGCACCGGCGCTGAAGCATTTCCAAGCTTCGACTGGTGCTTACAGAACCCTAGATGACGAGTTGCGCCGAAGGAGACCGTTGTCGATAACTCTCGTTACGGAATTGAGAAACCTGCCTTCGCTTTGTGATTTCTCCGAGAACCAAGGTTCTACGGTAATATTGTATCCCCCGTTACATACCTAGGCAGTCTAGCTACCCTACGATATAGGTACACAGAATAATTTTTCGCCTTTTCAAAATGTCTTCCATACCTCATCAAACATCCCAGGCAAACACCGCTGCCAGTGTTTTATCTTGCCATTCTGGGAGAGTTACACAGTTAGGTCAAGCTCCCTTGCGAGAGGAGAGGTTAATGAGGAAGGGAGATTCGCGAAGGCATGGCCAGATGTTCATTCAACCTGGACAATCATTGAGGACGAGGTTGAGTTTGATCCATCCGGCTCGCCTGTATTAAGACGCGCCAATCAACGGAAACAACAGCTTACCGTCTCGTCCAAACTGCTTGTTAGGGTGAAAAGGCCAGCCATGAGGCTCCATAGGAAGAGTCAGAGAAAGCCATAGTCCACTAGTTCAAACCGGGTCGATCTGTGCGCGCTTCGAATGGGCTTTCCGAACTGTAGCGGTCGATCCCCACACACGCTTCCTTCGAGTTAGTGTGATAAACTTCTTTTAGGGGGGTTACCGGTATATTAATGATGCGGGCCGGGGGTTTGGTGTCCCCATGGTGAGAACATTGATTAGTACTTGTACCTCGTAGTTTGCCGCTACTTTACAGGTCCCGGTCGATTTAACTGGACGATCGGTGAAAGTGGACCGCGGATATCGTTTCCGGTGACGCCATAATCGACACGCTTTCCTTTCTCGGCGAGCCGGTTATGTATTAGCGTCCAATGCCGACGCAACGGGTCCAGGGACCTAGGTAAGGAGCGCTGTTTATCAAGTTGAGCTGTCATATACTTCGGTCTCGCCCACGCGGGTTTTGAGTTGGGGTGATTCGCCTTTAATCCTTCGATTTGTAGCCGACCCAGGCATTTTGGAGTCGGATTCGATAGCTTGCAGAACAGCAGTAGAGCGATTCACTATTGGGTCAAAAGTGCCCTTCATTCAGGATAATTACATTATTTTGCTTCAAGACTAGTGGGGTCCGGTCGTCCGTCTCATAGTATTATACAGTTGCATTCGATACCGTGGTCGCTTCGACGCCATTGAGCACTCTTGGCGGGTATACTCCTTGTTGGACTGTGCCACTCACTTGTTAAGTGCCAGGTCTAGCAATTTTGCCCTGTCGAGCATTGTACCGTTGTCCCATCTCACTCAGCACTCAACTTCCAAGTGTGTGAGTATTTTGGCCGCCTTGGTCCGGGACTTTCTGAAACTTCATACAATGGCCGAATTCTAAGGTCCAGCGAACCGCCGACCTACAATGCTCGACTCGTGGGAACGTAATGAGGCCGTCGATAGATATACCGGCTTTCAAACTAGTATTGCGGGGAGCCAGACGGCCTTGGATTTAGAACATGAACAGTCAACTCAGCTCAGTCACAGCAGAGGAAGAGGAAGACGAGGAGGAGTTCAGTTATTAACCATATCATACGACTCCGATTTCCTTGCTTGCCACTTTTTGAGTTGGAAAAACCCTGGAGAACAAAAGCCTATGTCATCACCCCCTCATCGGCGTCATCAAGGGCCTTAATTTGCCCAATGTCTCAACCTGACTCTGGATATCCCGTAGAAGCAAGATGGCCTCGTCCCTCCTGACGGCGTCATGGACGTGTCGCGCGGAGTGGAAGACCGGTTGGACCATGGTGACAAGGACGCCGTCGGGCATGTTCGAGAGAGCGATGTCGATGATGTTTTTGGCGTGGTGCTGGATCTGGGTTTCAGGGTCCATGGCTCCCGATGTCTGGGTCGTAGCGGCGGTCGGGGTCTTGTTGGGAGGGTGGGAGAATAGAAAGATCTGGCATACATGGTAGAAACACATGGCTGCTGCGAAAGAAGACCTCGGGAACCAGTATCGCCGGCGCGACTGTTGGTCTTCGTAGTCTCTTCCGGACAGGGTATTTGGGTACCCATGAACCCACTCGTTCCAGTCCGAGTGTAAAGCCGACCATTGATTCACTGATTTCTTGCCGCGCGGTGCCTCCTCAGTTGCACCGAAAATAAAGTGGACAACCTCCCCACACAGTCTCAGAGTATCGAGCGCATCGGACATCCAGCCGAATCCCTCCGCGTTGGCCGTATTCTCGCGTGAGGAAAGGGAGGACTGGGAATATAACACAGTGCGTTGAGAAGGCCCAGGAGCCTTATTGCCATCTGCCCAAATTGGCCATCCGGTCAGCCGGCCGGCAATTGATCTAGAGTGAGAAGAAAATGGGTGGAATAAAGTCGAGCACCCCACACGAACCGGCAGATCTCTTGTCAATATTCGCGCGAAAATCCATGCCTCCGGGGCAGAGATTGAACAAAATCAGGTTGCCGGCAAGTACGTTGTGCCTTGCGACAAAAGCAGCAGACTGGCCTTTCTTCGTCGCATTTGATATGGCGGGCTCGACATGTCAGACTGTAGGGGGGCTATGTAAGTTTTTGAGCGTTGCGGGTTATTCTACAAGCAGTGAACATACCATCCTGTTGGGACAATGTCAGCCTAACCGCCGGGCTAGATCGTAATACAGATAAATTGCAGAAAGGCGGGGATATAGGACATACCTCTTCGACTTCTGGAACTGTTTCCTCCCAATGCTTGCATTTCACCAGATATTTGACTTGCCCCAACCCAGCTGGCTTCGCGTAATTGAGCTTTGGAAGTAGGACTGCGCTGCTTCGTGAACTTGGAGCAATCGAGATGAAAGATTGTCGCTATCTTGACCTATTGCTCTGGAGCTGGACGCGCAGAGGAAGGAAAAGGTAAGTAGATTGTGTGAGAGGTTTGACGACTTGTTGCGCGCTTCAGGAATCCCGGCGAGGCTGGGCATCTTTTCCCCACAAATGGCCAATCACATGACGCCGCTTGGCTGGTGATCTGGCTCAGAGGCCTTTCCCCACCAGTGCCTCAATCTGAAAGAAAGGGGCGTATGTCCTATTTTCTGGTATGTCGTGTTGCGTATTGACCTCCAGTTCCCGCATGTTTTCCATTCGGACGGAAGCCATGTGACGAAAGCGCCACTATGCAGCATCAACGATGAGAACGGAGTGGAAAATATCCAGTCCCTCAATGCGGAAAGAAATAATATGCGTGGGATACAACTCTCGAGCCTTCCTCACTTAAAGTACCTCCTTTTGACGGGATGTTGGTAAAGCCCAATATAGACATATATACATATATATATCACATGCTCACACCAGAGCGCAACACAGCCCAGGGTCCAGGAACATATGATCAAGAAGCAGTTAACACCATCCAGTTCCCCATCCAAGGTAAATGGTCAACGGAAAGAGACACGCAACCAACCGACCATGAATATTCATGCCCAAACGGAGGGGCAGAGCGCGCCCGACAATTGCCCTCTCCTGTTTTTCCCGAATCTAGGTTCCCAACTCCATCGGCTTCGGATCCTCCGTCTTGTACCATTCGCCATTAAATGCATTAACCAGCCATTTCGCCAGCTTGTCGTACACAATATGATTCGCATTGTGAAAAAGTATAGAATGGTCGCTATCAGGGAAGAAATGAACATCATAGTTTTCAATCCCTGCTAGATCAAACTTGTCTAATAGCGTCAGTGTGTTTTGCATGTGCACGTTGTCGTCTGCGACGCCGTGCATGATCAAGAAGCGCACGTTCTGGGATATTGCAGTGACATTGCTGATTGCGGATTTCGAATAGCCAAGGGGATTGTTCTGAGGCGTGCGCATGTATCTCTCGGTGTAGATGGAGTCGTAAAACTGCCAGTCAGTTACCGGAGCAACCGCCATGCCGTATTTAAAAGTCTCGCCCGCATCGGTCTCGAGGACTTTCAATGTCATGAAGCCACCGTAGGACCAGCCCCAAATGGCCATGCGGTCGGCGTCGACGTAAGCCTTGTCAGCCCACATCTTTGCAGTGGCAATCTGATCATGGGCTTCATATGTGCCGAGCTCGTTGCGGATGATGGTGCGCGCTTTGCGGCCGATGAACCCGGTTCCACGCCCATCGACGGTTACCACGATATAACCTAGAGAGCTGGCAATATAAGATTGAAAGTCAACGTGGAAGCGACGGTTGACCATTTGAGAGCCGGGCCCGCCGTAGAGGTAGAAGAGGACAGGATATTTCTTCTTAGGGTCGAAGTGAGGGGGTCGCCGTTCGACAACTTGGAGCGTGTAGCCATCAATAGTGACGTTCTGGAACACCTGGTATGGAAGTTCGTGAGAGGACGCCATCTTGGCGAGATCCTTATTGTCTTCTAGCATCTGCTCGATTTTCTCAGAATTGGCAGGCGTAGAGACGACCTTCTGATACGGAATGCCCGGTCCGGTGTATTTCAGGCTCACGTATCCTGCTCCAGAAGAAAAGCTGGACTCCCAGTATGCAGCTTCATTGGTAGGAACAAGGGAGGCCATGGCTGTCCCGTCTAGTTTGACGCTGTACAAGTGGCGTTGGGATGGTGCTTCTTTGGCCGCAACAAAGTACACCAAGTTATGTTTCAAGTCGACGGCTGCCGGTCCTCCGTCCACTTCCCAATTGCCTCTTGTCAGCATGACGGGAATTGAGCTGTTGAGAGGTGAGAAATAAGCCAGGTGGTTGCCGTTGTCGGAGATGACGATGTCGACATAGCCGTCCTCTGGTCGGCCATTGGCAGGATCGGCAGGTATGTATTTGGTCAGCTGGCTAGGTTCAACCCACCCACCGTCGACGTCTTTGAGGTCCACGATCCTCACGGTATGTCCTGTTTGGGAAGCGACATCTACAAGAACAACTCTGACCCGATCACTTTCACGATTCGACTCCGAGACCAGTGCTCTTCCATCATCTGCCCATACAATGTTGAAGATGATCCGGTCTTCGTCCGGGAACCCGCCGTCAATATCGACGGAGAACACTTCGCCTTTTGCTATGTCGTAGAACAGCATATCAACCACGGGGTTAGGGGCGCCAGCCTTGGGATACTTGATCTCTTTCACCTCTGGGTAGTTCTCGAGGCCTTCGAGTGGCCTCTTTCCACTAGGACGTGAGAGGAAATATTGGACAGGATATTCGGGGACAGTAGTCTCATTGGTGCGCAGAAAAGCGAGATATTGACCATCACGTGCCCACCATGTAGCGGTGTTGGTACCGAAGACTTCCTCCTCATAAGCCCAGTCAGGGATTCCATAGAAGTACTCGGGACCTCCGTCGGTGGTGATGGTAGTCACTTGGGGCGACGAGAGATGTCTCAGAAAGAGATTGTTATCTCTTGTAAACACAACCGAGTCACTTTTGGGCGACCATTGAGCCAATTGAATCCTGGTCTCCGGGAACGCCGGGTCCAATGGCTGGACGTTCTGTGTCTCGACGTCGAGGATGAAATACAGTCCGAGAAAAGAGTGTCGAAATACCTTTTCCGGATTCGCCATAAGAAGCACATGTTTCATATCCAGGCTAACCCAGAATTCCGACGTCCACAACTGCTGTCCACCATATTTGATCCACCCGCTTTTCACCAGAGTGGTGCTTTTGAATGCATTGGCTGCAGAAGGTGTACGACTTCGGATGTCTTCAACCACCAAGTACTCCTTGTTGGGTTGGTTGATCTCCAACAATAACCCATCTTCTCCATTGGGACCAGGCGTCCACTCGATATTGGCATATTTTGGTGACCATTGCCCTGACTGTATTTGAGCGAGGGTGACCTTCTTTGCCGAGCTCTTTATTGGAGTATCGTGGTCGTATTCCAATGCCGACGCATGTTTATACCGGCCACCTGCCACAAAAACGACCACCGCCGAGATCCATCCGACAATAGCAACAACCGAGACTATCCATATTGCTCGACGAAGGCCTTTGGACATCCGCTGGCCACCAATGGTGTAGTTCTTGTCGTTAAATCTGGGCAACTCGGGATCACTCTCATCATCTCGGTATTGTGAAGGTTGCAGAGGCTTTTTCACAGCGATTGCCGAGTTTAAGCTCTCGAGAACAAGGGAGGTTGTTGAGACAGAGGTGACGCTTTCTTCCGAAGGTCTCGGGTATGGATCATCGGAGGATTGGCTGCCACGGGTCATCAGGGTCTCCTCCTCTTCTTGCAGGGTCTGGCTAGCCCTCGCCATGATGGCGGTGGGAGGTTGCCCCCTCGGGACCCCGTTGAAGACGTGGTAATTGAAAGCGAGGGAGGTCGACCTCGACTGGGAGTTATTGGAGTTATCTGCACATGACAGAGGTTGATGGGTGAAAGGGGACACAGCGTCGTCGACGTCTCTGCGTGATATTCGCTTTCGAGGGGAAACAAGAGGTTCTTCTACGCCCAAGCCAGTGATTATGCGAAGAGGCTGAGTCTGATTGGGATCCTGAGATTGTGATGGTGGTGGAGGTGGTGGAGCTGCAGTCGGGGCTCGACTCGCCTGCGCATCGTCCATTGTGCCAAGCCTGCGATTAAGCGACCGCAGCCAATGCCGACCAACGTCCTGCAACGTCTTTCTTTCTGCTCTTCTTCCACAATGGCTGGGATGTACATCATACATGCAATTTGATATGATTTTCACTCTCACTGATAAAATACATGCCCTATGTCTGGGTATATGAGAATGTAATATACTGCTTGCGGAGGGCTAGCGAACAGCCGCACCCCTTCGTCCACGCGTTCGTCCACTTCCGAAAACGGCGCCCGTCAACATTCCTCAATGAAATCTTGGAGCCACCTGGCCGAGAGCCTCCATGGCTAGCCCCAGTCCTCCTATGTTCTTCAACACCAGACGCCATTCGTCTCAAGAAATCATTTCACATACTTGTAGGTCAACGTAGCAATGAGGAAATAGCTACATGAGGTGAGAAATGCAAAGCTCGCCCAAAGCTTGAAATATTCGACTCCGCCACTGACTCGTCGTCTCGTCGGCCCCAAGGAATTCAAGCCCAGCCAAGCTAGGAATACCAGGCTCAACGCTGCAGTCACCGGGATGGCCAGCAATGATAAGAACAGGAAGGTCTTTTGTTTCTCCTTCATCATCGCAGTGGCCAGGTTGTACTCTTCCGAGAACCAGTAGTAAATCAAGTACGGACTTGTCCCAAGGATGCCCGCCGTGACCACCAACATGCACTTCCCTGCGAATGCAGCGGAGGCTTGTTCTTTGCATGCTCGGCAATCCTCTGCTTCGAGCTGGCTGAGAGTGGTGGCAGCCGCTTCACGTTCGATGTCTGATGGCACTTGCTGTTGTGACTGGATCCTGGAAGGTTGTGCCGTCTGGTGCTGCGGCTCTCGTCTTTCAGAAGCAGTTGGAGCATCTATGGGCCGCCCCGTCATCCGACCCCAGAAGTTACTTCTCCCCTCCGCCTCGTCATTGCTTGCGGCGGTCGCCCCTCTTTTCAAAATGCGCTGTATCGCAGCGCCTTGCTGGTCGACTTGCTCCAGAGTCAATGTCAACTCCGATATAAGGCTTGGTGACCGGGAGTCCGTGACATCAATACTTCGTTCCATCATCCTGGTACTCGAGCCTTCTGATCTATATATGTCGCTGAAGGGATTCTCGGGATGAAAGCTTGCGGCGAACGGGTTGGTAGAGTTGCCGGTACGACTCAAACCCGAAGCCCTCGTAGTTACAGTCTCCCCACTGACGACAGTCCAGCTGGAGGTACTGCTACGCCTCAGAGGCCATGGCCCGACATAGCCGAGTTGCTCTGTGCCAGTTTGTTGTTCCTGATGCATCCCAGCATGGAAAGCGTTGTGTGTATCGGCATATTCGATATGCTGTGCTGAGCCAGTGAGTTGCTCAGCGTCAGCAGCATTTGTTTGTTGAGATATCGACATCTTTTTGGACAGTGGTGGACGAAAGAGTGTGGCGTGGTAGACGTGTCTCGCAGGGTTGATGTTTTGATTAGTGAATGTGTTCAGGAAAGTATAGGATCTATTTCAAGGAGGGAATGAAAGATTACGAGGTCGCGGAAAGCAAGGAGTTAATGAATGGAGGGAAGGATCGAAATAGTTTGGGAAGGAGAAATCCAATATTGAGGATGGGAGCAGGGGGATTCAATATATATGCTCAAGAGTCGTGGGGAGAAGGCGAGCAGTGTTTACCTGAGTTGTGCTCACGAGAATGTCAAGCTGGGTTTCTGACTTGACCCCTGACGGCCGCCGTATGGAACCAATGCGATCTTCCCACCGCCAGAAACAAGCCGCACGGAACCTTGAAGAGACTTTTGTCCAGCATGGTTACTCCCACCACGACCCTCTCATTCGCACGCTTCTTGGTGGGAGACCCAGAGCATCTCTGGGCGAACGCCTTTGAGATCTTGCTAGCTCTGGAGCTTCACGCAGCCAGCGACAAGGACTTTTCTACAGTGGATGAGATCTACGAATGGTCAATATAGGGCGCCTAGAACGCTGGCGAGCGTGGCAAGGCAGACAGCAAACCACGACACTATGCACCACGTGTGTGGGAGAAATGGCATGGACGCGGGAAAACAAGTCAGAGGTGAAGTTGAAGCTAACCACAACAACCACTACAAAGAGCATCTTAACCTGCGAGGCAATGCGAATGAGCGGTAGGGGAAGGAATACGACGGCGAGGAAAGAAAACAAACACAAAGATCGGAGTCACCCTTCTCTTTGCGCGATACCAAGTCGATTGTTCCCAAGAGTCCAACAAAAGCCAGGGAAATCAGTCGGACTGTCGCGCTACTACGTCGACTAGACAAGTTGGCGGCATGGATTCCACACGTAGGCAAATATATGCGACGACAACAAGCAACGAGGACAGGCAGGCACGCAACAAGCAGCAAGAACAGCAAGAGAATCAGGAGGGGTTTTTCCTGGGGGGAAAATGAGGCATGACAAAAACAAAAAAAGAAAGGACGCAAATCTCATCTTCTGTCCCAGCCTCCTCTTTGTCATGCCGAGTTATTACAGAATTCATTCATGATGGTACCTTTCAATTAGCTGGGTTGTTGTACTATTTGTATTTTTGCTTTTTTGCTTTTGCAGAGGTACCTACGCACCTTCCTAGCTACCAACCAACCTACCTAGGTAGGTACCACGCACCGAAGCAAAAGAGAAAAGGGAGACTTCAAACGGATGGTGAACAAAGCAAAACAAAGCGGCAATGCCGATGAAATGCTGCCCCCCTTCCCTCCTCGGGGGGGTCCCTAGTACCGTCATTATAGCAACTATCCATTATCACCTAGCACCTAGGAACCTCGTTACCCGTGCTGGGTATCAGGTACTAGGCACTTCGTACCCAGGTATGGATGTATGTATGTATGTACTTGGTATGTATGTATCATCCGTACAACTCCCACAGCCCACACAGCCGCGGACCAATAAACTAACCCACTCTGAAGTCCGCGGTCCGCATTTATGATTGGCCCACTCACCACATGACAAGGTACCACTACTCGTACCGAGTATTATTGAATTCAATATCACCTAGGAACTTACGCTACCTACCTGCCTGCCTGCCTGCCTGCCTGCCTGCCTGCCTGCCTGCCTATCTGGGTACCCGGATGCTTTGTCCATGGAATTTGCTTGTTCCGAACACACAAGCCCCATCCCCTCAGGGCCCTTCTCTAAAGGCGAGAAAACCTGAGCCAGAAATTTCACTGCACACGGCGGGGGGGTTAGACGGGTCATGAAAGATACCTACCTACAAAGGTATGCCTAATGGCCGCGCAGTCTCGTTACTCCATAGATAGATAACCTCCAAACGACGACAGCATAGTGCTTGACCTCGTTCTCCCTTCTACCGTCGGATACGTTACTCACTACACCCAAAGCTAAAAGTCGTGCTTTGCGATGCTATGCCATATTGACATTTTATGGGCGATGCCTCTTAGAAAAGCAGACACTAAAACCCTGCTCCGCTAAACGCCGCGCCATGCAAATATATCCCAATCTCTGAGCTGTGAGGCTGTATCCCCATAAAGCCCGTGCCCTCAAAGGCAATAGGCAAAATAAGAAAATACACAAGCCGAAGAGTCAAAGCTTTTCTTCGAGCTCGGGTGATCATGCCCTTGTTCGCCCCATCAGCGACGACTTCCCTCATGCTCCAAGGTCTTGATATATCTCACAAACGCCTTCTTATGCACCATACCCCTAAACTCACCCTCGTTCAATACACAGATATATCTCAAACCCAACTTTACAAAACATTGATACACAAGATCCATCGGCGAATGCATATCCAGGGCCACCGGAGCAGGGTCGATGTAAGAAGTCAAATCCGTCGGATTTGTGGCTGGCGAGTCTTGATCGTCAGAGTCGTCCCTTCCCGAATCATAGCCAGCCTCCTCGAACGCTTCCCAGTAGCGCCGATGCGTATTGTGTGCATGATCCTCGGTGGAGAGCAAGCAGAACGCATTGTCCTCATCCTCAACCCTGTCCAAGGCAAACTCCAGGTCTGGAGCTGGAATCAGCCCGACCAACTTTTTGTCTCGGATGATAGGCAGGCCCCCGTCGAGTTCGCCAAGATTCTGTAGGCGTCGAAGTTTGGCTCGCAGATCACTGGCCTTGACAAGAGGAGATATCGTAATGTCGATCACTTTGTCCCGTCGGAACCGGGGTGTGATGTCTCCGAGTTCCGAGTCGAAGACCGGAGTCCTCCTGTTATCGAGGAAGGGATACGAATTCATGTCAGTCAACAGGTCGTATATGCTAAGGGGCTCGACAGCGTCCGCCGTCCATTTGGCGCAGAGCACCCCCAAACAGAAAGGCAGCACATGGTCGAGGCTCCCCGTCAATTCAAAGAGGATGACTGCCAGTGTGACCGAGAGACGGGTGACACCACACATGGTAGCACCGGCCGCTACCAAGGCATACACCCCGGGCGTGACGCATGCTTCGATATTGCCCGAGTCCCGACAGTGAGACCACAAGAAGAAATTGGGAAGCTTGACCACAACATACTGGGTCAAGTGACCGACTATGCGACCCATCAAACCTCCAACCACCATCGACGGCACGTAGATGCCGGCGGGCACCTTGATCCCAAACGTAATTATCGTAAGGAAAGCTTTGATGACAAATGCTACACTCAGATAACCGATGACTCTCAGAATTTCATCCTCGGTGTTAGGACAGAGGCCCGTCGCCGACTGCTTCTGACATGGACTCGCCAGCTCGAAAAGAAGTTCGTTGACTGCTAGCCGCGTGTACCGGTTCCAGAAGCTGATGAGGCCGGTGACGAGTGCCACGAGGAGAACTTCCAGCATTGGATAGGACTTGATGACTTTGATACGGCGAAACGTAGTTGCCCAGAACCGAGAGGCTTTGATGAAGAGCGCCCCAGCCAGGCCACCCGCAACGCCGAGCAATATGAAAATGAGAAGCTCGAAGAAACGCCAATCGGTGGTGTAACGGACCTCAAACAAGACAATCTTGGACGTCCCGTATGGGTTCAGAAACTTGAGGGATAATGCGGCCACAATGCAACAGAAGAACGTTCGAAACAACGTCTTTGGCGGAAAGTAATAGCTGACTTCTTCCAGGCTGAAAAGAACTCCGCCCAGGGGTGAACCAAAAGCGACAGCAACCCCAGCCGCCGCGCTGGCCGATAAGACTTCCCTTCTCTTACCGTCATTGAGGTTGTATTTGGCGAACAACCTGCAGGCGATGTTGCCCACACACGTTGCTATATGGACGTAGGGACCTTCTTTGCCCAGGCTCATACCCGATGCTACGCTTAGAATGAGAGCGATTGTTTTCAGGACCAGAACCCGGAGACCGAGGTATCCATGGAGGACAAAGCCACTCAGAATGACCTTGACTTCTGCGACACCACTTCCAGCGGCCGAGTAGTAGACGTTTGGGGGTGGCTGGTCTTGAGCTGGTGGTTGCTGAGCACCCCCTGACTTGTCCTCATCCGCCCCATTATTTACGTTCTGCTGAAGGGCGCCCAGGTTCTCGTCGAAGGTAGACGCAATTTGCGAAGGTACAATGGTCTTGGAATAGAGGGTGATGAAGAATGACAGGGCTGCGAGAGTCACACATCCGATGATGAATGCCAGGTAGTTGAAATGAACATCGTCCATGCCCGACGGGTGGATGAGTTCGGACCAGGTCCTCCATCTGTCACAGTTACGTTCTCCAGCACAGCAGTTTGTGCGGCCAAGGTACCAGGCGCCTCGACAAAAGCCACGCTTAATATCGAAGATTGCCGACTCTGTCACGTCGACAAAGTATGCTATGCCGGCCGTAGCGACACCGATCAGAGCAACGAGGACCCATCCCTGGGCTGAATCGAGGAGTAATCCCAGGCGTCCCCTCCACCCTTTCCGTTTCTTCAGTTCCAGGACCCGGTATCCATCTGCAATGCTGTCGTGCACCCAATCGGTCGAAGTGAATTGGTCATACCACAATCGATCGTCTTTTGATAACGAGCCCGCCAGCATCGATGAGGAGAGCTTTGGCGTTCGCAGACCTGAGTTCCGCATCCAGACAGGACTTGCATTTCCCGAGGGCCGAGAACTGTAGTAGCCTCTCCGCCTGCGTAGACTGCCACTTGTGCTGTTCACTCTTGAAAGCTGCCTGGAGTTCGGCGACTCAGGCACGTTCTCGGTATATTTGCGGATGGAGCGACGGTCTCCTTCCAACAAGGCACTGTCTTCTGCTGATCTTGGAGTCATGACAAGAGAAGCTGGTAAGCGAGCCCTGAGCTCGCTTGCGGAGAGGGATGTATTTGTCCTGCGGAGGGTCTCAGGGGACGACGGGGCGGTAGCGGGATGGGGGTAAAAGGAGTCGGCTTCATCTTGGCCTTGGAAAGAGACAAACGACTTCGGCATGGTGGCTGCCAGCAGTTCTTTTGGCTTGACTTTCTCTCGTAGTGTGTGAAAGAGACCGGGAAAAGGTAGGTTGACTAGTATACCGCAGGGCACGCACGGCGTCCCTCGCAGGCAGACGCCGCCTTCCACGGGTCGTCAGCTGGCCATTTGAACGGGCAGGTGAGAGGCAGGATTCTCGTGGAAGGGCTTGCAAGGAGAGAAACTTTTGGCTTCTATGAGTCAAGAGACATCAGATGTCAGCAGCAAATCAAAGGGCATGACCTGTGTCGGCTAGGAAAGGGATGGCTAGGGGAGAGATGGGCAGCGAACCAAGCCTGGGCAAGGAGATGCCAGAATTCAAAGAAGGCGTGCTCGTTGTGCAAAGTTTGGGGACGGCGTTATTCAGCCCCAAGCCATCTTGATCAGGTGGACGACACCGTCGTGAGAATACTATCCTGGGTTAAGTAGATACCCCAGAGAGAGAGAGAGAGAGGGTGTGTGTGTGAACCGAGTATGGCAGTGGGCATCCCATCATCTGACAAACAGCACGCGTCGAGGACTCGGCGAAATGCCCCGCGACCGCAGGCCACAGGCCAGGGCGCAGTCTCCCACAGTCCACAGCCTGGGCACACGCAACACTGCCTTGCTAAGTATCGTCGTTACTACATCGTCGCTGCTCTTCTCCCTTTCAAACAGGCTCCCTCCACGGCGACAGACGCCCAATGCTGTCCGAGTTGGGCGGCAATTGGACGTTCAAGAGGCTAGAGAATCCTGAAGTCACCCGGCTGCGCTCGTCGATAACCTCGGGGCCATGGAAACATCTTCTCCACGCTTTGATTTGACCGACAATGACTTGCATCTGCAGCTAAACCGCTTGCTAGCTCCTCGCCAGGAAAGAGCAGATGATTCGCTCCGATGATCATTCCTCAATGCATCATCCCGTCATACCGCATCTCCGAGATGAGCCCGGCCACTGCGCTTCAGGTGTGTGCGGTTTGTGCAGAAGGTGGTATGCACAGAGTCCCTCCATCGACTCTCGCTGCAAAATAACGTGGGCCACCTCCAGCAGGCCCCTTGAACCTGCCTCGTGCCTTGGGGCCTTGAGTTTATGCCATATACCAGTCCCTCAACTGCTTACTCGGTGCCCAGTATAATGTCTCATTCTCTAGCTGGCGATCACGATCCAAACACATCGCCTACCTCCAATCCGCACCCGACCACGTACCCGCAATTCTTCCTCTTCGGCGACAGCATCACTCAATTCTCCTCCCAGGTCCTCTTTGCTTCCCTAGCCGAGTGGTACTCCCGCCGTCTCGATGTCCTCAATCGAGGCTTCAGCGGCTACACGGCTCCAATGGGCTATGACGTCCTGCGGCAGTTTTTTCCCTCAGACACCGCTCCGTCCCCGACCACGCCGAGAGTACAGTTGATGACCATCTTCTTTGGTGCAAATGATGCCTGCCTCCCAGGCCATCCCCAACATGTTCCTCTTGCCAACTATCGACAAGCCCTGAAATCCATAATAACCTCCCCGGGCGTCGAGCTGCACCAAACCAAATGTCTCCTTATCACTCCACCGCCCGTGGACGAATGGCAATTAGGCTCTACCGAGAGAACGGCAGAACACACAGCGACGTATGCATCCGCGTGTCGAGAGGTAGGGAAAGAAATGAGCATCCCAGTCCTGGACTTGTGGACAATATTTATGAGCAAGGCAGGATGGAAGGAGGGTTCAACGGGAGCACTAGTAGGAAGCAAAGATGCGCCCAGGAATGAGGTCTTGGGAAAGTTATTGAACGATGGACTGCATCTCACTACGAAGGGCTACGAATTGATGTACGAAGAATTGGTGCAAGTGATACAACAGAAGTTGCCGGATCAGCTACCGGAGAGACTGCCCATGATATTCCCGGATTGGAAGGACAAGCTGGGAGTTCTAGGGTGAATGGTGACTGTGGCGGAGCAATCGGGCCCCCAAAAAGGGGTATAGACAATAGAAGAAGGGCTTGTAGAAACTAGATTCAATTTTGGGCAAGATTCTAGGAACAGGGATCGGCTTCGCAAGACAAGGATACACCCGACTCGACGGAGCGGTCTGTTTTCCACCATCACCACGAAAAGAAGGAAAGGAGCGACCAGAAACGAAGCTCAAACATTCGGGACCCGCTGCGCCGGAGAGGAGAGAGTGCGTCGACCCATTGATAGATAACGAGAGACTCATCGGATCAGACACGAGGACAAACAGAGCAGTTCATGGATCACACACGAACCTACTCCTCGCCGCTCTCTTCGTCGCTCTCGGCTTCATCGAGCCACTGCAGGAACTTCTCGGCAGCTTGACGCACCTTGCGGCTGGTGCTGATGTCGACGTATTTCTTGCTGGCTTTCTGACCCCAGGCTTTGGCGACTTCTTCGCTCAGCAGGTCATTCTGGTAGTACCCCAACAGGATAGCCGGGACTTGAGGGATCAAAGCTGGGTGGTCATTGCCGACAAAACGCTCCGTGCCGCCGAGGAAGGCCTTCATATGCTTCTCAGAGTCGCCAATCATGGTCTTGAGCATGCTGGCGCGCTTGGGAATCTGTTTAACAATGTTCTCGTCAAAGATGGTCTGCGCGAGGACAGTGAGCGTCTTGTGCTTGTTCTCGATCCCCAATTCTTTGGCCTTCTTGTAGATATCCAGGTCGTCGACCTTGCTGACGGAGCCCTTGGCTTTCGCTTCATCGATAACCCAGGATCCAAGTTGATCGTACACGTTGGCGCCATTTTCCTCCCCTTCTTCCTCCTCATCAAAGGCAAGGGAACGCTTCAACTCGGTTGGAAGTTCTTTCGCACGAGCAGCGACGGCTTCGGCGGAGGTGTCGACAGCCCACTCCTCGTCCTTGGGTTCTCCGTTGGTGTGGGCCTCGATGCCCTTGGCGTCGGCATTGATCTGCTTGGTGAACTCGTCATCGCTGCCAGCCGCGAGCTCCACCTCCCCTTCATCGACGTCTCCCTTGTCAGAGTTGGAGTCGTGGGGACTGCCGCCGTTCATGGAGCCATTCTCCTGCGCCTCGGCCTTGGCCCGGTCACGACGAGACATCTTCTCCTTCTTTGGGCCTTTCTTTCCACCCTTTGGTTCGTTCTTGAGAATGAATCCACTCAATTTGTGGCGTAGGTCAACCTGAGTGCGTTGACCACAGGCTTTGCAGTCCAACAAAATGCGTCCGTCCTTGATGTTGATCTCGGTCTCGGGGTTCTTGCATGATCTGCAAAGGACAAATTTGGAGATGAAGCCGTCCAATGAGTCTTGCAACTTGCCAGCTTCGTGGGCCCCGTTGATGATCCAACGATCATCCTTTGGGTTGGTGTTGGTCTGGGCACCCAACTCGAAACCGAAATACTTGATAATGTAGGCAGGAGGACGGGCCAGAGAGGCCGAGACGCTGGGAAGGTTGGCAACAACGGTTCTAGCGAGACAGTTAGTATGCTTTAGGGAGCAGGAAGTGCAGGTGCAGGTGCAGGTGCAGGACGTACTTGATGCCGTTTCCTTTTCCTTCAATCTTGGACTGCAAGCGCTCCATCTTGTAGCGGTAGAAGGGATCGGTAACGTCCCGACGGATATTGATGGTAGCCATTTTGAGGGATGATTAAATTCTCTTTTCTTATTTTTTTTCCAGGGATTTCTCTTGAGGAAAATATTGGGATCGAAGAACCAAAGGCCTTGATATCTCAGGCGAACACAAGGGGCAGCTGGTGGTTGGCGTGGGTGTGGATGTTTGCGAATCTTTCAAATTGACCAGACATATGTGGATTTCACCACTGAATTATGAAATGTAACATGAAGAAAACGGTCACCAGCAGCGTATCAACCATAGGATGATCTTGCGACACGACAAAGATGTCTTTTGGCCGGAAATATGTCCAGCTTTTGCTTGGTTTTGGTTTTGGAGGTGTGAAAGACTGTCCGATACATGAACAATCGAGGCCTGCGCTGTGACTGCTGAGGCGTTTGCTTCTGCGTGGGATGGGGTGAGGACTGCGGATTCGACAATCCGAGCAGGAGGAGTGGGGAAACCGGGCTCGAGATTGAGACGATACTGGGGTCCTGAGGACGTGATGATGATGGTGATGAGATTATCTGGCGAGGGCGAGAGATTCTCGACCACTGAATAGGGTGGAAGTAATGACGATGAGAGAAAAGAGAGAAGAGAAAAGAGTCGAGGAAGGAGGCGAAGAGAAATATTATTATGGCGGGACTAGGCGCTACGTCTGGGTAGGGACTAGGGCGAGGATGTCGGCTGCGCTAAAGGTCAGTTAACCAGAGTCACCGAGGAGGACCTGGGACAGAGGCTTACCAGCAATTTTGTCACCGGGGGGAGCTTCGGATGGGCAAGGCAAACTGCAGGAAGCTGTGTTGGTTGGTGTGAATGAAGTGGATGATGGAATGGCTGGACGAAATGAAAAGCTGTGCCCGGGTCGTGACGGCGGCATAGTGGAGGGCGAGGGCGAGAGTGACACCCAGCCGAGATGCATAAAATTCCGGGACATGCAGGCGGCAGACAATTCATTGAACAGAAGAGCTGCTGCACGGGCATCTACCTGGGTATAGGGGCGCCTCCCTGAGCACCTCTCGGGGCACCTACCGGGTACCCAGTACTTGTACATACCTCGTTAGGCACCCAAGGCAGCTGGGCGGGGTGCCTGTTCCCACCATGCGCCGAAAGGCTCACACACAACAATGTGCAACGGCGTCCGCCTTGACCACGTGCTACAACACGTGATTTACTTTATGTCCATGGCGAGATGTTCCATTCGTTGGTGTTGGAGGATTGTGGGAAGCTTTGGCCACAAGCAGTCACGTGTTCGCGTTCAAAAAGTTTTACCGAGACAGGCACCTCGGAAATGTCATTCAAGGTCTCAGAGCGCCAATCCCTCATTGCCGGTCGTTTTACGGCAAGGCGTAATATACTTTCAGTCACTCCCTTACCCATTCAGCACTTATCTCTTTATTGACCAATACTTTGCGTAGCGTGGCACGCCTTTGGCTATGAACAGCGCTGATTGGCTCTGTGTGACCGAGACCGAACCAGTCCAAGCTACCCAGGTATCATGGAGACGAAAGATCCATAATACCGCGACATTATCCCCGGAAAGTCCGTGTGGCTAGGTACAGGAGTGTCTGGGCATTTTTCGCCATTGATGATTATAGTGCTGTGAAGGTAGCCCTCAAGACAGGCATTGAATACAGGGACAGCGAACTACTCGAGAGCATCTTGGCTGAGCGTAGGATTCTTTACCGACCTGGAAAAGCATGAGCGAGAACGCGAGCTTAAATACACAATCAACCGTGGACTGGTCCTCGAAAGGCTAGTGGAGAGGTTAAGAGATTGACTGAGCGATCTTCGAAAGCGCAACAAGCTACCTTCTACCGAGGAGGCATTCAGATGGTCAATCCAGGCAGCAGAGGGATCTGCCTACATGCAAGAGAAAGGTGTTATTCAATATGATATACGCTGTCACAAGCTCCTTCTGGACAAGCATGACAATGTCAAGTTCTGCGATTTCGGCGGGTCATCAATCGACGGCTCCGTTCCTCGAGCAGAGCCTGAGATTATCGCGGTTCTGAAAGTGCTTCGAGAAGAGACAAATACAGGTACAAAACCAGGTGGGGCGATCGACGGTCTCACACGACAGGTGATGTGCTTCCTAGCGCACAGGGATCAGGTTGCCTTGCTTTCCTCTGCTGGTATATAACCATCCCTGTCGCAGCAATACTGCTCCGTCCCTCTGGAAGATTCTAAACACAGCCTCATTAATGATGATTACCTAGGATCTCTCAAAGAGATAAATATATCTTGGTCCTCCCTTCGCACACCTTCACATATCGGGCACGCCAATGTCGTTTTGTGCCTTCTTGATTTGGGTGTTCGCAGAGAAGGTAGGTTTTTTTTTTTTTTCTTTCTGCTGACTGCATGCTGCTCTGTTGCCGCCTGCTTGCATCCTTTGTACCGGGCGGTTGTGTCTGTGTACTTTGACATTTTTCTGTTGACGAGTTCGGGCGAAAATTGTTTGACAATCTCAAGGGTAGGACGATAGGTCGTGGAAGGCAGAGCAATGAATCGCAATTGTCCCGTTCTAGTTGGAAGACAGGGGCTATTTCAAGCAATCGCGGCTTGGTGAGAACATTGGAATGGAACAATGGCAGTGGCTAGACTTGTCAAGTCGACTTGCCAATCCTCGAACAGCAGTCTCGGTTCTATAAAGTGTTGCGTCGCAACTGAAGGAGACGTGCGAATCGTGGTCCAGGACTGCATTTTCACAAACCACTTCCACTTGCCGGGATGGTCGTGCGTGGCTCACTTCCACTGCCCACATGTCTGTGTCACTTCAATAATCAAAGAATGGTACCTCCCCCCATTTACCAATTCAGCTGATAACGTTACGAGAGGTGCTGCAATGGGAGAGCCCCACTTACTCAAGGAACTTTTGGCGAAGAAACCAGCACAAGACGATCCCGGCGTCGACGATCAGGGAGTCGTTAGAAATGCACACTGAGTGCAAGAAACTTATTTAAAGTGGGCATTTGGAGATTTGCGAGAGAAAATGTAATAATGTTATGGGTATATGGAGTATGCATTCGCGCAAGACGCTTCTCAAGAATACTTCATAGGTTGTGAACTGGATTCTCCTTGGTGTTTCTGGAGGAGCAAGAATGATGAGAGTACCAAAACAACAACGATGCTGATTGAGATCGACAAAGCCTCACGAAGACTGGAGAAGGAAGAGCATGGGCGTCTATCGAGCAACAAAGAGAGCAAGACAGAGCAAGCGGATTATTCAGCAGTGCTATATACCTAGCACGGTCATTTACTACCTCCGACGACGGGGTGTAATCAACATCTATTGAAAAATAGGTCAGGTATACACCTTACCTAGTGGCTATCGCTGTGTCGTGGCGCTGGTCCCATTAAGTTAAACCACCTGCTTGATTCGTCGGCTGCAACCCCATATTGTAAGGATTCCTGCTCCGGGGATTATCACTTTTCGATTACCTACACATCAGCCTCATTGCCCGGTCACAAATGGGGGCCGATTCTCAGAGTGCTGGTCTTCAATATAAACCGTACAAATCTAAAGTCACAGGGCATACTCAATACAGGTTACTCATGTTGTTTGTCTCACCAGCTTTTTTTTTTTTGGTTGCGGACGAAGAGAAATTCGAGTGAGGGAAGACACCCTGCATTTATACCTGTCTCTCTATTTGTCATGCCTACACAACGCAGCTGACAGCATCCAGCCTAGCCTTGGTAATCAATTCTGAGAGGAAACTGAGGCGTGTTTCAACGGCATCTGTGGCCGGTGAGACCTTTGCAACCCGTTGGGCTTCAGTACTTTTGGACAAGGTTAAGAAGAAATGTTTTCCAGATGAATGATCCGTCCATTAGTTAGATAGCCTTTTTCATCGTAGGCATCATCAGGACACGTCTCAGGAGATTCTATAGCTGTCAGTCGCTCATTGCTCGAGTCCCTGTCAATGTCTCTCTGAGCCCGTAATGAGTAATAATTGGTCAGTCGTATCACTTCCCACAACTCTGTTCGCATGGTATCCATTTGTCGATTTGCTGTTCCGTCCGTCGAGGACAGATGCATTCCTTTCTCAGGAAGACTAATTCGAACCTTGCCATCCTCCGCCTCGACTCTCTTCTGAGCACCAGCTTTGGTACCAGCATCCCGCTAGAAATAGCCGTTCTTCGAAAGGCGACACCTGCATTAAACCGTAACTGGCTATATAACCCCTTGGCGGATAGAGTAGCGGCCGTCTTCAAGGCCCGTCCCAAATCCATGTGGGACTCGTAGGAGTCGGTACATAGGTACAAGTAGGTCACACAGCGAAAAGCCTAGGAACGAGTATGACTGTATGACATTTCTAGCCGAGCGGGCCTGTGTGGAGTGATAAGCGGGAATACGGCCTCCGTCTGAAACGAGTACGGAGTCTATTCGGTAGACGAGCAGCGACCCCCGCTTTCATCCCACTCCGGACTAGCGTAGACGCCTCATTCGACTACTCACCTCCATAGCACCTTGAAGAGCCGAACACATGATCGAGGCTTCATTAGGGATTGCTGCTGATACCTAATGCTACGACTCTACCGAAGGCTTTGCTCACTTTTCAGCTTTATCGTTCGCTTGATGTTCGTGTTTCCCGAGGGATCGTGCGAGGAGAAAAACTCCAGTCAACTTCCTCTGCCTGGATACCTGGCCATACTACATCGAGCAAGTTTTGTGAGAACAGGACGGTACTCCTTGAGTCGGAGACCGTAGGCAGCTGCTAATCAGTCAGCGTGCTCTATATGAGGTTAAGTCAGGGAAGTCACCTCTGCCCCTAACTCCATTTGTGCATTTGAAGAGGGCTATGCCGACCTTGCTGCCGGTGGCATATAGTAATCTTGTATGATATTCGACACAAAGATCCCATCTCGCCCTCGTCGGCGGCACATTTCCAGCCCCGACGGGATGCCTCACGCGTCAGCCTCACAGATAGTGGCGGAAACGTCAAAGAAAACTAAAGCCAAAAAAAATCTCCTATTTTGGTACAGGGTGAAAATAGATATCGGTCTCGGTGTGATTACCGGTGAGATCCCCAGAAGATAAATACTCCGTTCTCTTTGGGCGATGTCGGACTTCTTCTTTCTCCAGCACCCAAGCAAAGCGATACAGACGAGAGTAAACACCTAGCAAAGAACACAAACATGGCAAGTTTAGGCGGTCCAGATGGTGCCGAGAGTCAATCAGGGTAAGGAGATACCCCCCTCTTCGACACAATGACATCCTCGTCACTTGCAACAGCCCACTGACCTTTTTGATTTCATCTGCCCACAGAGCTCAAGGCGTCCTCGAAGAAATCACCCAGTATCAAGACCAAATAGAGCAGATCATCCTCCTGCTGCAGCACGTCGACAGCCTCCACCTCTCCAGCATCTCCAGGGACGGCGACCTGGTGGCCGACTTCCAGGTCATCGAAGGTGAGCTGGGAGTCGTGCAGACCTCGGGTTCCTTCGACTCGGCCCAGTTCGAACAAGAGCTTGTGGAATACGGGGCGCATATGCCGCACACCACCGGCATGCTGCGCAGACTCACGTCCGAGGGAGTCTTTGAGGGAAGCGGTGACCAAGAGTTGGAGACGGCTGCGCAAATGGTCCTGGAGTGGCAGTCGGCGACTGGGCAGGATATTCAGGGAGTCAACGCTGGCTATCACCAATAGCTATCCTGACTCCGAGGTGCGGGGGGCTTGCGGCGTTTACTGCCCAGTGAAGATTGCTTTCCTGGTTCGTTCTGTTCATGGAACAACCAACATGAACTGCTCCTACGTGGTTAACATTGGATTGATTGTGGATAGGAGACGAATGTTGACGCTTTCCTTCCTCTTTGCAATCTGTATGGCTCCCCTGTGATCCTTGTGGTGCGTTCGCCAGCTTCGACCTTCCCATGGAGGGAACTAATCTCCTGGATGGCCAAGTAAGAATGTCGGAGATATCTATTCGAGCCCTGACAGAGAGTAGCAGGACCAAATTCCAGCTTATTTTAGGTCAAATTGGTTGTGGTGGCAGCTAATTGTCGTGGTGGGAGAGTGGTGGAGTTGCGGCTGATTGGACTCTCGATGTGATAATGGCGTTACACTGCACCTCGTACACCTTATGTTAGGGTCTAAAGAGCGTCTAAACCGGCTCCGGCCATAATAGTCATCGTCCGCCTCAACGTCTCCTTGCCACGCTGCAAACGAACTCGTGTCTTCAATGGGTGAGTTATTCCCTTCCCGCTGCCTTGACCGCTTGGCTTGGAAATTTTCACGGTAAGGTCTTAAAGGAGCAAAGCTGAAAAGTTTCACAAAGTGTGATTCGCGCCGGTGGAGGCGGGATGACTGCTCAAGCTGTCCTGACCAGCGATCCATATGTTCAAAGTTGGCTAGGAGTTCTGGGTGCGAATGACGCTTTCTCGTGAAGTATCTGCAAACAGGTCGCGCGCCATCATGACGCCATTGTGGAGTCGTTATCTATTTCAAAAGTACCAGTTTCTGCCCAAGGCCAAGCTGCATCGCCTTTCCAGTCATGAGACCATGAACATATGCCTCACCAATTAGCACAGATTTCTCCGCTGAAAATCCTAGTCTCAAGATGAACGGTATATCGGAGCCTCGTAGGAAAGCGACACGATCTCCAACGCAGGTCGCTCCAGGCATGAGACAAAAAGCTTTCTGCCGTGTCAATGCAAGTCGACGGCCAACCGCAGTTTTGAAATAAGTCGCCATGAACATGTTTTTGAAGCAGAGGTGATTCCTGACATCTTTTTCCCAGGTCGAAATTTCTGAATCTAGCTCTCGAGGCGGGCCCGTTTCGCCCATGCTTGCGCTAGTGACAGTCTCATTCGGGGCGCCGAAAGTTGGATTCTATTTTATTTTCATTTTTTTTTTAACTTTTCGAGAGAGTGATCCTGTGAGACGGGGGGACAACTTGATGAAAGTTCTCTGTACTTTCAGAATACTCGGGCTTCTCCTGATCACCTTGAGTATAAAGTTCGTAAGTATTTTCGAATTCCCGGTCGATAGATTCTTCAAACCAATCTAGAGGGAGGTCAGCAACTACGGCAGTGTCGACAGTATCTAATTTAGATTTGCCCGCAAGGAGAGTCTTCCAGAGAGCTGCCATGCGCGGCTCTTCCGACCAGGAAGAGGTTCTGGGCAGTTTTTGGAGCAGATGAAACCATTCAGAAGACACTGGATGACGGCCGGGGCGCTTTCCGTCTCGTCCTTTATAAAGAAGCTTACTGTGACGGCAAGCAGAGAATAAAGACGATTGATCGAATCTAGACAGAGTCAGGACTTCTGACAATACTTCTCAGTGCACCTAGACCTAGCACTCTGTCTTCTGCCACGTGTGGCCTCGAACTCTCGACTCCGAATGAGCAGCTCCTCGAGGTATGCGAACGCATGTTGGTGATCCTGAACACCCCAGCCCCTTCAAAACTACGTTTGCGAAAAGAGGTGAAAGAGGACTATTGGCCGTGTCTGTGGCCGCTAGATCTGTTAGGATTCAGTCGAGGTCACTAGATGCAATCTGATCTGGATATGTGCCTTCAGAAGCTTCACGTTCTTGAAACCTTAGAGGATATCGTCCTATGAAAGAAGCCGCAGAAGCTGTGGTATTGTCTTCAACACCAAGGGAGACAATGACTTCTCTAGCTCCCGCGTAAATATAAGCCATAATCGCGACTTGGGAGCGTCGCTCGTTACAGTCTTGTAGATAGATGCAAATCAGCATAGTGTGGACGAAAGGGCAAGCCAGGTTACCGAGCCCCGAGCCCAATAGAGGGGCCCAAAAACCAACCCGCCTTCAAGAGAGATTTTCCACTTTTGAGCCCAGCTTCGCGCTCATCACTCTCGACTATTGTTGCTTGGAGTCGAAGAGAATTCCATATTTACGTTTCTGCCAACCCTACGATTACTGCTTGGAGTTCAAGTTATTTCCTTTTTCAAATCCTCCGTCACCTGATAGCCTACTCTTACCTGCTACAGTGCGGCTTCAACATCATTTCTATTGTCACCCGCTAGAATATGGAGATACTTGGACGTACATCCCGAAGCTCTACCAAAAGCTTGGCAGAGCGGCGTCATGAATTGAGCATGATGATGGGCTCCGTGGTGTTGCTGGCGAACCCAACGCGCTGGGCTCAATACTCCATCGGCCTTTGAGGAGTTTGGGTAGAGTTTCGCCATTAGAACCTACAGGAGTTAGACGCAGAATTCCAGGTAAAATTAGCACAGGCTATTATACCTCCCCCCCGATTTCATCTGGATATACTCAGCTCAAAACACCATCCCTTAATTGCAAACCTTACGTTGTTAGCTGGCAGGTGCAGCCACGTAAAAGAGACATCAGGGTTGGTTTTGTTGGGCGGAAATGGATGTTTCTCGAGAAATTCGTTGGCGGCAGAGTCTTTAGTAGAAGCCTGTTGGATACCGGATTGGAGGGTGAAAGTGACCATTGTCGCCGTCAATCTCTCATCTACATTCGGTGAGCCGTGGGTGACTCCCCGGGCCAGGGTGGGTGAGTACTTGGTGAGTACTTGGTGAGTACCGGTTGAGCCGGCTGAGCCGTGGGTCTTGTTCGCTTAATCATCATAGACAACTTTCTCCGAGATTTGGCGTATCCTAGTTGTGGTGACTGACTAATCCTCTGCTCAGATCGGCCCGATATGACGGGCGCGGACTGGGGTGAATAATTCCATGAGAACACTCCTACGTCAGCATATAAACATCGCAAACATCGCATCAGAGAAGATTCACGGCGCGTCATGAACTCAGGTTGAACCTATATCGAGTCAGGGCTATGATAAGAGTCCAGCAGTCTCTACGACTTAGAGGATGAGCATGTGGGCTTGGCCCACAAGGATGTCGCCATGGGAATAAAAGGGTGTTGGACTTGCAGAGGTAAACACATCAAGAGTGGATAAGCTCCCATACGAACGTCAATGGGCTGATTTCTGCTTAGAGCGCAAAGTTCGATGTGACTCGCATTGGCCGAGATGTGACAATTGCACGAAGGCGCGGCGCGTCTGTCAAGGCTATGGCATCCAGCTGTCCTGGCCTCGAGATGGCGACCGAAAAAGAGCAATCATCTCGCGAGATACGCGCCGCGCAGGGAAGACTCTTCAATCAAATGTCAAGGGGTTCTTGAATTCATCTTCCTGGGACATGTCGCTATCGGAGGAGTTAGAGAACGGAAGGATTTCTGGTGAAAATCGCCTCCGACACACCGTCAAGCAGCTTGATACTAACGGCAGGTACCTGTAGCTCGTTACCTTCGGACCATGAAAGTCCCTCGCCCGACCTATCTATCGCCCACCGTCATAAACAGGGAAGAGTCGCATTTACTGGGGTTCTGTATGTAGGGTGACTCTCCAGACCCAATCATCAAACTGACCAAAACATGTCAGTCAACGAATCAAGATCACTGATACTAGGACCTACCGACGAGGAGGTTTTGGCACAATTTATCTTGACAATTGCCTTCTCAGATCCATCCGATGCGACCAATCCAGTCCTACAAGGCGTGTTTGCTCTCGCATCACTACAGCTTCACGGTAGCTTGAAGAGTTTTCGCTACAAGCATCTTGTCATATCATCAGTTAAAGAGTCAATCAACTGGCTCGACGAGAAGACGCTGCTTCAGAACCTGATGGCAACGATGCTTTTGTATCATTATGAGGTAGTATCACCCGGTCTGCACAGGCTTGCCATGGTCGTCTAACGATCACAGCTCTCACTCGAATCAAACTCCAAAGGGAGTTGGGTAATATATCTATGCGCAGTGAAAAGGATTATCAACACGTCACCAGCAATTCAAAAGCTGGTTCGGCAAGAATATTCCGTCTTCCTTGATTGGATTTATTATCACGAGGTCCTCGCAGAGTTCACAATCAGGCATTGGAAGGTACCTTATGAAGGTTGCGGCTTTGCTCCAACAGCAAGATCACCCAGAGCCATCGAAGGAGGCGGTCCAAAGGTAAATGGATGCCTTTTGCACTTTCTCCGGCATCATCTAATACTGCGGCAGGGAGACGACAACATCGGCTGTCCAACTGATGTGCTCCAGCTCGTTGTACATACATGTAGACGAGCTCTCGTCGCGAAACCCTCCGAGATGAATTATGCGAATGCTGGAATGGAGCGCACGAAGGTGCTGGAAGAGAACATTTCCAGGGCAGTAGGAGATTATGGCCCCATTCACGTCCCATCTGCGACCCCGATAGACCGAGATACCATGGTCGCCGATCTTCATCGACTCGCGTGCTTGATATATGTCAATCGGGCGGTCCACGGCGTTTCGGGAACAGAATTCCGTCATAGGCGACTTGTGAGAGAGGGAATATTGCTGTTGACCAAGATGACAACATGCCAGAACGCGTGGCCACTGTTCATTATCGCCTGCGAAGCAGTTGGCGATGATCAGCGCCTGGCTATCCTGGACGTCTTTGAACAAAGTCGGCAAGATCGAAGACGAAGATCAAGTCACATCCATCTTATTCAGCATATGGTTGGGGCGATGTGGAACCAGCATGATCTCAATGCAGAGAACCCGGTCGATTACCTAACAATTTTCGATGCGGTTGTTGGTGGAGTTCCATTCATACCACCATTCGCCTGAGTTCAGGTCATGGCCCCGTCATTTCCATCCACTGTTCTGATATTCTATCAAGATAGGTCCA